TTTAGTACTTCTACTCACAGGGGGAGCCGTTGGGTGCTCAGATACCAAAAATAGACTAAGTTGGTTTGGATATGAGTTAAGAAAAGACAAAAAATGGTTTGTAAATGCAATATTAGTTATTTCTTTTATAAAAAAAATTGAGAAAATTCAGAATATTGCAGTAAATATTTTCATAAAAATTAAATGAATATTTTTTTAAGTATAGATATAAAATGCAGTGTCTATGTGCAATTCTTCAACTTGGAAATTGCCGTTTTAGGATATTTAAGAAACACTTGAAAACACTAGATAGACATAACTAATTTTAATTTTAAATGCCTGTGCATCCCAATCTTGCTGTTAAACAAAGCAGTAAAAATTCATTTGGGGAATTGTAACGGTGCTTAATTTCATTATGCATTGGGAATTTGTAATTAAATTCTTCCAGTTATATTTACACTATACTAATTTTACATTTGGGACGGAAGTCTAGAAGATTGTATTTCATAATAATAATCGATTATAAAGCTATAAAACCAATTTATTAGATTTATCGCTGATACATATATATGATCTATTATTGAATAATGTCTAAAGACACATTTTTTTTCTAACTTCCAATAGTCATTTTCAAAGCGTTTGGTACTTAGTTACGCAAAACAATTCACACGCAAAGCTTGAAATAGTATAGTAAAGAACTAAAATTGACAAACAAAAGAATAATTTGAAATACATTATAAAAATTGCTAACTTGGTCCAGATGTCCATTGTCAGATCACACAATTGTAGGTTATGTCATTGCTGCGTAAATTTTAAGATGCTTATTTAGGCAACTTACAACATCTGTGCGCATAATATATGATATACCATATATAATATATTACGTACGTGCGTAAATAAATTATTTCATCCCTGCAGGAAAACCATTTATTTCGGCAAATACAAGTATATCCTATATATCTACTAAGTTAAGATATAAATAATATTTTTATTCATTGGTTAATAAAATGTTACTAATTATTGATATCGGAGTACTCGAGAGCTCGTCTAGAGACACTGCACGCATTATATGTTATCGTTGTACTATTATGTATTGTAGTAATTAAGTTTATTAATTTTAATCAAATAAACAAAACTACCAAAAAAAACATTTATTTCAAGTTTATTTATATATTGTATGTACTGGTTCGGAGTTAATATATTTTTAATATAACTATTTGGAAAATTTAAAACGCAGTTCCCGTTATAAAATATATGACATAGTTTCACAAATTTAACATATTTATTAACTCCGAAAGAAATAGAAATATGTCTGACTAGTGCGAGTTTTCTCTTCAAGCATGAATAATACAACTCAGGCATATATATCTTTACAAACAACAGCTGTTTGTTATCTTTTGTGATGTAACATTTCGGGCGCACCCAAACATATGCTATGTGCATTTGTATATATTAAGTATTGTTATGAAAAAGGCATTTGTTGTTGTGCTCTCCTTAGAGTCAATACCCGTTTTGAATGTGAACAAAACAAGTTTTGGAAAATGGAGGAACAGACCGGGACTAAGACAAACATGTATGCTAACAATGACGACAAGGGATGCAAGTGTAAGAAGCATAAATGTAAGTGTATGCATATAATAAGTGAGATATATATTTGTGTACAGCTGTTGCTGAGAGCACCGAAACATTTAACTATAAATATACAAACCACATAACAGTGTTGGTAAGGCGCATTGTGGTCGCTTCTGTTGCTGAGAGCACCGAAACATTAAACTATAAATCTACAAACCACATAACAGTGTTGGTAAGGCGCATTGTGGTCGCTTCTATAGCGTATATTGGTACTTAATGACAGATCCAATAAAATGAAAAAAATTATATATGAGTATAAGCAAAGAAAAAGGTATAGTAATAAAATTGATTGCTTAGGATGAACTACAATAACTGCCGAGAGGTGTAGTTAGAACTGTAAACAATAAGGCAAAAGGAACTGTTTGCCGACTTAGAAAAAAAATAAAAACAAATTACAAAAGTATATATGCAAGTAAGTAAGTCAGTGGGCATTTATTAGTAACGCTTACCTCACAATTGTATAAATGTACATATATAGTATAAATATGCTAAATAAATATAAAAACCGAGAAGTTTTTTCAATTTCGGGAAAATTAAATCATAGATTAACAAGAAAATTTTGTTTTAATAATAGTTGTAAATATAAATATTGCCTGTCAAAATGTTGACAATTCATTAAATAAAAGTACAAGAAATGAACCTTTAAATTCAAAAGTCATAAATGTCCAAAAGTTCATGCTTTTTATAGTTACACAGTGCGTATGAGTAACTTTTTTATTAAAAACATCTAGGTACATTAAATAAATGTTAAAAGTCTTCTGAAAACTTGTGGCTGACGTGTCTATGCATTCAACAGCGTCTAAACAAAGTAAGCCTCTCAAAATGGTCTAACAATGAAACTACTTTAGCCTTTCAAAAATACAAAAATTAATTTATGTTAAACTAAAATTTCCACTCAATTACTAATAGTTAATTTATTGCAACAAATTTAATTTGCATTAACGCAACTTCTGTAAGCTTACAGGTATCATAACATAATTACATATTTACAAAAGTGTAAAGCTACCGAAATAATTCTCGTAAAGCTTTTTGAAAGCTTGCCTGGTTGACTTGTAATGCGCATAATCTTTACTCACCTTCAAAAAACCCAATTGCTACATATTTAATAATGTAAGTATCAGTATGTGTGAATAACAAAAGCTCACCGAAAGATGCATGTATGGCAATCGGCTGCCATGCCCCCAAAAAGCGCAGCAAACGCACATACCAGCACCTTCGCTATTAAGTTTGGTTTTTGTTGTTATTGTATGCTTTTGCTGACGTCGTCAATGACTTACTTTATTACGTTTTTCTTTATCGTTTATTTATTTTGCTCGTTATATTCGCGTGCTTTCCGGACAAAGCCGTATAAACTGTGATGCGTAGTTGTGTCAGTATATCGTATATATATGTATATGGAATATAAGAGTATATGTTAAAATGCGTGTCTATATATACTCGTATACACTTAACTCGGGTGAATTTTCGTATGAAATATATATTATATTCACATATAAATATTTTATTATAATATATTGGATAGCGTTTTCATGGACTCGTGGTCTATATGTACAAACATACCAATGTATATATGTATGTGTCAAATATAAATGTAGTAGAGTTTAATATGAAATACTATACATTTAATATCAGTTGTATACAGAATTAAGTGTATAGTTTTGTCACATTTCATAAAGAAGAAATTTCGACTACTTTAATCGAGCGAACTTAGGAAGTCTTCTTGCAGAACACAGGACCCTCTCTTCTTAAAACCATTTTTGTTACCATTTGTATTAATGAGGGATATAAATTATTTTTTCTTGGAACTCTCAATCATCTGCTTTAATATAATATATAATTTCGCTTAAACATGGAACGAGTTATTATACGACTCTTATATATAGACCATGTAAAGTTTGAGTACAAAGCTCCGCTTCAACATAGAGGGAGTAATGACACAAATGTAATAAGCGGAAATAGTAATCGTTGCTGTGCTAGATAAAGTATGAGTTGATCACATAAATCCTTACTCTATATGGTATTAGAGTATTAGTAATTGAAGTACGCCAACACCCAAACTAGATATTTGTATAGATATGTAAGATCTACATGCTTACGTCAGTATAGAAGCATTGATCGCTGATCGGTCGTTCAATTAATTGGACATCATCATAAAGTTATGTGCTCGTTGCTGCATATATACACTTATAATATGTGTATCATATATACAAATTTATTCCATTTTAATTGAACGATGCTCTACTCGCGTGTACTACAAGTAGTTCAAAATAATTAAAAATATGAGCCATAACAGACAATGAAAATAGGAAATAACAAAACCATACATATTTATGTACATAAGTACATACAATTATTCCAATTACATTTAGAATTTGGTAAATATTTAAAAATACGCTTCAATTAATTAAGTGTAGAAACTTGCTTGTAGATTAAAGTGATTAAAACGTTTATCGAATGGGTGAAACGTTTCTAAAATTTCTAAGTAAGCTTTTACACAAATTGTACTACTTCCCATATATTTACATATGTATATCTACAAGTATGTGTATAGAGCTACCCTACAAGAAACTGCTGATGGCTTCACCAATACACTCACATCAGTACTGACAGTCACATGAACTGTCTGTTTACGAAGTTTCCAAAAACAAACAAGTCGAAAAGAGACAAAATACATTTTCATAGAAGTTTCGAGAAGTTGTATAATAGTAAAGTTGTAGTTGTTATTCCGTGCGATCAACTAAAAGTGTTGCGTGCTTCTGTGCATTCAAATAAAATTATATTTTTAGTTAATTTTCATTTTATTTAGGCACTTTTAAATTCCGAAATAGCCATGAACTGGAGAAACACAGAAAAAGACATGAGAGTGAGCAGTACAGATATATAGTGAATCAATTCCGAATACCCATGTGTTAAAGAGAGATGCAAAATCACACACATACGTTTGTTTACAGCATTTTGTGCACAAGGCTCTTAAGAAAATGATAGCAACTTTGTTCTGCGCGCTGACAAAACTTTTTCAGCTGTGACTGTCATATGACCGGTTAGATGACTGTCACTGTTCTTGTAGGTAAGCATCTAAGTACTTTCATTTTTATAGAATTGTCATTATTTACATTATTGTTTACAAAAATAGATTCACAACGAGAATTATCAAAACAAATCGTAAAAATAGGAAACATACACACGTATTTATGTATATAGAGTTATATATGATTTATATACATATATATGATTTATATATTTGCATGAGCTTAAATGCCATTAAATTTGTTTTTCAAAGCAAATATTTATGACTAATGTGAACTGTACAATTTATTCGATAAAGTCTTTAAAGCCAGTTTGGATTGAAATTTTTTAAATAATAAAAAATTTTTTTGTTAAAAGCTTACAGCAAAACTCCAATGCGCAGTGCGATGATGAAGTGGCTGGCAAAAGACTGCAGTTTCGTCCTAACAAACAGAAAGTAAATTTTAAACAGATTTACCGATTTACGTTCAAAGTTCATTAAACAACAGTACGTAAATTGGGAACAGCAATAATTTATAATGAACATAAACACACATAAATATATACATACATACAGATGAGATTAAAATTAGAATATGCATATTTGAATGAAAGGTGAAAAACTATTTAGAAGCTCTTAAGTAACCAATTTTGTGGAATATGTTTTTTTTTTAATTTAGTTTTAGTTAAATTTTTTAGATTGAGTAATCTTATCAACTATTCAAGATGGTTAGCAGTCAAATATTATAGAAAACAAGAAATAGGAAAGCAGATCTGAACAATTTGTTCGGAGATTGTAATGTTGCCTTGGACAATAATTCATTCTAAATTTCGTGAATATATCTCTTCAAAAAAAAAAAGTTTACTATAATAAGACATGTATTTGATCGTTCAGCTTGTATGTCAGCTATATGCGATATTGGCGGTTCCGACTAATCAGCGGCTTCTTGGGTGAACGGAATATTTGCAAAATTTCAGATCGACTTATTAAAAACTGAAAGACTAGTTCGCATATATACAACTCAGCTCGTCATGCGGATCATTTATATATATGTATATGCATACCCTATAGGGTTTTCGACGTTTTCTTCTGAGTATTACACACTTCGTGGAAAACACCGATTTTTGAGTTCAATGAGTTCATCAGATTGTGTAGAATTAAAAATAATATTAAGCAAAATTGGTTGTTTTACTGGCATCGACCCTCAGTGTGTATTATACTTGTATATGTGTATATATTGTATGGTATATACATTTTTATTTACACTTCACCGAACATAAATATTCAAGGAAAATATAATTACATCGCTAAGCAAAGCCATTAAAATCATATTTCACATTTTTCGCTAAATGCATTCATACATATATTTACAAATTACATACATACACAAACAAAATTATAAAGTGATTTATGGATAATTTATTTTTATTTGGGAAACGTGATTTCAATGTTCATCGCTTGTTAATTTCTCAATTGTTTATGACTTTGGAAGTGGTTTGCAAACCTAAAAGTTTGGCAATAATTAAGCATGTAAGTAGTTTTAAGTTTCAAATTTGAAAAGTGTTTGTATCAATTAAGTGAACTAATCTTTATTTATTGGAAATATGCATTTGATGTTTGAACGCATACGCATACACATATACAAAAAAACGCAAACTCAAAAATGTATACTATGAATATCTGACATATCTATAATCATAGGAATAGTTAATGAAGTTGTAGTGCCTACTATAAACTTTATAAAGGGGTAATATAGACAGACGGATTGTCGGATATAGCTAAATCGATTCAACTCGTTATGCTGATCATTTATGTACAAGGTGCGTTTCAAAGTAAACAGTAAAAAAGTAACAAAGTAAACTCTAGTGGCGCCATCTATACGTCGACTTCCAGTAAAAATTTCATGTCATTTCATCTATTGGAAGTGAAGTTATTGCGTTTTAAGTGTCAGTATGTTTTCGTCATCGGTGCGAAAATGAGCTTCGAACAAAGAGCCAACATTAAATTTTGTTTTAAAATTGGTAAAACTTTTACCGAAACGTTTCAATTGATGAAACAAGTTTATGGCGATGATTGGTGCGCCGTATTCGACGTGTTCGGCCCGAATATCGCGAAGATGGAAGTTGGCGTTTGTTGCACGATAATGCGCCGTCTCATCGATCGACGCTTGTGGCCGATTATTTGACCAAAAATCACATTTTAACAATCAACCACTCCCCGTATTCACCTGATATGGCATCGTGCGACTTCTACCTTTTCGAAAAAAAAGACTTTTGCCGATGAAAGGAAAGCGTTATGCAGACGTAGAGACCATTCAAAAGGCTTGCACCGGCATACTGGCGGCCATACCGGGCAACGAGCTAAAACACTCGTTCGACATGCTTTTGGACCTCACAAAAAGCTGTATTAAAGCAGAAGGAGACTATTTTGAATAAAATTAATTGATTTTGTCGATAACACCATTTTTTCTGTCTTTTTTTTCAAAGTCCTGTTTACTTTGGAACGCTCCTTGTACATACGAGTATATGGGTCATTTCATCGAAATTTTACATTCAAACATTTTTTTCATATAAAACGTTTTATTTGATTTTTTTGAGGCAAAATATTGCACACAAATTTTTTTATTTCGATTCAATATGAAAAAATTAGGAATTATGAATTTTCAAAATTTCGACTTTTGAAAACGGTATCTTTAAACATTTGCGTATGCAAAAAAAAGGATTTTCAAGAATACAAAAAAAAAGTTTTGTACGAAAAAAATGTTTGAATGTAAATCTTCAGTGGAATGACCCACATACTTTATAAAGACATCGACGTTTCCTTTTGGGTGTTACAAACTTCGTGTCAAACTTAATATACTCTGCTCAGGGTATAAAAAAGATCAAATAAATAAAATAAACTGGTTGCACATGTTACCACAACTGTAGATAATTCCAATTCGCTTCAACAAACGGTTGTAATAATGAAAGCCATATTTTTCGATATGCACCCATTGCGCTAAGCACAGCCGTAAGCAAATATTGTGAATTAACGAAGCAAATCAAACGATTATGTGCATGGGAATGTACGTGTGTATGTGCATATTTATTGCCATTAATAAATTTCACTATTGAGGCAATTATTCAAGAACAAAAGTTCAGCTAAAGCGAGTCGAAGCAACACACCCACCGATTGCGAAAATATATACACACACACACTTTTATTCTTTACAACCTTACGAACATATGCAAATATAATATATTCTCTGCAGTATGCAATTAACTTAAGGAAATACGGTAGCACTAAAAATGCAGACGTAAAATGTGGATTCTCCAATTCATACTTAATTATCTCAATCACCCTGCACTTGACTTACGAAACAAGACGAGATAAGCAACAATTTCAGAGGGCAAAGGTGTTGAGCGAACGAAATATCCAACAGATAGGCTGACGATGGTTATCAGCCGTAGGCGTCGCAACACAAATGTACACACTTGTATGTATGTATGTTAAGCAAGCCATAAAGTGTATGAGTGCAAATAGAACAGTAAACAAAAACAAACTAATCACTGAGTACATATGTACACACTGACATACATCTCGATATTAATTTCTTTGCAAGCCAAACTCGTACATCTTCCTATGACGGTGTGTGAAGTATTTACGTTCAATTTCGATTAATTAAACTTGTTGCATATCTATGTATATATGTACATGTACATATTTATAATGTAAGTGCATTTGCACTCGTATATGCATTGAATAAGGCATCGCTATAAAGTACACAGTGGCAGCTGGATAAGTCAATAGATTTTTATCAAATGATATTTTTTCACAGTAAAAAACCCTTTAAGTTTTACTAGAAACAGTCTTTCACAATTTTTCTACAGCACCCGGAAATAAGTGATTATCTCGAGATTCTCATTTTTATTTGTGACCACCACTTCTTTCAGAACTAACCTTTTTCTATCTTTCTCTTAATGGATGAATGAAAAAAACACAATCTAGCATATACATACATAAATGATGTGTCTGCTTGGTGTAGAAAGGCTAATATCTGATATGTCCGTTTAGAAATATATTTACTGCAATGCTCAGTTTACCCCAATAATTTGGTTTCAAAATTTAACTTATAAATCAAATTATACAGTTTTGTCAAAATAGGGAAGACTAGAACCTCCCAAATGTACTTTCCCTATTTTGTGTCAAGCTTGTGACTCACCGAGTTATTACTAGTTACCAAAGGTAAGCATATATTGAATAAAAAGTTGAATTTATAATAGTGGCGGACAAAATAAATAAATGTTTACTTGACTGATTCCGGAGCTTATTTTTCTTCGTCTTGACATTTCCGATTCGTATTTTGGCTATTTGGAATTGCATTAATTTTCTTTTTCTCCCACTACTTGAATTTCAACATTAGTTGACTCCTAATAATTCCATGCTGAATAATTTAGAGAGACCTTGCCTATAGCCACTAAGCATTAATTCCCTTATAAACAAAAAAAAAATATTTTACAATTGAGTTTACCCCTGGCTTAAATTTTTTGAACTTTTTGAATAGCTGCTGGCTATGTGCTATTGGTTCTCTCCTTGCCGCAAAAGTCTAATAGTTACGTTTTGTAACCGTGAATCTGAAAAGTTCATGATTTATCAAGAGCAAGGGCCTTTGCACTTTTATTTCAAAGCAAGAACTTTATCAACAATGTCAATAACTAGAGTAAATGCATATATTTACGTTGCTATATATGTACATATATATAAACATAACAAAATGCACTTTAAACTCGTTGCAAGGCTAAAGTCTATTGCTTAATTCTTTCTTTTGTATCCGTCATTTGCATTAATTTTCTAAACCATTGTGATTTGAATAATTGATAAGACTCTCAATTCAATAAAAATCATATTCAAACGTTTAAACGCACCTAATTGTCTCTAGCTTTTGAATGGAGGCGTAGTAATGTGCTTTCCTTACTTAGGCAGTCCAGGTGCTTTGCTTTATGCTAATTTTATAGTTAAGTAGATGTTGTTGTTGTTATTATTATGTTTGTATGTAAGGAAATTTGCATGGACTTAGGTATAATGGCTTTAAAGGCTGCTTGCGTAAGTGGGTTTTGTTATTCGATGGCTTTTATAAAAATCCTGCATCAAGTAAGGTAATTAATTCGTAAATTTCGTCAAAAAAGTGCTATTTATTGCATGCCCGCTGCAAGGTCTCTCTAGACCCTCTAATGTTTCAATGATCACATTGGGGCAAATAATTTAATAGATTAATATATTGTAATAGTATGTCTTCAAAGAAATGTGAAACTGTGGAAGAGAATATGGGTTCAGACCTTGAATGGTTGTGAAATAACTCGAATTATTTTGTATCTAGCCTCAGATAAGAACTCTGGCATTCATATAATTGTACTTGATAATTATTGTGTCTTGCTTTAAGGGCTTATATTTACTTGAAATTCAAAAAAACACTTGACATTTTATTTATAAAACATTTTGAAAAATGTTGCATTTCCTTGATCCCGTAGCCGTTCTTCAGGAGAACCTTCGAAAAATAAATGTCTAGCGGTGAAGATTTTTCTCCTTAAAGTTATCTCGAATCCAAAAACTAAAAAAATTATTTTTTCTACATCTTTTTGACAAAATGGTGGCTTCCTAAACTTTTGTAGTTTTCTGTGAAAAAATTTACACTTCAATGTGGCTTGAAAAGTGAACCAATTACGAAAGTTATATTCCTTTGATCATTACCTGACATATCTAAAAATATCAATCCGTCCAGCCATTTCGGAGAAATTTTACTCACCGACTCTGAAAAACGGGTTTCAAGAATAATGTGTTTAAAGTTTTGGAAACCGATCCATATCCTATTTTGGAGAGTATTCTCAAATATATGTGTAACGAAAACTCAATTCTGTTATTTACCAACATCAACTAGTAGCGCGTTAGACTATCGCAATTTCATAATTTCTGATTGTCACATATTCCATTTTAAACAACCTGGTAGCAGATTCTTATCTTTAGCAAAGATTTTCGCTTAAACGCTTTTTTCACTCTGGCTACTAAGCAATTATTTTAATTCAAACAAAAAAACCAAATTAAAAATCACGTGAGATTATTTACGATTAGATGTCTAACACAAATTCCTGGTTGTGAAAGTACGCCAAAATTAAAATAAGCAATTAAAAACTAAAATAAAGGATATTTGAAATAAAAATAAAAATACTAATTAACAGACTCAGTACATAAACTAAAAATGAAAATCTTGCATTTTACAGAATTACAAGTATATACTATAAAATGTGAATTTCCGGCAAGAAGCCAAAATAACCTGTGCGCAGATGATGGGAGATATATAGTATAGTATTGATATGTACCATATTTGCATTTTGCATAACTACACGCTTATGAACTGCGTTTGTTTTCAAGCTAGGAACAGGTTGCTAGTATAACTTTGTTTGCACTCTGCAGGATATGCAAATCTAAGCATCAATGTCGGATAGGTGGGATAATAGAAAAATGTTTAAATATTCAGAAAAATCTCACGCTTGGTCATTTAATACCTCGTAAATTTGATTTAATACTCTCACCCGCTCCACCAAACTCTCAGCGCGACGCGCAAAACTCGCACGCCGCTGTTCGGCTGTTGTCGCTGTTGTGCCACGATTTATCACCGCAATGGGTATTGGTTGTGTAGGCTGTGGCGGTAGTGATGATTGGGACATTGTAGGGCTGAAAAGAAAAAATGGAATATTTTAAGATTATATATAATTATATGTAAATGGTATATAGATTTTCTTTTCATACATGAGATTTTTGATCTTTAACTAGTTTCCTCTTATTATGATCTTTCAGATATAAATAAAATATTTTAAATATATTCTTAGACCGATTCACCAAGTTAATATTTTCAACATAGATATTTTTAATCTCATTTATATCTTCAAATGTTAAAAATGTTTAGTCGAGATAAATTGTGTTATCAAATTTTCACAGACGTATATGAATTTTTGAATACAGAAGTATATACATAAGTATATTATATTTAGAACTAACATGTATATATATATACAGGGAAAACAAGCTAATAAGCAAAATTTATCAGTTATATTCCTCATAATAAGATATTGTAATTGAAAACAGATTTTCAGTTTAAAAAATCATTCAAAAGAAGTCAGTCAGACATAAATGATATTAAATACCCTTTATAAGCTTCTATATAGTCAAGAATACGCACATATGTATGTAATGAGTGAAAATAATGATACGTGTACATTAACAATGTGTGGACGAAACTTATAAAATGTTTCCCAATATATTTAGTACGAGTAAGTTGTTACAGTTATCAGCACACAAGCAGTTTAAGCATTTTGTATATCAAAATATTTGCATATATAATTTTTTAAATATAAATTTCGCCAACATATTAACAAAAAGCAAACGCAGTTGCCAAAAACATAGCTTATTTGCCACCCTGTAGGAATTACTTGAGAACAACTTAAAGTCTACCAGCCATTTAAACGCACAATTACTATAAATATGTACAGAAACCAAGGAAAATTTCCAATTTTTCGCGGAAATACACAATTGATTACCTAAACAAAGTTTGAAAATGGACTAAATCGATTTTTAGTTTTAGTTTGCATTCTATACAATCGTGTATAATAATGTAATTTAACTGGTATACACATAAAAAATAACAATACGTATATTATTGGGTAAATATTACATATCTAACAAAGCAGATTTAACGCTGCCTTTAACAAGTTTTATATACAAGTTGACCTTACTAACCCACAAATATTTCTTCAGAAATTAAAAACTATAAAAAAATACGAATTAACTAATTTAAAAGAATCACAATTTTTTGTGCAATTCATACAGGGAAGCGCGAATTCTATGTATTACGTATATGATATATATAAACACCATTTTATACCCTGTACCCAGTAAACGTCAGTGACCCTATAAATTATATATCTAAATGAGCAGCGTGACGAGCTGAGTCGATTGAGCCATGTCCGTCTGTCTGATCATCTATCTGTATAGACGCGAACTAGTCCCTCAGTTTTTGAGTATCGATCTGAAATTTTGCACATATCTTTTTCTCCCCAAGAAGCTGCTCATTTGTCGGAAACGCTGATATCGGACCACTATACCATCAAGTAGTCGCGTGGCAAACTTTTTTGTTTGAGCAGATATATTTACGAAACTTGGCATAGATTGTTGCTTAAGGCAACAATGCAAGCTCCAACAAATTGTCTAGTTTGCGACACTATAGCAGGTAGCTGTCATACAAACTGTCCTATCAAAATCAAAGTCTTGTAAGAAATATTTTGTATTCGGGAAAGGTATTATAGCTTCGGTGCAATCGAAGTTAACGTTCTTTCTTGTTTTGTAAGTCAATTATTCATACCCCTACCACAAAAGTGCTAGCCTCTACTTATGTATGGTATATTCTGGTATACATGCAAGTATATATTTAGACTTGAGATATCATAATTTTACATATAATTTCATTGTAAAGAACGTGACAAACATAAATAGAAACATACATTTATTATTTATTCTAATTACTTGATAATTGAATTTATATAGATAATAAAGTCATGGTCAAAGAATTTTCGTAAGTATTGTAGCGAATGTTACCTTTCCTTATCTTATATTTAATATTTTTGTATTTACATAAAATGTGTATAGCTCACTATTTTTAAATACTTTTACAATCATGTACAATACAACCCACATATTTAAATGGTTTTTATCAACAATTTGGTATTTTAATATTACATTTCGTTTTATGTCGACGAAATAAATATGGCACGATCTAGAATATATCAAAGCTAAAATGCAGCACATAAACATTTAGCAATCCAAAAATTATATATTAAAAATAACTGGAAAAGAACAGTGTGGGTAAAATATTGTATTCTTAGTCATGGCATAATTTAGTTAAACTCTAGTTCTAGTATATATGTATGTATATATATTTAGTTCTATGTTTAGCTTCAAAGTCTTTATATTATATTTACATAAATATTTCAATTAGCTGATAAAGTTAAATAGTCTATTTTTGACCTTGAACTAAACATAGATTTTAACTAAATTATGCCATGACTAAAAATACAATATTTTACTCACCACTTCAAAGTATATATATATTATGTATATATATACATAATTACACACATATGTATATTTGTAAATATCGATGAAAAATGAAATCCGTTCGAAAATACTTTTACCCATGGACTTTCTTGTGTATAGTATTTTTGTATATAATAAGTTATGTAAATTAAGAACACATAAATTTGAATTGCTTCACATTGAAGTTTTAGTCCACTAAGCAGTAAGCAGAGCCAATCAGCCGGTAATTTTCACTTTTATAAATTTTAATTTGACTGAAGTGAAGTTTTCCGTATTTCACTAAGTGACTAACGTCTAAGTATACGTACATACATATACACAAACTAAAAATATATAGTTACATACTTACACATATGTCTTTGTCCATATATAATCAACAAACAAAATGTAATTAAAACTTTTTCACTGTTTAAAAGCTCACAAAATTAAATTTATGTATGTATGTGGTTATACTTACAAATGCATATACATACATACGTATGTATTCTATGTATAAATAAAGAATTTCCAATCTCAAAACATAAGCCAGAAAAATGAAAATATTTACGTATCTATGTACATGCATGCATGCTTAGCTACATATTTACATGGTACACACAAACATACAAATATAAATAAACAGGTTTAAATGATTTGTTCAGCGATATTGGCGCATAAGTATACTTATACATATATGTACATATTGACAACATATATATATATGTACATATGTACATGTGTATGCATTATATATGCATAAAAGAACATTAGACACTTGAATAAACGAAGAAAGGAAAAGTTCTTAGTAAAAATATTTACACATAGACTTGTCAACACCTAGACTTAGTTACAGAATGTCTTAACGATTGGGCTCTTTGAAAAATTAATAAAAATCACAACACCGTTTTCTTACGATTTTTCTGTTGTTGTTTACATTAATTTTTTTTTTACCGCAGCAACAAAAATATATTGAAGAAAGCAGCAATCGCAGCAATATGTCAGTCGCAGCGATGGCAATGTTCGCCAACCAGGCTGTCAGGCATGATCACACACTCTCCTGTTAAGTGGCAGCCAAAGCCAATGCACATTATGTGGTTTTATACGTATATATACGTATATACGTATACAGGTAGATGCAACTCAGCAGATAAATATGTACATTCGTGTATGTACTAGTATATACATATAGAAGCCTAATAAAAGCTACATTTGTACATATGTATTTCTACATTAAAAAAGGGCTCTAACTTTCGTTGGCGGCAACATACGTAAATAACGAATGGGATATAAACTTAAGCGTCAAGCTACAAAACGGAAAAAAGATATTTTAAAAATTAAGGAAGCATTAAAGAAAAACAAATGCATTTGCGCAAACACACATTTGACGAATAAATAACAATATTTTTAGAAATATTTTTGTGCCGACAAACCGAAGCTTAGACAATTTAAATAATGTCACGTACATGAGGAAATAATTATATACTACACATAATATTTTATTTCTTAAAATATTACCTTTTTTATAGAACTCCTGGTTTTTTCACAAATATGCAAATATTTTTTTTTGTTTTTTTATTCACTGATCCCAGTATTTGTCAGTGTATTAGTTCACTATTTACCGGTTTTCTATTACAAACACCACTTTTAATCGCATTAACATCTGTATTTATTTATATTAATTAGTAATGAGTAAGTTTTTCTATTACAATTTTAAATCACATTTCAAATTTTCAATAAGAACGTCGAAAAAATTATTTTTCTTTTTCGATAATCATACATAAATATATTTTATTTCACTATGCGTGCATTTTTTTCTTAAAAAATATTAAATTTTCAACAGATTAAGAGTTCTTGAAGAGCGATCAGTTCACGACGCCGCTAAGTGTTCAAAAGCACTGAATTTCCAATTTAGTGAACATGGCACGACGACGACCACGTTGTTTGGTTTGCAGTCAAACGCTCAGTGCTACGTTATATATAATAAAAACACTTTGCAGGTATTTGCGGCTGCAGCGGCGGCTAACGCTAGCTTAGAATGGCTAGACAGTTGGATGGGTGCATAGAGTAGCTAACCAATAGGTACATTCTCATCAGGGGTATGGACGTTTTATTGTGTACTCTTCATATGTTTAGATAAGTACATATGTGTGTTTGTAATCAGAACTCTCACTTCAGTTTGTAATTGGATATAAAGTTGTCAGTATTTTGTTTAAATTATTTGTACTTTCTAAATTAAATGCAAACCAACCTTAAAATTTTTATATTATAAATATATAGGCTTATTCTTTTCGCGCAAATTACATCGCAAATAATTAGTATAAATTTTATAAAACAAGCCGGCACTCTTCCTAATTTTTATCCTTAACTTTTATTTATACAATGTTTATCGCTTTTACTGAAATAATATAGAAAAGATCGTTAAAGGAAACGGTTTTGAATAGAACGGAACCAGAACATGAACGGAGTCCAGAAATGGAATATGAAAACCAAACTCCATCAATAACTATTTTATGAAAATGAATTTGTAACGAAATCAATTAAAGGTGCATTAAATATTATTTGCAATTTAATATTTAAAATGAATAATTATATTATATTTCTTAAATAATATTCTTAATGTCTGCAATAAATTGTCACCCTGTTCGCTGTTGCCTGTTGCATTTTCTAATAATCAGAAACTTTTGTACACCCTGTAATTCTTTTTAATACATTTTCCTTGTCGTAGCAACTTTTTTCTGTTGGTGAATACTTATTTTCTTTTTCATACGACGGTGATATTCTTTTCTTTTAACGTTAAGCAAAGTATATTAACTCAAACTGTATACTTTGCATAAAATACCACCGATTATAATGTTTTAAACAAACGAACGAATCTTTAAATTTCTACATAGTAAAGTGAAATGTTTTTGTAACACACGAAAGCAGCCTGAGGAAAGATACAGAACGACAACTTAGCTGAAACTTCCAAAGAAAGTCGGTGATACCTCAACATCAATAGTTCGAACATAATTTGAACATGGCATCTCGTGGTGGACCAATGGTGGCTGGCACCGATGGGGCTGACTACGAATACAGACAACGTGTGGCTGCACCACACCGTATGAGGTTAATAAAGTGCCTTCTATTAAATTTGGTTATCACATATTAGAAGCTTATGAAGTAACTTTTCAATATGTCATTAGTAGTTCAGGCTAGCGAATAGTTTGCATAATTTAATAATATGTAGAGACATACAAGTGTTTGCTTATTTGATCATGTTGACGATATTTCGAGGGGCTAGACGAAGGCCGCATTTGTATGGGGAAAGTGTTTGCAGGCAAATTCTTTTACAGGGCGCTGCTCCTATTGTCTGTGATTACTGTGCTCTTTCATTGGCCAATTGCCAGATTATGTTTACATTTCGTTATTATGGACAAGCGTGAGTTGGGAACTGTCGATAGCGTCTTCGGTGCCTAACCGCACACGGTGACGTGGGCTTTCGGCGCAACGAAATGTAGCGGCGAATGTGTGTGCATTGATGTATGTACGGGTGCCAACTTATTTGTTGTTTGGCAGTAAAAACAATAGCTAATGCATATACAATTGATAAGATTTTATTAAATTTTTTTTTATTTGGGAAACTCAGCTTAAAAAAAAAGTATACATATAAAAGGCATAATTACTATATTTAATTTTCATTTATCTTTTCTATAGTTTGCAGAGCAAAAAGCGAGTAAAATTTTGCATTTGCTATCATATCGTACTTTCTACTTTTATGATGACCAAGTTGTCTCCGGATTTTTTGGATCGAATTGATGTCTTTTGGCTGGAGGTGGAGGAACTTGAAGTGCCAAAACCACTGTTGTGGGAATACGTTTGGATGACATCGGTATTTACAATGTGGTTTGCTCTTTCGGCAATACTTAACAATACTGTTCGCGAAATGCAAAAATATATGATAGCCCTTACGTTAACTGGCGTTATACCCGTTTGCTACTGCTTTGTTTACTACTTTAGAGATTTTTGGGAGTACATTAATTTAGATGCGGGAACTGATATAAAGGAAACGGATATTTTTATATGGCGCGTAAGTAATGAACATTTCTTATACAAAGATTTTTTCTCAAACTAACCATTTTAAAATTCTAGGGTATGCCTTACGCGGTGTTGTGGTATGGCTTCTCGGCTGTCGCTATTCAGTTACACGGTTTTACGCTGTATTTCGCCTATAAATGCATTCAAGCATGGCGTATGCGCAGCGCTGTAAAGAAGTCCCAATAGGTCAAAACTAAAACAAAGGATTGACGCACTTTGAAAACGTTTGATCAAATCAAATCTTAGGCAGACGGTCAATTTATGTCTGATTAAGGCAATTATGTTGTTTATGCTCATTAAAGTTTTCAATCTTGGATTAAAGTGAAATTTTTGCAGTCTCACAATTATCTCTTGACTGCTTGCTAATTTATGTACTTATATACTTTCTATATTGAATACTTTTCCAAATTACAATCTACAGGATTTATGTTCAAGTGTTTTCATTAAAACATTTTTGATAGAAAACAATAACAAAAAAGATGTTACTACAAACAAATTGTGCGCCATTCCATACATTTTGAGTCTATTTTTGTCAGTCTATTCGAGACATTTATCCCAATGTACAACTAGCCATACGCATATTTTATAGCATATGATACTGTTTGTTAATCTTACTGGGTCAAAAATTTAGAAAAGCTACAATTTATTTGTTCAATCCTTGATTGTCTGCATAAATCAGCCGGATAGAATGAATACTGCAATAAATAGAATAAAAAAATGAATTCAACCAAAATTTAATTTATACGCACATGGAATAGCGTGAAGTCAAACTTAACTACTAATGTGTTATATCAAATTTGCCAATTACAAATTAAAAGTAATTTTATGTCTTACTTGACATATCAGCTGTAGTTTGCACAATTTTGTAAAAAAAAAACAAAAACATTTGAATAAAATTTTAAAAGTAGCTAAATACAATGTACAAAAATTTCGATTTTCTTCACAGCAATGGCATCCGAGTATTTGAAAAACTATATTTTCATATCTGTGACCAAAAGCAAATGAAGTGAAAATAAAATATATATTTTTAACTGGCAATATCATCATAAAATTCATTGCGTAATAAAAATACTCAAAATATTTATTTATCTTTAGAGTTTAAAGTTCCTTATTAAAATATACGAATGTGTTTTCTACATATAAAAAACACCGAACTGCCTAACATCATCCATAAGTTCCCATCAAGGGCCAACAACTATTTTTTTGTACAAAATATGCTTCTACTTACATACGTATGTATGTATGTATGTATGCCTATATCTATGTACTTATTTGTGTTCTGAGACCTAGTTGTTCATTTTGGAACAGATGCATTTGATAATGCAAAAGTAATATAAAAAATATAAATTAATAATTTTAACAAAGAATGGGTAACAAAATGGTTATAAATGAAGAGTTATGTAATATATATGAAAATATCTTAATTGATTTGTAAATTCGTGTAAATTGTTGTGCTGTTCAATAAATGTCATTTAAAATAATATTGGAAAACAAATTAAGTTAATAAAGCTATTATGTTTTGTGTGGGTTAAAAGCATTTCAGTTGTGTTATTTTTTGCTATAAATTTTGATAAAAGCGCGGGTAATCTATACTAACACCTTCAGGAAACTATATGGCTAATTATTACTCCGATCAAGGATACATGAACTTCTCTACTCTGCAACTGCATAAATTCGAACGACATGCCTTAGTAAGTTTAGCCACTGGCCCATGCAGTAGCTTAATTGTATCTGCGCCATATTTCAGTACAAGGAAGACATAGAAATGTGCTTACAAGAATATAACCACAAGAGGTTATACTATCACCAACCAGGTTTCAACATACTACTTCCTCTATCAAAACTGTTGCACTTACAAAAATTTTCTCAACTCCATTCTACCAGTATTGTGTATATTGAAAAATAAATTTGCACGTACACTCAGATTTGTTCGTTGGGTATTACTCATGTAATATTTACCTTAGCTGCTGAACGAAAATAAAATGTGCCAGCTTAATGTATATATAATCGTTAGTAAGTATTCAATGACTCGTTTCTGTCACATTTATTTAGTGTGGCAATTGAGTTCAATGCCAAGACAAATAATTAAACAATCAATACTATTTGTTTTTTAATTTATTTGTTCGCTTTTTGGGGAATTCTGCGGTAAACAGAACTAACTAAACAGGAACATTTAGCAAGTCCACTACTGGATCCGCTTCAGACAGAAAACAAAGAGCTTTTTATATATCTATTGAAATTTATTTCCACCAAAACCAAACAAAAAATTCGCTGTCTCTATCCTCATAAAATGTTTTACCGTACTAGAACAAAAAAATATATATATTTGGACAACTCCAAAGGATCGTTACGAAAGGCGTGTTTTTTTCTGTTCTTACGATCAACCGAAACAAAATTTTTATGGGACTAAGGAGGGTTATTTAATATAACATTCTAATACTATGTAGGTATAGACGACCGATGAATGCATTTGTGGATATAGCCTTTAAGCACGATAAAATGCTCAATCTGTCGGGCATCACAGTATTTCTTGGGTATTGACAGTATAACCACAATCCTGGCGAAAGATTTTCTAATCTCAAATATATCTACCTGATCAGAGACTAAAACCAACTAAACAAATTTTCAACTCAAACCTGGAATCATATTGGATTAGTATTTGAAATCAAATGAGTTGAAAAATATACTGAAATTTTGGTCAATAAAAATCACCTTCCTATGTACCGTACATTGGAAGAAAAGTTACGCTACACACTGTATGCATTGCTTAACGCTTTGTTGTTGTACAGAACTTTATCAAAACATGCAACAACACTTTCAAAGTGACATAATGCGCCAGTCTGATGAATGAGACCACCAATTTTGCTCCAACGCTCTACTCCCCTACATTGCTGCTGTCACACTATACCGTTAACTGACCAGTGAGCAGTGGTCAGGCAAAAGGAAAACAAAACAATAAACAGACTGACAAACTTTCGGATATTTTGCAACCCCAAACAATTAAAGCAGTATAATATATATATACTAGAACTAGTACTAGTCTTTATATGCATATATGCATACATATATATAGAGAAATGGCTTTTTCACTGTTTGGTCAGTAAAAAATCCTTGAAGCGCGTTAGACTGCATTAGTCGCCATCGGCACGTGCTGCAGTGCAACAGCTCAAAGTGCAAAACGAAAAATAAATATATCGTATATATAATTTTTCCTACATATTTATACAATATATATTTACATAATTGTTAAATCAACAAAAAAGGAAAATTTTATTATTATTTCTATTATTTATTATAAACAGCTGTTTTAAACTCGCTATACAAAAACTCAGTGTAAATTATCCTTAAGTCCAGACAAAGCCTGCGCATAAGCAATACAAAAAGTGTTTATTGTTGTTGTTGCGGCATTTGATTACATAGCTTTTGCATAAGTAGATAGTATATATTGTTTTTCTTCGCGCTGCCGGCAAACAATTCGCCTTCGTCGTGCAGCATCCGCCAACGAAGCGTACCCAACAGCGCTGACTGTTTGGCTAACAGCCCAAATGTACAGACAGATAGTTATGTATGTACATAAGTGCATATGTAAGTATATTGGCCATTTCGCTGTTTGACTTGTGGTGAAAATTCAAAACTACACCAGTATTGCTGCAGAATCGAGGGTCATAGGACATATGTAAGCGCAGCTCCGAACAAAGAATGCAAAAAATTTAAATAAAATTAGATTAAAAATCTATCTTTTAATTTAAATTTGATGTGTGTGCATAATAATATAATAATATAATAACTATGAAAAAGTGCATGATATTTCCGACTAACGAATGTAACCGTAAATATGCTGTAAATAGAATTTTTTAGAGGATTGCATATAACATGAAAGAAATATAATTGTTTCAAAAAACATATACTAAGAAATACTAAGCGAAAATGTCTTCGAAGCAGCGTGGTGAGGAAACATATCGACGCATCACACGCGAAAAGCTGGTGCTGCGCGGCAATACTGCCATTCGCACCTTAGATTCCACCACATCCTATCTGCCGTTGCTGCCTGGGTGAGTGCCAATAATTGGAAAAGTGATAAGTGACTATAATATCGACTTTCTAATAAAAGACATATCCATACATCTACATATACACATATACAATACATACAAATGTATGTAGAGATATTTAAATATTTATGTATATATGTATGTATGTGCATATCTGCGCATCTGTATGCGTTGCAAGAAATTGATTTTTTCTCCGACACATTCAACATCTCGGCATCATCAACATTTTTTTCCTTCTATCAACATACCGAAGGCCATACATAACAGCTTGATGTCCTCTTGCCGGCTGCAGAGCCCCAGTGCAAGCAATTATTGTTATAGTATGCCATTATGAAATCCCTGAGCGAATGACGCTTGAGTTGTTTATATACACAAATATAGTTTGTATGTAAGCCTACAAGCAAGCAAAGGAGTGTTCAGTTTCATTTATTAATATTTTTCAAAAGTTTCCGAAATGAGCACTAGTATTTAACTTTCATACCTCTGACATCTACAAGTATGTTACGCAATAGTTATATTTGCTTTTAAGGACCTTCAAACTAGAGCAAAAAGTCGAAATCTTATTTTTTACTTAGACTTATGACAGAAAAAGAGAAAAATGTACTTGAAGAACTCTAAAGGCGTGAGCGTCCTTTAAAACGTATATGAAATGAATGAAAATGAAAATTAGTTACAAAGCGTTGAAAAAGGTCTAATTTAGCTATAATAATAATAATATAATAATATATCGGGGGTTCAAGTATTCGTTTTTTATTTTCCGTTACAAAAATGTTACTTCAGAACTCTACTGAAAGCCCAGATGTTAACCTATCGAATCAATATTTCCCTTCTATAGTTTTCTTAATTTCCGATCAGTGATAGTTAGGATTTTGTGTGTTTGTATTTCGTCATAGAGAATTTTGGTCGGACTCACTCGATCTCTTTATCTTCTGATTCTTCGGACTAATTAATTAATTTCTTTGATCTTTAATACTTGGAACGAGATAAATGTAACGGGGCGAAAGTTTATCTTGATTTTAATAAAATTTTGATATATTACTTGTAGTAAACTTGGGTATAATAGAAGGAAACTTATTGTGGCTTCTGCTTTGAATAGCAAGGCTAAAAGGTTGATTCTGAAAGAAATGTGTCGCTTGTAAAATAAATCCAAATAAGGTCGAACTACCGGTTTAGGTGCCGCTTATCATTTTCTACATGTTAAAAATCTCGAAATGACTGCTAAAGGATCATTTATTCAAAAATCGCTCTAACCTCAGAGTGAAATTCGAAACTCTAAAACTTCTATGTATAAAGGTTCATAAGCCGCTAAGGCTCATCTAAATCAATTAGAAACTCGACAAGCAAACGTATGCTAGTAGAGTTTTAAACCGTAACTGGTATATATTATATTTATACAATATACATGTAAATTTATGGATTTCTACCCCAATTGCTGCAATTGACCGCAAATAAGCACACATTTAACCTGAAATATTTTTGATGAAAATCGCAAATCACACAAACCAACCAAATCCACACACCCACACACGTGCATAGACCTATGCTATTTATTAGAAATATAGAGTTCGCTACTTTTCACATTTAGTTTAGTCGCATACTCTTGTTGCCGTAGTGCCATAAAGTTTAGCGCACTTTAGTCGGTAGTTATGAACGAATTCTCACATAGTTTTCGAACATTCCCTGGCGCATACACAAATATGTACATAGGTGTATTTAAATTAAGTTTAGAAGAGCCAAGAATTTGCTAGTCACTAACAAATGTTTGTGGAAAATATTAACTTCATGAAAGACGTCACTTTGGCTAGTCGGACGTTCGCATTTTCATGTTATTCCTATTAAATTGTTACGTGCGAAAGCGCAATTAACGGTATAGTTAAAAAAATGCGAGGTTGGAGCGTTAAGTATTTGAAAACCAAAACAAAGCAAAAGTAAAATTTTTACGATATTGATGGTAAGCCACGACGATATTGATGCAAAATCCCGGCTGAGGCAAAATGATCACTTATGGCAAAGTGTTTTCCTACACCAATCTGAGCCGAACTAGAAAATTAGGTTAATTCCTGCACTTCATGATGAATCAGAAACTCTCCTGATTGCATTTTGCAAAACAAGATCGGGGACAGGTCTGCAATTAAAGATACTATTGGAGTAGTGCCTAAATACCAGAATTTCTGACAGGATGGCATTTAAAGACCGATCTGCTCCACTCATATTTCGGTTGGTATCTGGATATTGTTTTACAAATGGATGCACGTATAATTTTTAAGAAGGTTCTGAAAGCTTTATGAATTTTTTGAGAGAATCGGATATTCCCTTTTAATTTTAATAAAATGCGCACGAAACCACACTGAAGTGTGCGATATTAATTGAGATTATTTTACCCTATAAAGCGAAGGCTTACAGCTTTAACTCTCTCCGTGTGAATATGGAATGTCGAAAATTAGAAATACACATTTTTCGTTGTAAGAAAAAGTTAGAATGGTATATATTTTAAAATTAATATTTCGCATCTAATTCAAATTAAGGTGTTTTTACTGTAATTCCATAAAGTATACATAAATGATTTTTTGATATTGCAAGAATATGGTAGAAAAATTCATTAGTATTGCAGCCATGCGTACGACAACAAATACAACAACTATCGATCTATAATCCACAACAATAATTAGCCACAACAAAAGTCGAAACTTTTAGTCAAAACGAAACTAAACGACTGGCAATGGCTCAAGGAATATTAGTACTTCCGATTTTATAGAAGCATACAATAACGCAACAGCAAAAAAAGCATTTTGCAGATACTCAAGCATAGTAAAACATAACACAGATTGAAATAGAAACAACAACAAAACAAAAGCAGCACAAATGCCACTTCCTTTAACCTCAATACAAATTCAAGAAACAAACGAGTTGTTTTGGCATAACCAGCTGTGTGTGTGTGTGTTGTTGTACGAGTTCGTGAGTATGTGATGCACAAATGTCTCAGAATGGAGTAAACGCAATAAAAGCAATAAACAAGTGGTCAACGGCTTCAATGTATCCATGTGTATGTATTTTTGCGCATGTGTGTATAAGCATACTAACATGCCAGTGCTGCCACTAAATGTAAACGCATGCAAGTACTTAAAGGGTGGTAATTTTGTATGTAGAATATTAATGGAGATCCTTCAAAGCAAGTGCACTAACACCATACATACTCGTACATGTATGTTTGTTGTGTGTATATTTGTGTTTATACTTTTTTTTCGACTGCTTGTGCAGTTAATGGCAGCGGCTTTTTTGTTGTGGCCCAACACGGTGCGACGCAACGCCATCTCCTCCACAACCGTTACTCCGGCATTTCTATTGTGCAAATGACCATTGTTGGCGCGACGCCGCCAATGACCGCTGCCTCGGGCGCACAGTTGGTCAGTTAGTGTTTAGCATTCGCGGCAAATGGTCAAGTATTTGTTGTAGAGCTCGCGCGTACCAACGTTAACAACCGTTACGCACCACAACAGAATGTCACAACGTTTGTAGTGCAAAATTATGGAAGTTATTTCCTAAAGAAAATCAACAATTAATTTATTTTTAAAGTACAAGTCACTAAGAAAAAGTAAAAAAAGTAAAATAAAAAAATTTTTTTTAATAAAATTTTCTAAATACACAGTATGTTTAATATGAACGCTCATAATTGGCTGGGCATGGCATTGGAGCAGCCGCTTGGCGAGGGAACCATTGCCTCCGCCATAACCAATGCAAATGCAACGCAATATAATGGCAACATCGGTGAAGGTGGCCTAACAATAACACCACCACCAGCCGCAGCGCCGCCCCCAAGCGCGCCTCTACATCATACTTTTCTACGGAAACGTTCCGTTTGCAATTCGAATCCGTCGCTCGAACGCCCAACGCCCACCAATGATATACATGTGGAGTATGAAGTCGCCGTGCCCATCGTGTCCACATTCCGTCATACACCCTATCATTCATTATGGGATCTACATGATTGGTAATTCCTTTTTATTTATAAGCATTTATAAATATTCCAACAATGCAGCAAGTCCCATAAAACAGAAATACATTAAAAGTACAAAAGAAAAGTCGTACCTAACCGCAAACTCAAGTATAATGGCCAACTATAACTACGTTCTTGAAGTGTGCCCTTCACGTGGTCGTGGGAAATTCTATACTTGCCTGCTATATCCATCACAATTCGATCAAATGTATGTAAATGTGAAAAGTTGAGCCATTTCCATTGGCAATTCCACCATTTATTGTTGCTAGTCTTTATTTGTGCATAAATTTTATTTGACGTTTATACAGTTTCCTTAACATTCAAGTGATTGACATGGTCAGATGCATTTGAAATTGCTGATTATTAATCTATAACTTCTATAATGCCAGGACACAGAGCTCACGGTGTCAGGTTGTTCGCATCCTTGTCACTCAAGTGGAAAACTTTTACTGCGATAACATTTACAATAGCAATGAGTGCTTATTTTCAAGAGGTCATTGTGTAATTGAAATAAAAATCATAAGTTCTAACGCAGAAATATTAACGATCATTAAATTAATTTGATGGTTAGACAATTTTCTTCTTCCATTTATTGAGTTATTGTGTAAATACAGGATTTGACAAATTTGCAGGCGCTTCCGTCAAAAAGTGCTTGGAAGTATATATTACCCGAATAATTTATAGATTTTCTCGTGTCAATTTTCGAATAATTCGCATTTACTCTACTTCCTACACCTACATATGCGCTGTCGATTTAAGTATGTACTTCTCAATGCAGCAAAAAATATGATAATATCAATATCAGTCTTCCCATTGTGGTTTTATTTCCACTTGAATGGAAAAATTCAATCAAACAAGCAGTGCTATCGCTTATCGCTTCACATGAACCATGGAATTCACCATAAAATCAATTATTTCAAGTAAAATATTTTTAAAGAGGTTATTATTACGATCCATATATGCTAACAGAGATAGTTGAAAGAGATTTGAGCTTGAAAATCATTTTGTTTAGTGTTTGAGTGTTAGTAGAGGTGTAGGTATTAATGAAAATTCGAGGTTCTATATGCGATTCTTGCAAAAATACAAACAAAAGTCAATGTCAAAGAGCAACTTATTCCCGTAATTTGGCTCTTAAAACTTAAATATTAATGGTCCACATCATCAGAATATGTATATTTTTTATGAGCCCCTGTAAAGTTTTATCGAATGATATTATCACTAGGATGGAATGATTATACTTAGATCTACAATATTACTGTTATTGCACTATTTAACCTAGCCCTAATATTTTGGTATGTTAAAAACCGTAATAGCATCGAGATATCCAAATATAAAAACCTAATCTACTACTCTACAATTGTTCTCAGCTTTCCATTTCATGGTACACACAATGTGGCTTTTTCAAATCGAATTTAATACTGGATTTATGTAAATATGTTACATAATAAAATTATCTTAACAAAAAATTCATTTAAACATTATTTTATGTTTTCATTAATCACGCAACAATCGAAGCAATTAAGTTGTGCCCTATAAATGTGGAATTGAACATTTTAATTTTAGTTCTTACTTTTTTACATAAAATTTTTTTTTTTGTAATTAGTTCAAAGCCACTAAATTTGAGTTACGTGCTTTTTAGAAAACCAACATAAATGCATTATTTCAAATCTTCATACCACATTACTCATACGCCCTGTCAGCAACATAAAATACATGGCGTATAAGCAATATTGTGCTCAGTGTTCAATGCCGCCCGCATTTGTTGAAGGAGGAGTGCATACAAATTATTACAAATACATACAAGAGATAATTCAGACAATGAAAATAGATAACAAGAAGGAAAATCATAAAGCAGCATTTAGCATTGGAGTACAATTGTTTTTTATATATTAGAGAGTATACAAGTATATTTATGTTAATAGATTAAGAGAAATAGATATGAGATAAATAAAAATTATACCTATACATACATATATAAATTGTATTCAATACAATGCATGCAGATTGCTGTATCGTAAAATTCTGTATTAAAAAATGGCAGCGTTAGCAATTGTGGAGCTTTAGTTTTGATAAGCATAAAACAAATAATTGCTTGTAAGACTCGTACCACTTTTGCAGAATACAATAGGCATAGCAGTACCGGTCTCAGTGGTTTGAAAATAGTCATTAACCCAAATTCCTTAATAAATACTAAGCAATGGAAATTGCCCAAAACGGAAATACCAAAAAGGCAATGCGACAAAGCAATCATTTCGAGCACTCACTTGCACTCTCCCTTAAGGAAAGGAAAAAAAACAGAAATTCATGTCAAACGAATCAGCATAGAAGATTAACTTACAAGTCAATAACTCATATTCTATGCATATGTAGCACCCTGTGTTTAAAACATAGTTCTAACAGTAAGCTTAGGCATTTGCATGATGCATTTACTTATTTTATGAAAGGAAATGCTAGGAAGTCATAGAACAAAAGTTACAACTCATGATTTGCGATTACGGATAAACACGCATACTTACATATACTCGTATGTTTGTAATTATAGATGTAGGTAGGTATGTCTTTAATTGTGCTTAAGAGAAAAACAATGAGTGTAGTAAGCATTTTACTGCCTAATCTCTAGTAAACAAATAGCGCGATGGCTGATATGTTGCACACGAAACGACAGATGTCAAAAATTGTAAGTCTAATATTTGCTGAGTTGGTTCATAGTTTAGAAGAAAATGGGTTTTATTGCATAAAATTTGTAAATAAAGAGTAAAAAGAGAATTCTTTTTTTATATTGAAATATACAAAGGCGAGATTGTAATCTACATTATATAAAAAAACTAAATAATAAATTAGCAACTCAAAAGCAAACAAACAACTTCATACTGAAAAGATTCATATAAAAATTACTCTAGAAAGTTATACATAGTTAGTACTCAAATCGAAATAAAAACCAAAACAAAACGGAAAATTGCGTTTATTGGCAAATAGATTGGTCTCAATCATTGCTTTGCTAGAAGATACAAAGTTCACGCCGGTAGTAATATGCCTCTCAGAACGAATTATCTATGCCTACGCCAAGAGTACAACGTGTTTTCTCTTTACAATTTCTAACCTCAGATCAAAAAAAAATACTTTTCCAAACGAATCATAAATAAAAAAATACAGTTTTGAAAGTAAACACAAAAATTGAGAATTTTTTTTGTGTTATTCTTGGTTAATTATTCACAGATTATAATCTAACCCAGCAAAAATATTAGCCAAAAAAATGTGCTTCAATCACCACCAAGCCATAAATTAATACCCTTAATAAAACCTTATCAAATTAGCGTGAGCTTTATGGGACTCACTGAGAGAAAATTAAAGTGATGCATTGATTAAAAGTTTCCTGATTCGAATAAGATTTCTCGTACTCGTCTAACGATACTAAGCTGGTCAGTACTGAATAAGCCTAACAAAAAGGAAAATTGCGCACTAATGTTGCCTCGATTGCTGTTACGTCACCTCTTCAATTAATACTTGACATGTTCGTGTCAAGCCTTTGTCCAATATACACAAGTCAAATCCAGCACAGTAACAATAAAGTTTAGAGTAATAAAAGGCTCAGCTGAAAGCTCAATAACCTGGCAATTCTTAACAAAGTTTATTGAACTCGACGCAATTTAAAAGCATATATTTATAGGGACATAAACACACACAGGAAAGAGTGCTTATATATTCATATATATACATATGTGTATGTGTGTGTACTCATAAGCAGATAGAAAAATAAATTGTTTGGTTTGGTAACGCAACACGTTCTCAACCGGCAAAAAAAAAGAGACGTCATGCTTGCCTTTAAAAATAACTGCATAAGTTTACATAGTGTTCACGAGCGTGTATATAAGTATGTTATAGTATATTTATGCACATTTCTATTGTCAAATCAACAACGATACTCGCCTTATGTTTTTTAAAATGCTGAGGCTATTTTTACAACTACATTTGCATTAAGTATATATATGTAACTGTATATATAATTGTATGTACCCGGTCACTTATTCGATAGAATACAAGTATGAAATATATGTTTTATATGTACGATATGTACCGTTATTCAGCTCGATCAGCACCAACGGAAGCTCTTGCATGCCTTCGACATTATTTTTATTTTTTATTCGTTTTTTTATTAACTTTTTTTCTTGCTCATATACATACATATGTACATTGTCAGCTAATAATAACGCTATGCCGACCACACCGTGTCTACTGTCTAGACCATGCTAACCAATCCAACCAGTCCCTAAGGTCTAAGTCAGTTGATGGTTGGCGAGTCGTCGTTACTTTGTTGTTGCTTACTCACACAATGCATTTTTATACATACATACATATTTATTGTAATTATTAATTTTCATATTTATTATGTTATATGGTATACATCTCTAGGTCTATACATATAGTATAGTATCTCTTTAAGCACATACAATTTCAGGAATTGTTTGCGTGCAGATATATATCAGCTATATTGGGCGTGTGTTAAAACGGCATTATACTTGACCTTACTGTTAATAAAATGATAACATATATAAATACATATACATTCATATGTATGTGATTATTTGAAAGGACATGTACATATGTTGGTATATATTTCACACACATACTATACATTCTAATGGGCGTTATTTTTGCAACGAGTTTTTAACGCAAAAGTAAAAATCGTTCAGTTTTGAGAATAATTTGTTTGTTTTGAATGATAAACATTAATTTTAACGAGACAGAGAAGCTGAGCAAACTTAAGAAGATTGCCAAGTTGACAAAATAACGAAACCGTGCTTTAACTAGTTAGAATGCTCTTCTTCATGCGAGCGAAAAAACTGGGAGCAAGCAATAAATATAATCCGCTACAATCAACGGTAGAAGAGTTTATTTTGTAATAAATTCAAATATTCTCTCGAAGGCTTTCAAACTGAATTCCGTTAGCAATCAATCATAATCATAGTGCCACAATTGATGATGAAAGAACCAACACGGTCTTTAGAGCATACCAGAGAGAGACTCTTCTACAAATATTAATGTAACTTTGTAAAAAAAAACTGGTTTAGCTTCTGCTATGTAGCTCTTATACTCGTACGTACTTCTACCAATACAAACTTAAGCATTATTTAAATTGGGGTATGTTGTTGTATGAATTTGTTTATAAATTCACTACATTTCTCGAAAAGTTCTGAATTGAACAGCACTCTTCTACTATTCAAAAGTTGTTAACTTTACCTTGAATATCTTCCTTACAGTACCTCCACAACACCGCCGACGGGACTCTCGCATGTGGCACGCATGATGGACTCATTAATACTAGATCAATATCCACCATTCGCATTCACAAAGATCACAACCACTCATCGGCCATCACGAACTGGGAACAACAAGAAAACCGAAACCACACGCACAACCACTTTGACTGGTCTTTCGCCCAGCAACGCGACTACCTTTGGCGCTGGCAGCGGTATTGCGGCAGGAGGTCTACGAAAAACGCGCATACCAACACAAGGTGTGTAGAAAAAATTCGATATAACTGTTGCAGATTAGTTTTATTATCTATACATTTCTTCCAGAAGTACCCCCACAGCCACGCCCCAATACAAATTTGCCACCAACAGTCGGCGCCACAAATCCACTTTATCAGAATGTCAACGGTGGCACTAACAGCAGCGGCGTTGGTGGTAATAATACACACATACAATTCCCAAATCATAATGATAACCGTTGGATTTCATCGTTACGTCGATCCCGCGATCCCGAACTACAGCCGACACTGCCTTCGATCAATTTGAGCCATCACGGTAGCGCACATAATGTGGGCGGTAGCCTGAGCACCAGCACTGATAAAGGGCGCAGTTCGCGCAGCATTAAGACGTCGACTATAGCGGCTACGCGCAAGAGTCGCAGTGTGGAACGTATTCGAGCACGCAAACTTACCACACAAATTAAACTCAAGGATAAACCGAAGAAGAATTCAATCGATGAGAATTCCAATTCGGATGATCAGGAAATTACATCACTAGAGGAGAACTCTACGTCACAGAATACGCCGAAGTGTTCGCCAAAAACGAAAACGAAAATATTCTCACCCATCGGCTATGAGTCACATTTGGTAGACACACTGGAAAAGGATATATTACAGCGTAATCCAGGTGTTAAATGGAGTGATGTAGCTGGCTTGAATGATGCAAAGGCCATATTACAAGAAGCGGTTGTATTGCCGATCATTATGCCCGATTTTTTCAAAGGTATACGACGACCATGGCGTGGCGTATTGATGGTGGGCGCACCAGGTACTGGCAAGACTATGTTAGCCAAGGCTGTGGCCACGGAATGTGGCACGACTTTCTTTAATGTCTCCTCGGCGACACTAACCTCAAAATATCGTGGCGAAAGCGAAAAACTGGTGCGTCTATTATTCGAGATGGCGCGCTTCTATGCGCCGAGCACAATTTTCTTTGACGAAATTGATGCGTTGTGTACATCACGTGGCAGCGATTCGGAACACGAGGCGAGCCGGCGATTTAAGGCAGAGCTGTTGATACAGATGGATGGTTTGAATGCAACTCTGCAGGATGATAAGATCATTATGGTTTTGGCGGCAACTAATCATCCCTGGGATATTGATGAGGCTTTCAGACGACGTTTCGAGAAAAGGATTTACATTGCACTTCCAAATGGTAAGTCAGGGGGGAGTAAGCAAAATATCATATTTTTGTTACAATATGTTGTTAGTACAATCATTAGTTAGACTAAAAAGTTCCATATTTCCATTTGTCCCTTCAGGCGATAATTTGAGTAGAATTGTAAGTTACGAAAGTTTTTACTGTTGGGTTTTTGTTTTCGTTATCAGTTTTTGCTCCACTAATAACTTATATATACATTTGAAAATAATTTATAATTGTTTTAATATAAATATCTGTTTTAAATTAACAAATTTGATGTTTTAATATTTCCTGCAGAGGAGACACGTTCCGCTCTACTCAAACTCTGCCTCAAGGATGTTCGTCTCTCACCCAGTTTAGATACGAATCTCATCGGCGACGAGTTGACAGGATACTCGGGCTCGGATATTAGTAATGTCTGTCGTGATGCGGCTATGATGGCGATGCGTCGTCTAATCATCGGACGCTCGCCATCGGAAATTAAGGAGATACGCCGAGAGGACATAGATCAACCAATAACAATACAGGATTTTAAAGACGCTATGGAACGTACGAAACAATCAGTTTCTTTGGACGATGTGGCACGTTTTGAAAAATGGATGGAAGTCTATGGTTCATGTTAAACTAATCTAGACGCTCAGAGCAAAACATTGCTCTTAAATTATATTAATTAATCACATTGAAATCTTAAAATCATAATAAGCAATAAATTGTAGAAATTTATTTAAACTAAGCAACAAAGCGCTCAATATAAAAATGTGCAGAAAGAAAATACATACATTAGGGTGTCCGTCATTTACAAGTCAATTTCTTTTCTACGCAAATGCCACCTGATGTTTCAGTTTTGCGCTAAAATAGTATCGAACGTAAAGATCTATTTATTTTCAATTAAAATCGTGTCTAAATAATTTTTTTGAGATTTTTTGATATTATGTTACAAAGTTTTTATCTCCAAAGCAAATAAATATATTGTACTATATTATACAATTTGAAAAAGTGCAAAAAAACTGTATTCATATAGTACACCATGTGGTATGAGCAACACAGAATGTGTAAATCACTTGTGTGAATGTTCAGGTCATTTGATGTATAACTTTAACTGCATATAACTGTTAAAGGAATGTTTTTATGAAAAAAAACAAACTTTTTTTAGAGCGAAAAAATTTGCATTAGTATATTACTTTCCTAAAGTTGTAAATTTACTTGCTTAAACCAAAATATCAAAAAATCGCATGATATATGTACAAGTATACATGGGCAAAGAAAAATGTTTTAGGCACGGTTTAAATTTAAAATATAGAGCTTATTTACGTTGGATTCTTATTTTTAAGTTAAAAACTGAAAAAGAGGGGGCGTTTGCAAAAAAACACAATCAATTCACCAAATAACGGACACTCTAATACTACATATATGTGAGCTGTATTTAGTGTATGACTTTAAAATTTAGAAAAACTTCCATAGCTCATAACCATTGTATGGACTTGTAATAGGGATTTCTAATTTTCGATTCAATGTTTGACCTTTATCATTAGTTAAAAACAAGACCTGTATTCGCTCAAAATTTCGAAAACCCACCATTCCTAACCCAATACATTGTCCTATTTCCTAATTCAAATTTTAACAAATGAGCGTACGCAAAATTCACAAGTGATTATTACATAACCATTTATAAGCAACTAGTCGATAAACTAAACATTTTATATAAACAAATTTATAAATTTAATATTAACATGGTAAATGTACGTATATTCGAATCAATAAATTTACTAATATCTAATGAAATGTATGCTTGAATGTGCTTTTGTTTTAATTTTAATAATTTAATTTTATTGTATAATCAATCAAAACGCAATTAACTGATTACTAGTTAACATCGACATTGATAATAAAACACAAATAACTGTACTGTAAATCGCATGCTTAATTGCGTAATTTTTCAAGAATCTGTTTATAGGCGCCTTCTACTTGCTGGTACTCCTCATTTAACTGTTCAATGCGTTGCATTGGCGTGGGCAGACGTGCTCTCAACCATTCAGTATCCACATTGGCTTTCTCCATTTTCTTAATGTCGTTTATCTGCTTATAATGAACAGCATTTAAACGTCGCTTCACATCTAAACGATATGCCCGATAATCCTCTTCATCATTTAAATTTGTATAACAGAGGCGGAGTATTTCATAGACACGACGACACTGGCGAGGATTCAACTACGCATAAGAAACAAAAATAAAAAATAAATAATATTAGCATTATTTAAATTATAGCAACTTACTTTGAACGTTTCCCGTGCCTCTCTAATCATTTCCTTATTGAAACCTTTTTTAATGGCATCTCTTCCGAAACTTTTCAAACCCTTACATAGTCGTGCGTCCACAAAATTGCGTAAACGCTGAAAGTCGTCAGATGGATCTTCAACAGTCATATCCACCACGTTTTTCTGAGATTGATAATGCTTATATATGGTCTCTACGAAGCTTGTGCCAATCCCGAGCTTTTGGAATGGTGGTAGGACAAGCACTTGACTGATGCGTGGTCGTATGTGTTGTGGATATGCATAATACTCATAAACAGTGGTGTAACCCGTCGTTGCATACTGGTAATCTCCATTATCATTTTTATATTTTTCGTAGCTAATGTGTAACAAAAAAAAAGATTATAAAACAACACTGCTTTATGCTTTAGTACATACCATACAAAAAAACTCCACTGTGTATCATCAATGTCAATATACGATGCAGCATCAACAAACCAAAGTATAAATGTTTGTAGACGACTGAAAAATTTTAGAAACGCCTGCACTTTATAATCACAGTGATATATTTCGAACAAACGCTCCTTTCCCTGAGCGTCAGTTACTTGGTGTTCGGATAATTTTTCTCCAAAAGGTTGAAATTTATCGGCTTTGTCAAGTGTTTTTAAAAACTCATCCATATTGATAAAGAAACAGCCTTCGGGTAACTTTTCGGCAATAGTGAGCACAACATTATCAGCTTTTATGTCTCCTCCTGATATCTCATTTACTCGACTGCTATATTCTGTACCGATATAAATGTGAAGTGGTCCGGCAGTATATAGGATTCGCACTCGTAAATCTTTATAGCCAAATATGCTCTCCGATTCGCCAAATATTTGATGTGCCATCAACGGGTGGAACACCAGACTATCATCTTCTAGATCTTGCTTGCGACGTACTACAAGGCAAATAACATTGTTATGATTTTATAAAATTATTTTAAACTTAATAATTACTCAATTTAAATTCCACAACCTCAAGTGCGTCCAGCACGAGTTCTTCATAGTCGTGAATATGTGACATACCGGCAACAATAAACTTCCCTCCAAAATATGGTGTCACTTTTTCCTTCTTGAAAAGCTTCAAATCTTCACCTCTCTCGACTAGCTCGAGCACTTCTACTAAATTCAGTTAATGTTATTAATAGTGTATATTAGTTATTCTTCTGTATATGTACTAATTTAGATATTAAATGAAAACACATAAATCTTGATGTCGGTACAAAATTTCGGGCGCAAAATGCCAATAGCAACAAACCAGTGCCAATAAATGTTGACAAATGCCTGACAGCGCTGTGTTTCATATGCAAAATGATTGTCACTAACTAGAATAGTCCAAAACTGGACTGTTTAGGCATGAATTGATTTGAATTTTACACATTTATCCAAAATATTAAATATTTTTAATTCCTGGAAATAATAAACTTTAAATTTATTCTATTAATATGAACAGAAAAAACTAAATATTTGTCAAATATTTTGATTTGTTGTACTTCAAGCGACGTTGACATTAGATACTTAATCACAGCCAACTTAATTGATTAGTAAGCAGAATTATCCGAAGTCGATTTGTAGCCGCATTTAACATTATTTTTCCAAAAACTTTAAGTTGAACTGGTTCAATAAATTGTAATTGGCAAAAAGCACATTAAAACGTAATACATAACACACGGTAACTTAAAAAAATACTAGGTTCTCTAATATTCAAACCGAAAGTGTAAAGTTATCACATTTTTAGTTGACTCGTATATTCATTTGCGTATTCTTGTTTCTTTCGCTGCATTTGTTTTAGTTGAAAAATCGCAAAAAAATGGATAATTACCTGTTCGAAGGCGGTCGCATCACTAAAATGGAGGTTGATTATTCACCTGCATGTGATGAGAAAATTCCATTAGCCAAAGATATGGCAAGAAAAAATCCAGAAGCCTTCCACGGCGCCATCGAGCTGCTACTGCAACTTGAGAAACAAACTCGTCTGGTATGTAAACTTTTTGTATGGCGATTTTTAGGCTTATATCTATAGTATTGCTAATAACCGCAGGGCGCCGATATGGTTTCTTGTTCGCGTGTACTTGTCGCAATATGCCAGATTTGTTTTGAAGCTCAAAACTGGAATGCTTTAAATGAATATGTTTCATTACTGGCTCGTCGGCGATCGCAACTTAAACAAGCTGTCTCAAAAATGATACAAGAATGCTGCACTTATGTTGATAAAACGCCTGACAAAGCCACAAAATTGAAGCTTATTGATACTCTGCGTTCAGTAACTGAGGGCAAAATTTACGTAGAAATTGAACGTGCAAGACTAACGAAAATTCTGGCAGATATCAAAGAAGCTGATGGGGATATTCCTGGTGCAGCTTCTGTAATGGAAGAATTACAAGTCGAAACATATGGTTCAATGGATAAACGTGAAAAGGTTGAATTGATTTTGGAACAAATGCGGCTTTGTTTGTTGAAAGAAGACTTTGTTTCCACGCAAATCATAGCCAAGAAAATAAGCATTAAATTTTTTGATGATCCAGCCCAACACGATTTAAAGCTGAAATTCTACAATCTTATGATCCGGCTGGACCGCGATGGTTCTTTCTTGAAAACTTCTCGTCACTACCAGGCAATCGCGGAACCAGCACGTCCTGTACCAGCAGTCCCGCAATTAACTGAGGAGGAAAAGAAGAAATTAAGCGAGGAGGATAAAAAGAAGCGAGAAGATGAAATAAAAGCAGCAGCTGCTGCAGCGGCCGCATTGTCAACTGTAGAACTGACTCCCGAACAGGAAAAGGAACAAAAAGAGAAGCTTATCTGCGCTGTCCTTTACTGCGTATTAGCGCCATATGACAATGAACAAAGTGATATGATGGCACATTTATCGAAAAAGAAAAAGCTCGAAAACATACCCGCTTATCGGTTAGTGTCTGGTAAGAAAAATTGGGATATATAGTGATGATTTCTTTATGTTTACAGAGAAATATTGCGTTTGTTCATGTCGAAGGAACTGATAAATTTCGACACATTCAACTCTGATTTCGGAAGTGTATTGGCCGAGAATGAAATGTTTTCAGACAGCACAAAACATGGTCGCAAATGTATATCGGAATTAAAGGATCGTTTAATAGAGCATGTAAGTTATTTACGGATCGCGCAATTAGATTTTACATTGTATATTAATTTTCCACTAGAATATTCGTATTATTGCGATGTACTATTCCCGTATTCACCTCCAACGCATGAGTGAGTTGCTCAACTTGCCAACAAACCGCTGTGAAGAATACCTTTCAAAATTAGCGAATAGTGACACCATAAGAGTAAAAATTGATCGCCCTGTTGGAATAATTTACTTCACCACTAAAAAGAGCGCCTCGGATATTTTGAATAACTGGGCGAACGATGTGAATCAATTGATGTCATTGGTAAATAAGACTTGTCATCTTATCAATAAGGAAGAATGCATTCATTCGGCTATTGGAGTAGTTGTAGAGGAGTAGATTACCAGAAAAATGTACTTTCTTTTTTAACGTAATTTTCGCAAAGCTGATTTAAATTTAATTTACTAATATTTCTAATGCCCCAAACAAATGCATTTCACATCGAATGTATTAATATTGAAAACTAGGCATTAAAACGAAATAAAATGTACGCAAGCTTAAATATGAGTGTTTTTGAAATGTTATTGTAGTGAGGTTAAATATTTATTTCATAAACTAAAATATTATGTAAATCTTAATAGATTCACTCTATTTAGACGAAACTCTTAATTCAATGAAATTCCCAAAAGGTAAATTATATGAAAACAATATAATTTCGCTTAGGGTAGTCCTTATTGTGTAAGTGTAAAAATTCCGTTACCTCAAATTTTTTTATTTCACTAAGTGCAACCCTGCAATGTTGTTCTTTTTGAACACGCTCGCTGCATTAGCAGATGACAAGCGAAAATAGCTATCTACTTTTGAAAAAAGAATTGTTCACAGCCGAAATCGTTCGTAAAATAAAAATATTTAGAAATGGGTTGTCCAATGGCTTTTGGAGAGCTAAATATTCCGTCTTCACGTGCGTTCTGGGATGATTGTGATGAGGACGAGCCAGTACAAAAGGATACGGAAACAAAGAAGTGACTTGCATATGTTATTACGTTAGCCAATAAAATGCATATTGAAATAAACGATTTTCGTCTTGCAGACTCGAATTACTGTACGAACCAAATGAAACCCAAACTCCTTTACGCAGTAAGATATTTTTGTTAATTGAGGGCAAGGACGTGTCAGAATTTGTAGAAGCGTCATTATTAGGAGGAGCTCGGAAAATATGTAAATTGCCATCACCTAAGTCATCTTTGTATTATGTGCAGGACAAAGAACTATTGATCGCACTGTTGCAGGAAGATCTAACAAATAGCGGTGAATTAACAGAGTTATTACTTCCTTTTGCGAAAAAGGCGGAGAAAGTAATTACATTGACCGTAAAATCCAAAATAGAGTATCAGAGTGAAAATTTAAAATGTGTTCGTGATGATATTACTTTCATAAGGGCCATTAATTCCAAATTGCCCCAAGTTGAAGAACTTGAACCACCTAATTTCATAGTGGGTGTAGCAGCTGGAAGTAAGTACTCTCTAAAATGCTAATATCAGTTAATCAGTTATTTCCATCTATCTCTTAGTTGCTTGTTGGAGGCACAACGCGAATTTGCCTACTTCGTCCTATGTTGCCTATACTGACAATGTATCCCTGGATACATTGGCTGCAAAGCCTATAATAAAATTGCTGCAAGAACTGGGAATAGATTGTAAGGACAGTTACAAGCCTATTTATAAAGAAAGGTCACATCTATATATGTAAAATTATGAACAGATGCTAATGGGTTTAAATTTTTATATTTTTATATATACAAAAGTTGAATAATTGGTGAGAAGAAATACGAAAAAACTTGGGATTATTAAAATAAAAAGTATATTTAAATGTTTTATTTTATATCCATTACACAAAAATCTCATAATACATTACAAAGCGTCCAACTCGAAAATGCTAAGTTTAAGCGATTTGCTACGCTGTTCCATATGTGCTTTCGAAATAGCAATGAATTGTGGCCGACTTAAAAGTGAATACGCGGGCACTAATAAAGATTGTACTAGAGAATGCAACTCTTTCCGTCCACTACAAAATAAGTCGATTCCTAACTCAAGAGATGTGCCAAAATCACATTCATCCATTGCTATATTAGCAGCTGTGGCCACTGGTTGCAATTTCTCAATAACGGCTGCTTTTATTTCCTCATTATTACCATCGCCATCAGATGGTCCAGCTGTAACGAAAACTTCCAGTATTTTTTTCAATTCTCCATCGGAAACAATTAGTGGTCTGTAACCGACTTTTGTATCGCCTTCGTAGGGTACTACAATACCGGCCTCGTGAAAAGTTTTAGACACAACTTGAGCATTTCGTTGTTTACGTAATGTCTCCAATTTTTTTAATTTTATTTCATTCACATTTATAAAAATTTGCAGTGATTTACGTATGGATGATACCAAAGTTGCAGTAAACGGTGTGCTCGTAAAATCTTTGTCAAGGTAATGTAAGAATGCATCGAAAACATTGCCTGCAATGAATTCGAACTTACAATTCTTTAAGGAGTCGTTGCGTGCTATTAAAAGGCAATCACTGTCCTTCGGCAAATCACGCCAATAACCATAATGGACACCAGTATCACGACGTACGAAAATCGTTTGGAATTCTGGCGGATCATAGAAAAAACGCCAATGACGTAAATAATCACCTGGTTCACGTAACTTTGCTTTATGAAAGCGACCAGCTAGAAATTCAAACGGCCCCACTAATTGCAGATGGAATTGCTTTTCGAAATACTCCAAAATTTCTTCTCCTGTGATATCTTTTTTCAAACTGTTTGCGAATTTCCAGAAATCATAGAAGTCCGGAGGCATTTCAACAAGGAACTTGTGGCGTATGAACTCATTACTACGCAACAATTCATCGTATTCAGCTTGCACAGAAAACTTAATACGCTTAGCGAATATTTCCATGTAATTTTTTCCGGCAATATTCCCAAGAGCCTCAGCACGCAATTCATCAGTATCTATTTCTTTACGTTCACCAATAGAAATATTCTTACTAATAGTAGCCCCTACATCCGTGTTCAGTTTGCTTATAGAATAATCAGTTTTTGGCTCTCGTTTGTAATCCTCGGATGTTGTTCTACGTTTCTGTGCCTCTTTCTCTTTAACTGGGCTAGAGTCAGAAGTTGAAACTGTAGTACAGTCTTTGAGTGGATGATTATACTTCTCTAAATGCGCTGAATTTTTTTGATAACATTTCTCCCAATATTTGCAGTCTTGTTTTGACATTATGACAAACAATTTTATTGTTTATAAACTACTTTGTAATAATTTTAGCTAAATGTTACAGATATTACTGTCAAACTTCACTGATTTTTGTTTACATCTGACACGCCGCTAGAGAAAAACAAAATCATATCGGATATTTGATAAACAATAGAGCTGGCATCCCTTTAAATGTGTGATGAAAGAAACTCATATATCTTGTAATAAATACTACTTAAATAATAGTACTATAAAATAAATTAAAGTAAAATGAGATGTATAATTATAAATGTAATTTTTTTACAATTATTTCTTATTATATTTACTGGATTGTTATATATTTCACGGTACCATAACGTAATGCGGTATGCAACCGATATATATTTTTTTTTATCGATTACTGGCATCAAACAACGTTGCTTCTGGTTAATTTGGCAGATAAATGTAAATGTTAAATTTACTGATTATTTTTATTAGTCGTTGCATAGAGTTTATTTAATAATATAACTGTAAAAGATGGTTGAAAATAATTCCGACGATGGAAGTGGTAAGTTCCAGGATGAAATTAACTCGTAACTGCTGCGAAAATTTTGTTTTTATTTATGTAGGTTCTGAATCTGAAGGTAGCCAAAGTAGATCTCCTTCGCCACAAATTGCACAAACACCGGGCTATTCCTTGGAGCATCATGATCCTGAACCACGGTAAAAATTTAATGATTTCTATATATCCAAAATATCATAATTAAAAAAAAAATATATATTTATTGTAAATATTTGATTACAGTTCCCCTCATAGCGCTCATTCGGCTGCGAGTGGTAGTGATAGAAAATCACGTTCGCGTTCACGTTCATCCTCGAGTTCGGGATCACGCAGCAACTCAGGTTCACATTCCGGCACACGGTCTCCATCTGGTTCACCCCACAGCAAACGCTCAGGTTCAGCTCAAAGCATACACTCTGCCACATCGGCAGCCAGTAGAGAACATAGCGCCCGTGGAAGCCATGAGCATTCAAATGTGGCTAGCCCCGACCAATCACCTGTAGCAAGCCGACAACAAACACCAGTTGCAAGTCGTGACCAATCACCTGTCGCTCAAGAGGCTTCGCCGAAGCGTAATGCAGGCACACCTGTAAATCAAACTCCAAACGACGATGATACACGCTCTCAATCGCCTAACTTGCAAATAGATGACCGTGCAAATTCACGTTCACGTTCCCGTAGCCAAAGTCGTCGCTCCCGATCCGCTACACCCCATTCTAAATCTGGGGGATCTTCACGTTCAGGATCTCGATCAAGAAGTGGAACCAGGTCTCGTTCCGGATCGCGTGCACATTCAGGTTCACGCTCCCGATCAGGTACGCCTGCATCCCGCAAATCTGAAAAGTCTGGTAGTGGATCTGAATCAGGTAGTGATTTTGGTGCCCAACAGAAGAAAAAGCGTAAGGCCACAGCATCTAGTGGTTCTGAATCTGAAAGTGCTCCTCGCAAAAGAGGCAGTGGAGGCGAAAGTGATGAAGGTGCCACTGTAAAGGCGAAGAAAGCACGCATTATCGATTCAGACAGCGACAATGAAGAGGTATCTGCTCCTTTATACATTTACCTTTTTGTTTGGAAGGAATATATTTGATTTTTCAGCAATCGCAAAAAATCGATGCAAATGACATTTTTGGAGATGCCGATGATATCAGTCTATCTGAAGATGAGGGTCAAAAATCTGATGGTGGTTCCCGAAAAAGTCGTTCGCGCACCCGTTCACGTTCCAAGTCGAAATCAAGCTCTCGTAGTGGTTCACGCCGTTCAGGTTCCGGATCACGTTCGCGTTCAAGATCTCGTTCACGTTCTTCTCGTTCGCGCACTCGGTCAAGAAGCCCAGCACGAGCAGAACAACAGCAGAAGGAAGATGAGCCAGAACCTATTCCCGAAACTCGTATCGATGTCGAAATTCCACGCATAGTAACCGATCTGGGAAAGGAAATTCATTTTGTAAAACTTCCGAATTTCCTTTCGGTTGACACACGTCCCTTTGACAAGGACACTTATGAGGATGAAATTGATGAGGAGGAAACTATGGACGAAGAAGGTCGACAGCGCATCAAATTGAAAGTAAGTAATACCATTCGTTGGCGCGAATATATGGCAAATAATGGTGACATGATCAAAGAATCGAATGCCCGTTTTGTGCGTTGGTCAGACGGTAGCATGACATTACATTTGGGTAACGAAACCTTCGATGTGTATCGTCAACCTTTACATGGCGATCACAATCATATGTTCATTCGTCAAGGTACCGGTTTACAAGGACAAGCTGTCTTCCGCACCAAACTTACTTTCCGACCACACTCGACAGAATCATTTACACACAAGAAGATGACAATGTCACTGGCAGATCGTTCACAAAAGACCAGTGGCATTAAGATTCTCACACAAGTCGGCAAAGATCCCACCACCGATCGTAAGTATAACCTCAAAAAGGAAGAGGAAAAACTTCGCCAAGCAATGCGTATGCAACACAAACCGCAACCTAAGAAAAAGAAAGGTGGTGCGCATGATATGCATGGCGCTGCCAATTCATCGTATCATCACGACGAAGGAAGCGACGATGACAATGCTATTTCTCTTAGTGCTATCAAAAATAAATACAAGAAAGGTAGTGTCGGTGGTGGTGGTGCACCTTCGGTAACCTCAGAACAAAAGGGTTCGGCCATTTACTCATCAGACGAAGACGATGGTTCCGACTTCGACGGGCGACGTAGCAAGAAAAAGGACAAGCCAAAGTCGGTGAAAGCGCTGCGTGATTCCGACAGCGAATCAGAAGATGAACGTGGCAGCGGTAAAGGAAGGGGCGGTGGCAGTGACAGTGACGCCAGTGGCACTGGTGATGAGGGTGGCGGCAGCGCTCGCGGTAGAGGCGGTGGTAGTGGCTCAGGCAGCGGCAGTGGCAGTGGTAGTGAAAATGATGATTAACAACCATAGCAATGCTACAACAACAAAAAATCTTACTTTGGACAATGTGCAAAACTGCAACATTTACATATTTATATAGTATTGTTAGATATGTTAATTATAATAACTGCTCCGAATAGCGTAGAAGCGTTTTGAATGATGTTAATAAATAAAGGAAAGTAATTTTATTGTATTGTATTATTTCAGTAGTTATTGTAAATGGTTATGGAACGGATGGGCTAAAGAAATAAGCAATTGATAGGGGGCAGCCAAAGTATAAGTTGAAAGAGGTTTGCGATACGCGGCTGGTGTCAAAAGGCAAGCGTACTAGCGCTTCGGATAATTATGCTGAGTTGCAACAGTAAGGCTTGTAAACTTTTAAGCGCTATCTAAGACTAGGTTATGTTTCACCACACATTTCCACATGGTTCGCCCCTTTCGAAACAGCTTGTTTCCTGGGCCTTCTGTTAGATGACCTCGACGACAACCACACTATGACTTACCGCTCAAGCGGGGACTAGATAACCGTTACAACAACAACTAGGTTAGGTTACCGTTCCCACGACAGTCGGCTCTGTGTAACCAGAACGGACCTTTTTATCCGGCCAAGGACTGTCAACTCGGCGAAATTCCGGCACTACAACAACAACAACAGCCTGGTTAGGTGTTGAGGTCGTAGAGTTTCACGTGAAACGTAGCAATGAATCTCACATGGACAGCTGTATCTACGTCTAAGTAGAAAAATAAAATTTTGGTTATTGAAACGCACAAAATGCCTGTTGTCAATTAATTGCTGCAGCTGTCAGTTATGTTGAAATATGCAGAAAAACGGAACTTGTAAAAATTCGACTTCACCATTTTATTTGTGCTCATCATAAGTTACGTATAATGGTTTCAATTGCTTAATTTCGTGTCCAAATAATTCAAATTCGGTTAAAATATAACTGTTACCGGTTAATTATTATATAAACATGCATATATGTATGTATATTTGTAAAATTCGAAAATTTTCTCTTTCATGCAAATCAATTATCTATTATACAATCTCATATTTAATTTAATACAATATTTTTGCAGCTACAACTCTGCGTTTATATCCTTTTTACAATTCAAATTTCATAATATAAAAGAAGTTTACACAATTTTTGCCAGTGGGAAGTAAAATTTATCGTTAAGTTAATACGAAAATTATTAATTCGCTTTCTATATTGTAATTAGTACATAATAAATATATATATATATATATAAATAGTTACATATCAGGATATGTACTATACGCTTGAATTATTTATTATGAATTTTTATAAGTATGTTTGTATTTCTGTATGATTGATTGTGCGTGTAAATGCATTTAGGAAATTCAACAATTCATCTGTTACCACTATTTTCGCTATTTTTTATATTTATATAAGCTTTTCATATGTTTTAACACTGTCCGATCTATGTATATTTGTATTTGTATTTGTAAAGAAATGCTTTCAGTTCACTTGAACTGAAGTTTGGCTGTGTTAAAATTCAAAATTCTAGTAATATTGTACAATCCGCATTCAAAATCCGTTATTCCTTTATTCACTCTTCGCTGCAACATTTGCAATAAATTTGTTCGAAATGTAAAAAGCTTTGATGTGCTTTTACTTTTAAGTACATGCGTATTAGTGCGCATAGAATTTTCAATCAAAATTTTTAATTATATATTTCCGCTTAATTTTGGCCGTTATTAAGAATGAAAAAAAAAAAAAAATCAATCTAAATAATGTTGCATAATTTTTCTAAAAACAAAATTAACTCATTATAAAATGAAAGGCACATATCATGTACGTAATCTCTTACATACGTTACCTATGTATATGCTTTCAAAAAGCATTTTGTTCACAAGTGTATTTTCACACACCTTACACTTAATATATAGTAAGTAAAAATCAAATAAATTACTCCTCCACTGTAGTCAATTAGTTGAAAGGCGCTTGTAGACTTGCAAATTGTGCAAACGAAAGTCATCACGTTTTTGCAATTCCTACAAACACCAACAACGGCTTAATGACATTTACTTTACTCGAATATAAATTAGCTCCTTTTCATTATAAAATAGCTTTATTACAATATTTAAATTTATCTCATAAAATATAAATATTCGATTACACAGTTATTTGAGAGAAAAATATTAAAAGTAGTATATATTTACGCAAATAAGCTAAGCATTGCTGCCTTGTTATGAAGGCTGCTTTATTGTCGGGGCAGAGTGCAAACCATTTGGAAAATGTCGCTAGGAGCTAAAATTAATAACTAATTTTTTTCCGAGTAAGGTAAATGTTATGCTATAAAAAATTTAAAATTAGTATGTTAAAATATTCATTACAACTCCTCACTTTTTAAATTTAAAGTCTTATTACAGTACATTTTAAGTAGTTATTAAATATAAATGTATTACATAATAGTTGAATACCATAAATCGTTGCGTGCGTATTTTAAATTCCTTATAAATATGTATGTATGCATACGCGAGATTCAGTTGATTGCACTACGCTGATTGGGCCAAATATTGTATGTATGTAAATATTTACATAATATCTATATATGAAGCGCCCGTGCCAGTGTTGTTCGAAAATCCACCAATAAGTGCCATACTGCTAGTGGTATCAGGAGCTTCGTCAGCATTCATCAACATCAGCAGGCCTGAAATAGTAAAATAATATGAATTCAAGGTAAATTGAGTAATAATAAGCGTCATTAAGCATCCAATATTAGAATATTTAATATACCCTGTTCAGGATGTAAAAATAAAAACAGTATGTCATCTGGACTGACCTGCAATCGTATCGAGTTCATTTCGTAGCCACCTTTGCTCTGCATTTGAGTTTGTAATGCATTCAAATGATTCGTGGAGAGTTCTACATCGGCAGAACCGATATGTCCAGTGTGTACAAAATTCGTTGGATTACCGATCATCGAACGATCGATATGCAGACGTTGGTGGCGTCGCCGTGACGGTGATTGTGGTTGATGAAAACAGCAGGAGAACCATTGTAACCAAATATCGCCGGTAGATGCCATTTTGCGGGCTTTACTAGTGATGGCAGCGGTTGTGGAGGTGTACGATTTTCGATTTCCCTTAGCCACGGTGACGTCTATTTGTTTTTCGACAATGTGGGTGTATACAAAATAGGTATGTGTGTGTGTATGGAATTAACAATTTAATTAAACTGCAAATAGAAGACGAAACAAATGTTTTTTTATATTAATTTTGTTCAGTAATCTTAACAACTACTAACGGTATAGTTACTTAGTAGAGTTTAACCAAATCGTAAATGGTATGTAGCTATGATAGTTAAATAATTTATTTTTTATTTTTAGTGATTTAATTGTGTTTGGGTGTTTCTTTTAAAACGTTGATACGCAAAACAATGTTATAGATATGTACACATACATATGTATATCAACAGTTTTACCCACATGCACGGCATACATCATACATACATACACATGTACATATGAATTAATTGCAGTCTTATGTTTTCGAGTTGTTCCGCTCCAAAGCGAAACTTAAGCAAATTAAAGCCATTTATGGAGACTCTACCAGAAGCGAAAGGAAAGAAAAAATCTATGCTCCAATTAATGCGATTTTTCGCTGTATGGCTATAGTGCGCTTAACTATTTTCTTTAAACGCATACATGAGATATACCAAAACACTTTTCCTCACACTTTTCTTCCGGCGACTATACTATAAATATATACATTTTCAAAATCAGAAAAGGGCGTCCGCTACAACTCGACCAAGTGCGGGCACGCTAGTTCACAAATGTTAGTATGTCAATACAACGGCTGCCACTAGTTACCTACGGACGCCCATTCAAACGCGTATTTTTTTACATTTTGTTTTTGTTTCTTTCTGCTACAGCCATGCACTCATTCACTTATGTTTACAGGCTTTTGGATTTCTTAGTGTGGTCTTAGTTGTCACGGCAGTTGCATTTCGGAGGGCAATCGCAATTAATAGAAAACCAAAAAAATACGACTGGAACACAACACAGTTTGGCCAACTACAACAATCTTAATCGGCGAGTGAAAAGTAATTAATGTCGCGCCAAACTGAAAATATGATATAGAAGCATTTAAATGAAAGTGCTTACCGGCTTCGCATGTCACAGGTTAAATAAAGCAAACAATCAACTTAATAAAATAAGTTTGCAGGATTTTTTTTTATAGAATATATAGCTCATATCTTTGCATATAGACGAACAAAAATTGCTATAATAACAATTTATAATGTATCTAAATGAAGGGGGGTTTCATTTAGATACAAAAATTAAAATTTATAAATAATTTTATTTATATAAGTATTTGTAATTGCTCTTAGTTTGAAATCAGATAATCTTACACATAACAACAAAAAAATAAAATAAATAAATAAATGGTTGATAGCAAGCTGACTCATTACCGGCATTGTGATACTACAACAGCTGAGAAAAACAATAATTTATCATTTTATTGTAAATATGTTGTTGCATTGCCATTGGTTTGAGCACGCAATCACGCTTTTATCGTAATAAAACTTACATGCGAAGGTAAATTCCGAATAAATTATATTCATTGTTGAGTGTAAAAATTGTATTTTGCAAGACTACAGACATCTGTCACATGTGTCATCTTGCCACTTTACCTTTTTTATTGAAACTATTTTATTAGTTATAAATAATAATAAAATATGTACAAGAGACACCATAAGACACCCTCGATATTTGCATAATTTTCTGGTATGAAAGGCACACATTCAGACACATACTACTAAATTCAGCTTATATAATAAAAAAAAATTTTTATTTCCAAACATGCCTTTGCAACTACTACAGTGTTTTCCGAAATATTTCACTATGACTCTTCTTTTCCTACATTAAATAAATGTATGTACATGTATTTAACAAAAAGTTAATAAATACGGTTACTTTTAGACTCTACTGTCTGCGACTGACGCATTTACATCATATGCATGTACAATACGAAATCATTTCCGACGACCAATCGGCTGCGTCGTGCATTTTAATGAGCTCGTCGATCGCCATGGGCCATATTTTTTTCTTCCGTGCTATATCTCTATATGAAAAATATCGCAGATACAGAGTTTACAATTTTATTTGGTGAGAGTAAAACAAAAGTTATGTAAATTTTGATTCAGAACAGAAATTGGTGAATTAGTCAATTGTAAATGGAGAACAATATGCTAATATTTTCTTAGACTCAACTTCTAACGGTATAGTCAATCAAAATACTTATATTTTTTATGATTTGAATGAAATGTAATTGGAAATAAAAAGTTACGCTATCAATAGCTGAAATCAAAAAAAGTAAAAAAACGACATATAATTTTTTAAAGATATACTGAAGTAACAAATCATGTAAACTTTACGTATTTAATGTTATATTAATATTTTTTTAATAAAACCACAATTATTTCGTATTCCGATTTTAAATGAGGTAAACAAAATAATCTTGAACTGGTACATACCATGGTACTACATTGGTATGTACAGATATACGTACACTCGTAAAACACGTAAAAAAAAGGTATTAATATTTTTCAATTAGCATATAAACATCTGCTTAAACCGTCTATCGAAATTCAGCTTCTGGGCCGATTTCGTTGAACAAAAGGCTATAAAATTACTTTTCTTACTTTTATTTGCACAAAGTGCTTAAGTAGTATAAAAATATGAACATTGTATACTTTTTCAGTTCAAGTAAGAATATCTTTTAAAAGAAATTACAGCACGTTGCTGAAAGCTATTAATTCACATTAATATATTAATGTGGTATTTGTGTGTTCGTGCTGTTGCAGCAATTTCTGTTTAGTTCTGTTTCTACTGTTCGCATCTTTTGTCTGACTGGTTGGTATTTATTTTTGCACACGCAATAATCAACGCATTGTTTTTCATAATTTCATTTATTTTTATTATACACATTTATTTATTTATTTGTTGTGTCGCATTGTTTCATCAGCCAATCCGTGACAGTACACATTTTATGCGTTCAAGTCAATACGATCACCAAAGAACATTCACTACATTCGACAAGCACTTCGCCATCCCCATCGTCGGCGGCGTTGTCGTCGCCATCGCGATTGGCGTCTTCACAAACACCAGCTCTTACACTTTTACTGTTGTTGCCACATATCGATGTAGACGAAATTTCTGCGCTACTGTCAGCAGCTGCTTCAATATTCTTATCGTGGTTATATTGTTTTTGTTGCTGCAGTTTTTGCTCTTCCGACGTTTTACTGGCACTATGCATGTTAGTCGAACGCTTCTGGTTGCGGTTGAGTATTTCACTGTCCACTGACTCATCAACAATATACTGACCACCACATCGGCAATCATATGTATAGTACCAATACATGTTACCCGCAGCAGACTTGCCCCCTATCTCGTCTACGCATGCAACTTCACTATCACTGTCACTGCCACTGTCACTTCCACTATTTGTTGTTGTGGTGGCGGCACAGCATTTCATGTCGTCAAGCGTTAAGCGCGCAAAGATATTACTGTGCATTTGGAATTTTTTCAACAACAATTCAGCATCGTACTGTCGTCGCTTTACGGGGTCTTTGAGCGTATTCCAAGCTTCATTTATGGCTACAAATTCTTCACTGTTATGTTCTGAAGCTGCCGAAATTGAGATTTCGGCATTTGGGTCAACAGTAGCAGGCGTAATGACCGCCGCATTATTAGTTATGGTTGTGGCATTATCACCATTAGTACTGGTTGTATTTGTTGTATTGGTATCTGTATTATATATATGTTGTAATTTATCGGGATGACATTGTAGAATCATTTGTTTATAATTGCGGCGCAGCTCTTCTAAGCTTGCCGTTGGTGTGGATTTTAAAATTTCATAGAAATTCTTCGTTGACATTATCGTTGCTGCGTAACTTTTATATTTTCCAGAACGAATACAATAATTATATATAAAAAATTTTAGTCATACACATCAACACATCTAGTTTCTATTCAATGATTTATTTATGGTCTGCAAGCATAAAAAATTATATGTATACAAATTTAGTATATTTGATAATTTTAATATATACTTACTTTTAAATGTTGCATGAAATGATATTTATAAAATTAAGGGAAAAACCACAGTTATAAAAATAAAATATCTTCGTTTCTGAGCATTACATACAAATGTCGTCGTACGACATGACTCACAAGGACACACCCTTTGTCAAAAACGAATATTAAATAATTATAATTGAAATGTATATGGAAATTATCTTACGATGTACCTACTCTTTTACTTTGCCCGTCACACTTAAGCAAGACAGTCAATGCTGACACTCCTTATTAAAAAATTTAATACAAAAGCATAAAGTGGCTAGCAAAGAAATGAACGTGGTTTATTGATCACGAGGCTTGAAAGAGTGCAAGTCATTGGTAGTATATGAAGAACCACCAGACAACGATGAGACAGGTGTAATAGGGAATGCTTGAAAATCTAAAGTTTCTTAAAATTATCTGACATTCATATCACACAACTTATTTTAAGACCGAACAAGAGAGTCAGCCTTTAGAATTTACATGACAATAACGAATCAGATACATATGTACCTATACTATACTTAAAATTATTTGAAAACCACATATGTATAACCGCAAAATGTTTACTTATTTTTAAAACTATACAAAGTTTCTTTAATAAGATGTATTATAATAAGTTTATTTTCAGATCTCTGTTGGTATTATATTGTTCTTATATTTTAGCTATGAGAATAGCATAGTAATAAATAGTCAATAGTTTTACATTTTATTTATTACTCGAGTGTACAAATTCACTCGTTACATTACATTTTGATAAAAAACGTAACGTGTTTACAAAAACAAAACATATTTGAAAACATGTGATCTTTCATAAATGTCGGGAATGCAATTATGGTAAAATTAATAATTGACAAACAAATATAAGACATATCAGCCCAACTCAATATAAAGGCCAGAAAATTACTTAAAATAGGAAACCAGTTTGTTACACAAAGACAACGACTACATATAAAGGTAGCATCAATAAACTGTGCTGACCCAATTCAACGCCTGGCTAAAGTAGTTGATGCGACCAACTCATATACATAAGTACACACGTTCATATGTATGAATATTAATGCAATCACGCACTAAACACAACACAACAAGAGAAAGGGTGGAAGGATTGCATATGTACATTGTTGGGGAAACCTCCAACTTCCTCGCTTACGTTTTAAGGCAGAGGGTTCAAGCACCCCCAAATATTAAAGAGGCGAAAGTAAAATGAACTTGGAAAGAAAGAACAGCGGTTTTTGTTGTGCAATAAACCGGCTTTAATTGGACTATTTAATGCTTCAAGAAATAGGGGAGCACACATGTTTTATTTATATAGGTATTAAATTGACATGCCCAAGTTTTTAATAAAGTGATATAACGGCGACATTAAATCGTAAATATCCAGTGTTACTTTTATTTTTTGTAGCCAACACTTATGCATACAAATATGTATGAAAATATTATATGTCATGACAATCTGTTTATAAAATTACTCGTTTGTACTTACTTGCCTTTTTTGGAAATGTCGCTGAATTTACGCTCCTCCCACAAAGATGTAAAGTCAAAGCGATTGTGATACAACTTCTACTACACAACGCACTTCTTTCCTCCGCGAAATACACCTTTTGTTTTATACAATGAATTTCAATACATTTTCCTTTACATTCAATTTTGATATCAAATCGTGTTTTAATAAATATTAATGCATTAAACCGATTAGTCACAGAAAATTTTTGAGGAAAACACGCACACAATATTGTAGTTTATTACGAGAGATTTCTTAAGAAACTGACGGCATTGCCAACACTGCTATTGATCAGCTGAAATATTTTTTGACATTAAAAACAGGAAGACACAGTGTTGCACGTTCTAGATGTTTTTAGTACAATTTGACATTAGACACAAGGCGTCAATGAAAAACTAATATTAATTTTTAATTTATATACAATTTCATTGACTATCAGCTGTACATTTAAAAATAATTTAATTAAAGATCGTCATCTAACCGTTAGCCACTACAATAAATTTTTTGACAAAAAAAGTATGGATGTTAAATAAATGGGCGCACAATTAAGCGTTATAGTAGTGTTTAATTTATAGTTTGTTAATGCGAAGAATCTCGTTCAATTAAAAATAATGATACATTTCGGTTACATAGACCAGACTATGTTAGAAACAGCTAAAAGTGGGAAGTTGTTTAAAGTACAAGGGGAACATATGTACCTCAGGAGAATATACATTGGATATGTCGTGGGCGAGAGTTTAGCAGAAGTATTGTACAAAAGCTTATGTTTCCGATACCATTTAGTGAGAAGTATGTCTTGTTGTGTGGTTCTCAGCACCAACACAACTGTCGTTTAGGGTATTCGCATAATATAAGAAAGCATTATACCCATTACGGCTTTGTCTGAAATTTGAAACTTTTCTATATGAGCCTAAGAGAGCCAGTGACCATATACATATGTAGATGCTGGCGAAGTGTCTATGAATTTAGTAGATTAGGCTTCATAGAATTAAGCGTTGAGAGATTCTCCTCTACACTACTAATTTCCACGACCTGCCAGCTCATTTAAGCGTATATGTACTTATTTTTCACTTTCTTCGACTGTTCAGATGTTTTATTAGCTAAACTAATGCAATATTATTCATGCATTACTAAAAAGATCCTAAGGCTAATGAAATAAAACTACATTAGTAATAGAATGAATGATTGCATATACCATAAAAATTAATAAAAAAAAACATATGTTATTGTATTTATCACGAAAAAATATTAATGTTTAATATAAGTACATAAATAGGTTTTAGAGGCATGTGTATATTTTTGTTTGTAATAAAAAATAAGTGCCTGATGAAATCAAGCTCACAATATTTATTATTCACCGAACCTCCCGGCTTTTATTAATAACAAAGCAAAACAATAAAATCACCAACACCTTAACTCATCATTCATTTAGGTACATTTTTTACATTATCATTTAGGTACATATACATACATATTTATGTACTACCTTACATCGTTTTCGTTTATTTGTTTATAACCTTATCGACACCAGCGAAATAGGAAACAGTTAGTTTGCCGAGGACAGGGCACATAGCTAGACGTGGGTTGCGAATTTTATAGCTATACTATATATACTTGTATATACATACATACTTATGAACGTATCTGTTCAAAGTGCAACAACAAGTACTTCAGTATAATTCACTGAGATTTCGTGAACATGATCGCGTTACTACTTTTTCTACTGTTGGGTACATTACTCTTCTGTTTGATTAAATATCAATATTCTTATTGGAATCGCCGCAATTTCCCCAGTGAACCGGATACGAATATTCCTTGCGGTTGTCTAACATCCGTAGTTAAACATGAGAAATCTATGGGAGTGGCAATATATGATGCCTATTTAAAGACCAAATCACCATTCATTGGCATTTATTTGCTTTTTCGGCCGGCCGTTATGATACGCGATGCCGAATTGGCGCATCAAATACTCATACAAGATTTTACCAGTTTCCACGATCGCGGCGTATATGTTGATGAGAAGCGTGATCGTTTGTCATGCAATTTATTTTCGCTGCGCGGTCAAAGTTGGCGTTCGCTACGTCAAAAGCTGACACCTTCCTTCAGTTCGGGCAAGCTGAAAGCAATGTTTCACAGCTCCGATGATATTGGTGACAAAATGGTCAAACATCTTAATAAAATACTACCGGATGAGGGTAGTGCAGAAGTAGACATCAAGGACATTCTTGTGACGTGAGTATACAAACTTCAAAATAATATTACAGTATAATATACGTACATAAATAAATATTTGATTTCATAAAAAGTCTATGATATCTTTGTTTAACAGTTATGCTATCGACATAATCGGCTCGGCTATCTTCGGATTAGATATAAACAGTTTTGAAGATCCCAAAAATAAATTCAGATGTCTGGTACACCAAGCACGTCGAAATAACTTATTTAATGCAAATATCGCAATGTTAATATTTTTGTGTCCATCGTAAGTATCTCTAATATGAAAATATGTACATTTAAAAAACAATTTAGAGTAATTCATATGCTAGAGAGAGTTTTCAAAACCATCTTATTGTGCTTTTAAGGAAGAATTTCAAGTGTTGTGAAGAGTCTAACTAATGGCGGGTTTTGAAAAGGTTATTAGATAACATTTCGTATGCAAGTGATGCAGTCTCGCTTATATTGATTGATAATGTTTATATCAGAAAATCAACACACAAAATGTTTCAAACATAAAGAAAGCCTTTAAGGGCACTTAAGAATGAAATCAAACACAATATACTTAAGTAATTATTATGTAAGATGTTTGGCTATTCTTATGAAGTTATAATCAATCCATTTATGAAGGCCTTTGTCGATTTTAATTAAATTTTTCCTGTTAAATATTATAATTTCACTAGTCATATTAGCTAACATGCTTCTCCAACATGTTTTTTAACATCTTCTAACCCCACTTTTATTATTCATTCTGAGCGAAAACAGCAGTATGACGTTTGGCCTAAGATCAATTCACATGACTACATACATATGGGTTATTTGAAAATATTTTCTGAAATTAAGCCTTTGTTAATCAACTCAATTTATTCAAATTCTTTCGTTTTGTCCGAAAATCTATTCACATTTCTCACTTACTTAGATTTATTTTTAAAGATCCTTCTTCCACTTGCAGCTTAATAAAATACTTGGTCCGTTTGGGTTTTAAGAATAAAACCGCTGTTGGTTTGCGTGAAATATTAAAAGACACAATCGAATACCGCGAAAAACATAACATTGTACGCAAAGATATGCTGCAGTTGATGATGCAACTAAGGAATACTGGCAAAATTGCCGAAGATGATGACAATTGGAGCGCAAACGCCAACACAAGTAGGAAAAATAAGCTATGAAATAATTATTTTATTTTTGAGAAATTACTCAGGAACACTACTTGAAAAAATTATAAATAACTTAAGAAAATCTTGTTCATTAAATTTTTTGTAGCCATTGGTGATGAGAATGAATTTACTTTGGACGACATAGCGGCACAAGGTTTCATTTTCTATATTGCCGGACAGGAAACTACGAGTTCAGGAGCTGCTTTCACCATTTTCGAGTTGGCACAATATCCAGATTTGTTGGCGCGTGCGCAAAATGAAGTGCATGAGGTGTTGGCACGCCACAATGGCCAGTTGAGTTATGACGCTTTGCAAGAAATGCCGTTTTTAGATTTATGTTTACAAGGTAAGACATATTATAAAAGAAATGTTTTTTCTAAATTTACATTTACATATGTATATATACTTTCTACAGAAACAAATCGCAAGTATCCATTCCCTTTTTTGAGCCGAGAATGCACGCAAGACTACACCATACCCGGCACCAAGCACGTGATCGAAAAAGGCACACCCATAGTCATTCCACTACTTGGCATCCATCGTGATTCACAATATTTTACGAATCCAATGTTATATGACCCCGATCGCTTTTCATCTTCGAATGCCAATTATAATGCCAACGCTTATATGCCCTTCGGTGCTGGACCACGTCAATGTATTGCTCTGCGTATGGGTAAAATTAATTCAAAATTGGCTCTTGTAAAAATTTTACAGAATTTCGATGTGGAAGTGATGAGCAAACGTGAAATCATCATAGATAATCATTCGGTGGGTATTCAACCGAAGGGAGGCGTAAAAGTACACCTCTCAAAGAAAACACAACCGTTTAATTAGAAGTGCTTGTCACAATGAGTGAGAGTAATGAACGCTAGGCTATATGTTTTAAGTTTTTTTTTTTTTTTTGTTACAAATTACATGTAATCTAATAGCATACATTTAGGCGTTATAACGCTGCTTGCATTTGTTAGTTTTTATTTTACTTTGGGATTTTACTTTTGTCAACAAAAAATTGTATTTTACAAACTTTGCCAAATCGATTGAAAGAATCAACATTTTTATGGTCACACAAATACACAAAGATTCATTAATTGTTTATTTAATTTGTTGTCATTCGCCTAAACTCCTTCGACGACTTCTGAATTTGTTTCGCGCTGTCGCAGTTTCTGCATATTCTTCTGTCGGAATATCTCTTTGCTCGCCTCCTTGATGGCCTCGAATATCTTGGCTTGCGACATAATTTGTTTTTGTACATTTTCCACAGCCGGCTCGGCATTTATGTCGATTAGATCGCTCAGCCCTTCCGACATATCTTCGTTGTTATACATTTTGGCATCATCTAACTCAGCACGTTTCCATAACGGGTAAGGGAGAGATGAACGCTTTTTACCACAACCTTTGAGTTTAATCAAGAGTGTAAGGCAAAAGTAAAATTATTTGTGTAAGTAAATATTTGTTAAATAATAATTAAATATGTTTTGTCACTAATTTATATTAAAAAAATAATAAAATCAAAATATATAATCTATCAATTACCAGTAAAAGCGTTGCAAAAAGGACGTTTCTCATATTTCCATTGTATGATGCCTCTTAATTTGTGCTGAAGTACAACCAGAGAATGGAATATACTAATAATTTATAGAAAATCTTACATAGAAAAATATGATACTTAAATAAATAAAAGTTTTTCGTATGAGTATATAGTTACATTTATGGACGATAAAAACTAAGACAAAGCGTTAAAAAACATCACCACAAGTTAAACAAATATATAATTATTAAAAAGTATTAATTTTTCGTATTTCATAATTATTGCACTTCGTATATATTTTTTAAGTTTTTCTACAGAATTAAAAACAAATCAAGTGTTAGTTAAAAATGGCAAGATTATGACTCAAAAGCCCTAACGCTAATTTTAAAGGGTTTTGGTTTATTGTTTTGCAGTTAAGTTCGCCAAAACGCTGTAAAATTTTTATTAGTTATCTTCAATTCATCACTGTGTTGATATCTCCTTACAGTGCAATTCTGTGTCTATTTGTTTATGACCAAATATTTAATCTATCCTAGTTGTTTGTTGGATTTGCCATTATTCAAAGCTTGGAGCGCCCATAGTGGAAAGTTTGCTTATTATAAATTTAACACGTATTTTAAAGAAAAAAAACTATAATCCTCTTATACGAATCTGGATTGCCTGCCCAATAAAAAATGCTATCTTAACTTCTTCATAATTTTTTTAGGGTTCTTCAATTCTTAGTTTAATAGTTAATTTTGTAATGTCACCATTGTATTTGATAGACGATTTTACTGGTACGTAGCTGAAAACTCAATATCTTGATTTATTTATTTCTGCTTGAAACAGTCATCCATAAATTTGTATTATTATTATTATATTTTGAAGTTATTTTTCTTTTTATAATTGTATATTTTGTTGAAATTTCGATATCCAAGCATATATTACACGATTATGGAATAAGTGTAATAATAAATAATGATAATATTGTAATATATCTGTTAGAACCGAACATAAAAGCTAACATAATTAAGTTTATAAATGGCAATTTACAAAATAACTACAAACAAAAATAAAAAAAATATGTATATGTTTTAAAAGCTTGAATAATTTCGTTATGTCTCACATTCAAATCCTCATTATCCATTTCACTTTGTAGTGTAGAATGTAGACACAGCAGCCAAATCATGGACCACAATTTCCATACTAACATTTTTGGAAATTTGTTTCTAAAACAATCTTCTATTTATTACTATTATTTAACTTTTACACTTGGCACAATATTTTGAAATAAATTTGTAAAAATACTTTATTACAATATTTTCTTAATTCGAAAACTTATTTGGACTAACTGTTCCGTGCAGCGTTTGGCGTACAATTGGCCATGAAAGCGGATCGCTTGGCTTATAATTGGTTTCGAGTCGCCACAGAGCCGTTGAAAATGGCAACTGTATTAGAATTTCCGCCTGCAGATTGAGCACATGTTTGCATTTATGTGAAATCTAAAATATATATGTGCGTATGTGTGTATGCACACTTGGAGGCGACGGGACAGGACCGACTGCTGTGCTGTGAAAGCGGTTTTCGTGGTTAGTTAAGCAGGACCCCTGAACACAATTGCTTTCTGTTACCAATTTGCATTGTTGTTGTTGTATTTATTGTTCTTTGATTTTTTGTTGAAATTTCCTTTCTGGTTTTTGTCGAGAGCTTGGCTTTCTCGCTATATTGCAAATGGGCTATTTAAATTGCGGTTAATACTTGACAACTAAGTACCATGTAATGTGTATTTAAAGTTTATTTAAAGTGATTTACTAAAATGCTTTTGTACCAGCACTAAATGTATATGGATATGATCAAAACTACTTAATAATAATAAAACAATCATACTAAATTAAAACTGTGTTTTTGTATCGAAGTCACGTCATTAATATCTAAGTATGTACTGGAAAATTGATCTCCTAATTTTAGATTCTTCAAATAAGGTATTAGGCATTTCCCACATTCACATCATTAAGCGAAATGAAACCGTTTTATATCCGAAGAGGCATTCTCAACACTGTACAACTCTTCGATATTTTTTGAGTAATGTTTATTCAGTTTCAACAGCTTCTAGAAGGTGATGAAGAAATGTTTACGCGACAATTACATTCTGTTAATGACGCACTTATCGAAATGTATACAATAACAAAGTTTTCTGCCTGGTCACTGTTTTCAGTTATATCTTTGCTGATTTATGGTGCTTAATAGTCATTCAAATTCTGACTTCCTCAGCTTTCTTGAATATGCTCAGAGCAAGAGCCTCTGAATGACATGATCTAACACCGTTGATGCATATTCTTATATACAGATATACTATATAAGTATATTCACCCCCGGGGCTTTGTTAGCAGTGCATTGCCAAACCTACAACTCCAAATTTATATGGAATTTGTTATAAAAGATACTAGGAACTGGCTGAGCATGTTAATTGTCTTTCGTGGTATTAGTAGGCAGCTCATAGAGAGAGAGGAGAGTGAGAGCGAGGAAGTGGTATCAAAAAACTAAATTTCAATTGAGAGTTCTTCTAAAGTTTTAAGTACGGTGAGACGATTTGTTCACTTATTACTTTATCTATTCGAAACTGTGAGAAAACCGATACTGATATTACCGTAATAATTAGTTGCATCTTTGCGACCTGCACTTATTCGGTAAAAAATATCCTCGGTTCTGTTGTACACGGTTTAAGTGAACCTGCAACGTCTAAGAAAACTACACTTTATACTTTTAAATCACATAAAATATAACGATATAATATAAATTCAAAAGGAGACCGCTGAAATTCGTGTTGTTTGAACAAATTGACTAACAACGCTGCCACTGAATAGAGAGATCCCTATTAAAGAAATGATCTGTGTGACTGCCGTAATGGCCAAAACACGCTCCATACACCGGCCGGCCGAAAGCACCTTTCGTGTTTTCGAAATTACTGCTGGCTATCGTAATATTACGAGAACGCGACGTAACATAACCTATTTATATATACTTTTTCGTACACATTATTAACGTCAAGAGTGCCGAAAGCGTATTTCCGAGCACAGCGTATGCCACGATTCGCAAGGCAATGTGAAAAATATTTTCGAAGTGAACGGTTGTTTTGCGTGATCGTGTAAAAGTTATAAGACTGCATACTTTTTTTTTTATAAATTGTAAATTAAATAAAAAACTGTCGAAAACTTAAGAAAAGTGTTACCCATCTAGAAGAAAATATAGCAATTAATAAATTAGTGCGCAGAAATCATAAAAAATTAACAGAAAATCAGAATTTTGCAGAAGTTGTGCACAAAAGTGAGTAAGCAAATAAAAATAAAAAGTAACATCGTGTGGTGCGAAAATATTAATCGATAAGGAGCGTAAATATTTTAACTTTCTTTGATAAATTGCAATATATTAGAATGAAAACTTTTATAAAATTTGTGTTTTCCAAAGAGAACAGTTTCTAAGAATAGCCGTTGAGAAACAGCAATGGCTGCCGCGCCGCAACTTGGCGGTTGCGTTTCGCGCTGCATTTGTTTTCCCACATTGCCCACTCAGCGCAGAGAAATTGGTGCTAACAGAAAAAACAAGAAAGCAGTCGGTGACAATTTTCCCCACTTTCCCGTCTATAAATACCGTTACTATTTTAAGAAATATGTAATTTCTTACCTTTTTCTAACTTAGCGTATTGTCTAAATATACTAAATTCGCTCCATAGGTGTGGAAGCGTAGCCAAACATGGTACATACACACGTATTTCATTTTGACGAGCCAGTCGGAAAACAGTCCATTCTGATATGTTGTACGCTTCATTCAAAATTCACTCATAATGCCAAAGTTATTTGTTTATAAGACAAGAAAACTCGACATTCCACGAATTTGGTGTCATCACAATTACTAAAATACTTTTTACGCATAGCGTCACCCAGCTGAGAAAATGTTTTTTCGAGAAAATTTGTTTTCAGGTATAGCTAAGAACCGTGTTGGGGTGACTTATTTCACTATTTTTTGTAAGAAAATTATCTAATGATAAAGATACCACATCTAGGAGGTTTAGTTTTGATCTCTTTTTTAATGCCTCAGTTAGCTTTTGAACAGATAAATCAGCCGACGGCAGTAAAATGTGCGTTATGTGTATAAAAATTAGGCGTGGTCTAGTCTGAATATTTTAAAATTATGCTAAGAAAGTAAGAGGCATGTAATTTAATTGAGATTAGTCAAGTATTTTCGAGTTATTTAAGTTCAAAAGTAGTAAATGACACAATCAAAGTTTAATTATTGAACCGACTTATGGGTCAGAGTTATCTTATTTTAGTAGTTTAAACTAATACAGTTATTCGAGATTTGTTTCTTACATATTTATATTAAAGCATATAATGATAATAGACTCCGATCCTAGATACAAATTTATTTCTCTTAATTATACAATAATGTTAATATAATTTACCAATAATTTTGTTTTGTCTCTGAAAGTGCGGTTCTCTTTTGCTTTTTTTAATTTTTTATTATTTGAATAAAAATTATAAGCATTTACAGCACTAATACCCTTACCTACCCGATTTTTCGAAAAGCATATAAAAACTACGCTTTTGTATTGGCGTCAGAGGGTTGAGATTTCTTCTGAAAATATTCGTCAAGCAATTTCTGTAGCGGTCTCTGAAGGCTACATATTAAACTTCAACGAAAACATCATGCAAAAGTAGTCTCAGTGATTTGATACTGAGATATCATCATTTTAAAAGTACACACTTTGTTTCATCTCCGAAAATATGGCATTCTGTATTTACTTGTATTCCTAAGTTGTTGAGTGGAGCGCCAGGGCGTATAAGTATTATTTTTTTAAATATGTGCATATGTATATTTTAAGCTTAATGGAATGTAAACAGTTTTTATATCATTTTTGTAAACATTTGCAAAATTTTCGTGTTCCATTTAAATATTAAACATATTATGGCGTTTGTAATAACAAAATATGTGCTTATTAGCAAGGCCCAGTGAACTTAAAGTAAAGGAAAAAATCCGAAAGTACTTTATTTTTACTTTTTGTTCTTGTAATGTCAATAACAATTATTTATTATAGAGAACACTTTTTTTAATTGAATTTAGACAAATTTTTACAGCTGAGAGCTTAACAAACTAGAATAAATATCAACTCAGCTGTTGATTATGCCATTATAACTAGTCGCAACCAGTCTAAAACGGGTATTACTGAAAATTTCTCTATTTACATATGTATATGTTTATGTATATATACATACTTATATTAATGGACTATCTAAAATGCAGAATAATGTAACATCACTTTTCACAAGTTTACAGTAAAGGAAAAAACGAACTAGCGAAACGTATCCAATTGAAGATACGTTATTTTAAATTTGAGTTATACTTCCATTATATCTGATAGCATCTAAGCGTTAGATTTTTTATCTCGATATTTCCACATGTAATTGCCAAAGGTGCTAAACAGAAACTTAATTTTTTATGAAAAATAATTTCTTTGCATGTAAGAAATACTTTGCAACTTTGCGGCTGTCTTCCAGGTGCAGAAACCGTCACTTTTGATTAGTGTAATTTCAATATGTTTCTAGTCCATAATTCAGTTAGCAGCCCACACTCATCTTACGCACCTGCAGTTCAGATCGGTACATCTATATATACTAGCACACACGCGTTTAACTAATGGTGTTAAAAATATACTTCCGACTGAGTAACTTGAGTTGCCCTACTTTTCGAGTAAATAAATATTTATTCCTATTACATACGTGTAGTATGTGCATTAATTTTTGCATATTTATCTAAACACACGACTTTAACTGTCACCGACAACGCAAGGAGCTGTTAACAGCTATGCATCATTAAAACGCTTGGCGGCTGAATTAAAAAACTATTTTAAAAAACCAACAATATTATAAATGCCTATATTTATAAAAACATATGTATTATAGTCTTCATCTTAAGTCGATTTGAGTTAATAAAATAGTTTGAGTTATACTGAGGTGTTCGTTTGAGACTCGAATTTATATTTTGACTTAAAATCAAAAGAATAAAGAATACAATTTCAGTGTTACCAAAAACCAAAATACCTACTTAACATCAAATCGACTTAAGCCACTTTAACATGTTGTAAACCTTATATATGCACTGCGTTCCATACAAAATTTACCCTAAAATTATTTAAAATAACTTTCGGCTTATGTTCACATAAATTATAAACATATAAATGTCTATATATATTACATATGTATATGCATACAGACATATATAATAAGTAACAGCGACAAATTAAAGACGCTTGCAAAAATTTATTAAGATCATATGTATGTAATTTAGCGGTTATTTACATTGTAGCATCCACTTCCATGTGAACAATTATTTCACATGAGTTAATAATTTTTTTCACAGACTCAATTGTAATTAAGTATTTTATTTTCATTATTACTTTCTTAATAAAAATGCATCTATTATATATTGTTGTATCATTTTTATTAATAACTATTTTATTTTCACAAGTATTGTACTGTGTGCTTACTTGTAAATAAAATTTCAACTGAAATTCCGGCATTTTAAATTTAATGATATTTTTAGGTGAAAATGTCAGACAACAACAGTGAAACCGCCGACCAACAACAGCATCAGCGCGCAAATGGCACAGAACGCTCCCAATCGACAGAGGAGAAAGAAATCCCACGCGAACCAGCTCTAGTACATAAAGACATCAATGTAAGTGTTTGAGGAAATTTAATAGATAATATACATATATTTATGGATATATGTAGGTGGTTGCACACATTATGTGTACTTACGAAAACCCGTCGTTTAGTAAAGGGCAGCATTTTGGAAGTTTAATTGTAACTTCTTACAAACGCACCACAGTATTGAACTGCTACGAGCTATGAATAAGTCGATTATTATTATTTTTAATTAAAGTGTTATAACTTTCGAATTGGAAACGAGCCGGGCCTCATCCAGGCGCTTTTTTCTCCAATGTCCAGCTTTTACAAGACTGAGATTGAAGCATTTCGGCAGTCATAGTTTTGCCAAACCGGGCGAAATAGCCGGAATTCATATAATATTAGTGACAACCTCAAAGCGTTTTGTCGATTTATGAGGGTTTTTATGATCAATACTTAGAAGTTTTAGGCATCACAACAAGCGGTGTTTTCAGCGGTCCAAGGTAGATTCTTTTGTTACAGGATCGACCTTTTTACTGAGCTATTTTTGTTATAGAATTGAATCCACACGTTAATTCAAGTACACCTTTCCTTATACCTATAGATAAAGACTGAATTGGAATGCCTCGTCAGGTTGCTCGACGGCAAAATCTACAAAGATGAAGAGACTGCTATGGAAGAATTACACCAGTATCTGATCGAAGATGAGGGCTCTTGGGTATTGGGCGATAATTTCCTTGTTTTCGTGCAACGTGTTTTGCGTGAAGAGAACTTTTCACCCGACACACGTGTGCATTTAATACGTACATTGGCCTACGCCGCACTGAAGGATGATGTCATCATTATACTGCATCAAGATCGACGCGATCATACGCTTATGAATTATGCACAAGACATTGAAAAACATACGCCAGAAGAGCAACAGGCGTGGGCGATGTTTGTAAGGCGACTCACACAATTTATTAAAATGAAAACTTATTTATTTATTACTTAATTCTTATTCCCTGAAATTCAGATGTGCAATCTTTTTGAGAATGTCGGACCTTCCGAGTGGTTGCTTTATATCTCTGAATGGGATTATTTGGGCCAGACAATATCGAATATACGCGTCACAACCAAGGTGGCGGTGCACTGCATACTCTCCAATTGTCCACAATTGAAGAACAGCGGTTCGATGATGCTCTACAACATTGCTATAAAGGAGGTGAAGACAGTGGTAAGCATCGTGGTGTGATTTTGCGATTTACAACCACTATTAAATTTCTTTTTATGCTTTAATAAATCCTTTTCAGGTCTTTGATGATATCGCTGTGGAGCTAGCTATGGCCATTTTGCAATTCTTCCAAAGCAATCCAGTGGAGGAGCAAGTCTTCCGCACTCTTAAAGCACTGTCGCGTTTTCTGGAGGTAAGCAATATTTATTCTTTTTTTTTGTTTTTGTTGCTTATGTTAACTATTAAATATTTAAGGTCTCCGCTGATGTTGCAGCTATTATCCAAATGATCGGTCCACATCCTAAACAATTTGCTGGCCAGAGCGAACGCGTCGATGAGCTGGTGAATAAGATTAGCCGCAAGGTGCCAGCTTAAAGCAAAGCTATAAAAGCGTATTCGTTTTAGTGGGTCATAAGCCCTCGCCACTGCACTTAAGTGCTGCTCAAAACAGATTTATTTCTTTAGTTTTTTTATTAATTTATTATGCGTTCAAACATTTTATTGCAATAAGCACTTTTTCTAAAGGAATACAAGCAATTTTTTATAATAAAAAAAATATTATAGGCAGTTCTTTGCTTTTGGTTTTACTTCTAAACTTCATTGATCAGCTTCATTTGAATTTACACCGCTGAATCGCTGCAACACCAGCTGAAGATATTGCCTTTGTTGGCCCGTAATTGCAACCAGTTTTTTTGATTTGACACAAACATTTCCGATGGCAATTGGGTTTCTTGTGCAGCAGCATCAACTAACGGAAAATTAGAAGAAAATATGTAAATCAGAAACGGTTATTATACACGACCCTCCACTCACCTCCCACCGTTTTTCGATCGTAATTAAATTTCGGCGTTTGTATAATCGAAATTACATCCTCCGGCTTGCGTAACAATATTTTACCTACACCCTTACACATGCGCAATACCTCGTGATTACTCAACTTCTCCAACTGCTCGGCATCCAACAGCGAACAAGTTAATATCCATTCGCGTACACAATCGAAATCATTCAGTAGTTGCACCGCACCGTTCACGCTGAATTTAATGCGTTTCATATAAATATAGTCGAGCCAAGCTTCACAAATAATCTTCAAAATCAATTTTAAAGTCACCAAATCTTTTGTGGCTTTAACGGCAGGTAAAAATATTTGATCTAACACATAGTCGACATAATCGTTTTTTACATCTTCGTCGAAGACACGCTGCTGCCAGTGGCTTGCAGGCGGGAAGGAAAGCTTGAAAGTGGCAAGACTGAGTATACGACAAACTTCGGACATAATTTGCACGCATTCTTCATTGGTTTTCTGTAAAGGAAGTGATTTTGAATTTCAATTTACTTCAAAATATAGAAAAAAAATTTTAATACTTTTTTAAGAAAAATATACAACTATTAACAAAAATCACCCTGTGTCACCTTGAGTTTGTCAATATTGACATTGATCTCCAATATTAATTTAGCGCGCAACGCAACATTTACGAGCATAAGGATATCGGTAAGATCGGCAGTTAATTTGGGTAATTTATGTCTGCTGAAGCCGGCCAGACACACACGCACATCATGCTCCATTATGCGAAAGAAGCGATCCATTTTCCATTCACAGCAGAGTTGCTTGGCTTGTTCCTTCACCCACAAACGCATAGAGTGTACGGAGTGATCTGACAATTCAAATTTTAAATCATCAATAAGCAATATCTCGTGGCGATCAGTTTACTCACCAATGCGATGTAGAATAGGTATTTGTTCGGCAACAGGTAGGCTACTGATTTGTATATGCGCTGCACTACTTGGAAAATAACTATTGCTTAATTCTATCAAATTTTGGAAGACTAGCACCCAAAAGCTGCCGGTGTAAGTGCCGAGATGCTGCAAACAGGTAAAACTGAGTTTTAAAACTATAACATGTCACATGAGTAGACTGTGAATTATCGACAAATATCGGTGAAGAAAATCTCCATTTTATTTGCAAAGCAGCGTAGAAAACTTGTATCCAAATAAATAGTAAATGTACCTCCTCTTGACCCACGGGCCGATGTAACTGTAAAGCTCGTTTCATTGTCGCTGGCTGGCAATTTGTTGATAATAAAGTATAACGAAATAATTGATCCCAGACATTAACGGAAACGAAATTCGTAAGGCTGTCGGCAACTCCGCGTAACGTTGAATAAATAGGTTCCGGAACATCTAATAAAGTTTTATTCCCATTCAATAGTACTTTAAGGTTTATTATTTTAACTGCATTACTAACCATCCACTGCATGATGTTTCAACCAATTTCTCATCGTTTCCACGTGCGTTAACGGATAACAGGCAAGCGGTGTATCGATCCACCATAAAACGATATGATCCAGAATAAGACCTACATTAGACCATATCAATCGAATGCCGCGTGTAACAAAATCATTCAACTCGCCGCGAGTACAGGCTTTACCTACGAGTATATCAAAATATATGTACATGTGGCTCATATTCATATCGATTTACGACAAAAATTTATGGAAAGAGAAGATTATCGAAAATTAAATTAAAGTAGTGTCTTCATCTATGATCTAAACGGGGTCTATATCAAGACTCGAGTTCGTAGCTTAAAGTTTAATATTCAATATTATATCTGTAAGAGTAATGAAAAAGTATTATCTCAAATATACATACATTACATACATAAATCCAGATATTTTGAGTTTTCTTTACCAAAAGCCTAATGTTTGAAGTAGTAATTGACTCAGGTTGTTTGAGCAGAGAACTTAAATTAATTCATTCATTCATTCATTTCACTCAAATGAATTAATTTATTCATTCATTCTCTGCAGTTCTCTGTTTTGAGTCTCTATTTTGAATTTAACTCTATAGAGGTACTCTGTACAACAATGAGAAAAATGGAATTCAATAGCGAGCTATATTTTGTAATGATAATTATGCATGTCGAAAATTGACGCAAAGATTTTCTAGTTTACCGAGTGGCCTGAGGCAGTACTCAAACTCACATCTCAGTCAGTTCTTGAAATATTCAAAACAAGCGACTTTCTAGTTTACTTTACACATAATTTTTAGTCTTACCAAAAACGCTCGGGCAATAATCATGCGATTTGGCAATGAGTTGGCTAAGGTATGCACGTTCGCGTTCCAAAAAATTTTCTGCATATTTACGGCAATTACTTTTCTCCTTTCGTACACCACCATCCATATCAGTCGCATCGTTATAGTCAATATATTCGGCGTCGCCGTGCATGTTGAGCGTGAGTATGCGCAAAATTTCCAAACTGGATGCAGTTGACTCGCAAGTATCCCCAACTGCGGTAACTTTCAAATCGGCAGCTGCTGCTTCAGCTTGTTCCTGTTCGCTCATATTGAAGAGACCGAAGAGTAGATCAAGCGAATTTTGCTCGGTGCGCATTTGTGACGCATGCTGGTGGAGGATAATATATATTTTACGCAATCTTGCAACACTAAAATTGTTAAATCACCTGTAGGATATATGCAAAGTCGATTGGCTTCTGTGGTAACAACAACATTGGATACATATTGCTGCAGATATTCGCATTCCACTCGGTAGTGCCAGTGGTCTCTTGACTTACTTCTGGCTGAGGTGGCTTTTTCTCACCCGTTACACTTGCAACCTCCTTGGACAAACCCTCGTTGCAGTCCTTGGACGTTTCACGCCGATTCCATTTATTGTGCAATTTCGCTATTTGCAATGCCCAATTTAACCACATGTCTGATTGTGAGGACTTCCGCAGCAATTGCTTGACCTACACAAAGTTAACCTGTTTATGTATGTATACATACTTGTATATATAAATTGATGACTTTCGTTCCTAATACTTACCGTCTGCTTGAGCACAAACATTAATTGGCAAAAGCGTCGTTCATTCATTTCCATAAGCATATTGTATTTCTGCAGTAACAAGGCATTGTAAGGACTGCGTTTGATTTTCTTATTTAATGAATGAATATCCTGGTTTCGTGCCTCGTTCTTCAGGTTCCAGTAGAGTTCACAAACATGTTCAACTTCTTCCAAAAGTGTATTCTAATTGGATGACAAAGTGAGGTAAAGCTGGTAATTGAGGTAAAACATCCTTTGAATGAAAGTCAATTGAGATATGAGTACCTAACATATTTCTATCATAATGGCATATCTTGTAACCGAAGCAAACCATTCAAATCACACTATTAAAGTCATTTTTATACCTAAATTTCAACCATTTCTCGCTATGTAAGCCTAAAACTGACACGCGAAGTAGATAATCTTAGTTATGATGATATAGATATTCTATTTTAGTAATCGAGGTACACCTAGCTCACCTCTGCCTTATTTATATAATATGTGTAGGGGATTACACAATTTATATACGGCACTTTCCGATTCTAAAGCTTTCTTGGTATCGCTTAAAAAGTAAAAATACTGCCAACTCCCTGTCCGTAGACCGCACTCGAAGTGAGTTATCAGACAAACTGACTCAATATCATTGCATTCTATAAACTATTATTAGAGGATATTGATAATTTGTTTGGATAGACATATTTGTAAATATGTTGAAGCCGTCGGTACTTCGCTCGAAACTAACGGAATAGTCTTTTTCCATTCACCGCTGGCTGGCATTGCCTCACATTCACTTAGCCTTGACAAACATTGCTTTATTGTTAGTTAAATAGCAATATAGTTTTGTGTCATTCTGAAAACTACATAGGTTTTTGTAATTTTTCTTAATGTTCTTGTCGTGTGGCTTGAAGTTACATTTTTTGGTCAACCATGATCTACGTTAGCTAAAATTGATTTCCCGAAACTATGCGGTAACTGAATTAAACAATAACTACTAGATAATTACCGAACTCTCGATAGTAGATTTGAGTCCGAAGTAGCCCGAATCTATGCTACATATATTTTGTCAGCCCACTTTTATGCGTGTACTGGTGATAATATGTTATTTTTAAACGACTGGGGTTTCGTATTCCTTGGGTGTCGCATTTGAAACGTAAACACTCAAGACAACTTCTCATATTGTCTTCGTTCCTCCTTCCGCCTCCTCAAACAGGAATTTAGAATTAAGATAATAAAAACGGTCGCTTGGACACAATTTGTAGAAAGAACGTTATTAATACGATTATGTGAGAAATATCAGAATATACCGCAAAAGCTATTTAGGAAACCAGTTTTTATATTATACTCACATGCTCATCGAAGACGTCGACCTTCACATCAACTGCAATGCGATATGTGACACGTCTCAACTCTTTACCTAATTTTGTAATCTCCGCAAAAGTTTGTATGGGAGGCGTTGATTTGTTGCGACAATACCACTTCGGTGTCGAGCTCATTGAGTAGTTGCAGTTATGAATAATGTCACTAGCAAAGGATGTACTTGCGAAAAATTATTTATTTTAATATTTCCTTCGCCGATAAAAACTGATTTTAAAGAACCTAAAGACACAATCTGCTAACACAGCGACCATTTCATTTAACATTCGAATGGGTTGTTAAATCGATGCGCAGGTGGCTACCTACTCGCCCAACAACAACTGCCTGCATGGCAACCAAATGCTTAGCTAAAAGGGAAACAAAGTTACAGAATATGTCTGTTTTTTGGTTGCACTCTCCATAAAACTGTACACATGTATGTGGAAATCGAAAGAGCACGAGTTAGTTTATTTTCATTTGCATTTTTATTTTTTTAGCTTTTTTTCTCTATTGATTTTAAGTAAGATTCTTCATTTGTGTGTGTGTATTTTTTTGTCGCCATTTTTTGTATTTCTTATTTTTAAATATGAATAAACGAGATGTAAATATACAACGCATTCTCACCATAGTCATAATCATCAAAAATCATTATAGCAATTATCATCATCAAAATCATTATCGTCTTCATCATCAATTATCATCGATCGACTATCACAATAAATTGTTACAATTATAGTATATTTTTAGTAGTTTCCTGTTCGATTTCTTCGGACATTCATTTTCGTACTGCACGCTTCTAGCTTTTCACAGGTTCTTTTTGCGCTTCTTTTTTTGTTTTGTTTGCTTGCTGCCCTATCTTATATGTATAGTTGCTGGAGTTTTAAAGTTTTTTTTTTAAATTTTTCTGTACTTTAGTTTTAAATTTCATCTGAAATATAGTATATATAAGTATATCTGCTGTATAACCGTTATATTACTGTCCGAAAAAATATCAATTTTGTTTGTTAGATTCCATTTCTTTTTGTATTATGTGCTTCTTCTTCAATATTATTGTATAATCGTCTGTAAGTGTTCGTAATAAGTTCGTCTGTTTTCATGAATCTTTGTTTGTGTACGTTTATTTGTATAATATATATATGTATATATAAGTATTTTTTATTACATTTAAAATTAAAGTTATCTCTTTATCTCATAAATGTTACTCATCGACATTTAGCATGCTATGCTCTTTACGTGTTGTATCTCTTTCGCATAGATATATATATATATATATATATATATATATATATAATGTAATAATATATTTAATATAATATATAGTGATTCTCTTTTTGTATCATCATGTTTTGCAATTAGCTCCTTTTAACTCTCTCTCCTCTAAAATTAAATCGATTCACACTTATACTTACACATATAGTATAAACATTTCTACAGCACAACTTAGCCGGCCTAGTTGAGTGACATTTGTTGCTATTGCCTATCATATGCATGTCCATCTGTCCATATATAGAACAAAACATACTTTTTAAGTTTTACTGTTAGTTTACTTGCTTCTTTATCATTGTGAATTTTTTTAATCTAAATATGTATGTGTGGCACATGCCCATATATATTTTTTATATATCGATACATATATATATATACTTTCATTTTTTTACATATACATACATACATATTTTTAACTTAATTTTTGTTTTGTTTATTACTCCTTAAAGTATTTAGTATTTAAATGTGATTTCTTGGGCCTCAAGTTACTACTTTCATCTTATATATTAATCAACAACCGCATTTATATTATCTATGTCTACATCGTTTTGTTGTTGTTGCTGCTCCTGCAATGGCTGCTGCTTTTGCTCAAGCTGTTTTGCCTGCTGCTGCTGTTGCTCTGCCTTAAGCGTTGGTATCTCCTCCTGCAGATTGAGCACCTGGACTCGCGGATTATAATAGCCCGCTAAGTAGTATGTATCATTATTATCATAAATCGATTGATATTGCTTCGAATCAGCACCGAATTTAGCGAAGTAACGCTCAAACGGTAGTACTTCACAGCGATGCGATATCGTCTGGACGTCGTTTTCGTCCTCGTGTGGTGATTCAAATAAAGCGCCCTGGGTAGAACAGAAATTTATAATAAAAGGTTAATAAAGTAAAAGGCAGTGAGTAATAGTTTTAGAGAGTCTAATATTATTTGACAGAAATTTTCCACCTATTGAAAAAAGTAAAACTTAAGAAGGTTGTATATAGCAAAAAAAAAAAAATTCAATTGGGAATACTCAAATACCGCAAATGAGCTGCATATTGCAGAGAAAAATACGGCAAAATTTCAGAACGATATTTTAAAACCGAGGGACTAGTTCGCATACATATCCAAACAAACAGTCGGACATGACTAAGAGGACTCAGCTCGTCATGCTGATCATTTATATATACATTTTATAGGGTCTCCGACGTTTCCTTTCCTTCTGGATGTTACAAACATAATATACTTTGTTTAGAGTGCCTTATTTAATCTTCATTATAATTAGAACAGGTTTTTTATGTTTTTACAAACAACACATAAAACATGGCAACTCTACTCGGAAGAAATTCGCACTAAAACTTTTTTTTATATAATATGCTGTATTTTCTTTTTTATACTAGCAGATAAGTTCATTTGTCATCCCACTTGGGGGCACTTTATTTCATGACATTGACTTCGTTCCCGTGGCCCAATGACGCCTACATCGCATATTATGTTGCAGCCTAGCGTGATATCTTTCATATATAATGTCTGAATCGATTAATTCAAACAGTTATATAAAGGTATTCAATCAGTCTTGAATATAAAGTAATTAATTTTGATAAGGATTAATACTAAGGTACGCATAAAGAGCTCTTACAGAGGCGGCATTTTTATTATTATTATTTTTTAAATAAAATAACACCTTATGTGAAGTAACTATAATCGTCGTGTTCTATAAACAATAGTATTTTCAGCGGACGCTATGTAAGGGATTTTTTAAGTCATTTTTTTAAACCTTGGCTTACATTATTGGCGTTTTAGTAAGGATCCCTAACTTTTTTGATAATACACTACAGCCTATGTTCACCGGAGAGAGTATAGGTACTATAACTAAGGTAGTAGTAGCTATGTTCTTGAAACTTAAAAAATTTGGCGGTATTTTAGTCTATTCAGAGGAACCTGTCCTGTAATTGAATTGAATGCAATTTAATCACAAATCACAATCAAATCTTTCCTATTTATATGTGGCAACCATCTTTAAATTCAACTTTTAATTTATGTACATAATTACATTGTTGATACTTCTCAATATGGCTGATCACACAATTTAACTTTTTCGCATTTTACAAAGTAAAAACAACTCCGCATATATATCTAAGTTACATATGTACTCCTGTTACTTACCGGATATTTAAGATTCGGACAACCCGTTGTCTCTTCAGGATGATAAAACCATCGTACACGTACTACTTTATTGCTGGACGTTGTCTCCCACATGGATTCAATGCGTCCAATATATGGCCTATCTGGTCTACCAGTTGATAAAAATACTGCACAATCCCCAACCTAAAATATATTAAATCCAATTTAACAACAAATTTATGTTTGCGCTCGATAAAGGCAATTACAGTTATTGTTTCTTTTCCCCTTTTGATTGTTTTATAGAATTGCTTGCGGGCTCTGCCCTTAATACCAGCTTTACGATAAGCTTTACCCTGCCAACCCCAGAGCTGTCGCTCCGGCAGAAAAGCAGCAATTTTGCTGCCCTTCGAATTATTGTGCTCCACCTCCTCGTCATCACATTTGTTCTAGGAAGCAAAAAGAAAAATTAATAATAATATTATAATTAAATTAATACACTAAGAAGCATATTTCTTTAATTACCTCATCCGATAGCTCGGACATCATATTTGATGTGCTCTCTTCCTCCAAATCCAAATGCTCAGTTTTAACTTTAGCATTTGACGCCGCCGTCGACGGCACAGTTTCCATCTTAATTGCAGCCGCAGCGGGCAGGCAAGCCGATGCGTTTTGAGTTTGTGACTTGCTGTGACCAGTTACTGCTTGGAAGGCGCCACCCTGTGTTTGTGCCTTTCGCGCCACTTCCGGCACGACGTGCTCTTCGGCAACTTCATCGGCATCCGTTGCCATTAGCGTATTGTTGCTGTGATTATCCCCAACTGTTGCAGGGTATTCTCGTTTACCTTTGTAGGTGATCGGTGTAGACGTCAGAAAATTGCCACTTGGCGCCAAACCGGCGTTTTTGATTACGAACGTATTATTAGCACCATTAATCGCTTCACATTCACCATTCGCCTTGCGATGATGATGTTTCTTGTGCTTTTTGCGTTTTTTATGTTTGTGATGTTTGCGATTGCACTCGGTAGCATCGTCCACACCACTTGTGCCATTCACAGTGGACGCGACAAGTGGTTGTCCACCATTAACTGTCACCGGTATTGTATTTGCGATGCCGTTTGCTGCTAACGCTGCTGCTGCTTGTGATTTCTTCTTCAAACTCTTAATGCGTTTCTTCTCCTTACGCTGGGCGCTTAAATCTTTCGCACTCTGTGTTGGCGGATCGCTGCCGCATGTTGATGGCGCCGCGGCTGACATATCGGCGAGTGCAAATGTGGAAATGTGATCGTGAGCATCATTAGAATTGTGACTGCTTCCGGAACCGTTGACGTTACGCGCACCAGCGCTCGATTTCTTGTGCTTGCCTAAAGAGTAGAGGGGATTATCGTTGTACTCTGATGAGTTGGGACGTTTAAAAAGAAAAGAGAACGGAAAAAGTAGGGATACAAATTAAAACGCACGAAATGCAGAATAGCAGATCAATTGAAAATCATAGATGAATTGAGGTTAATGAATGAATATGAAATTGATCGGAAATTTGTGGTTGTTGTAATTTTGAAGGGTGGCACGAAAACAAATGAGAATTAAAAAAATTCTAGAAAAACGAAGAACATACTTTTCGGAAGCGAAGAAATCTCTTCATCATCCAATAAACTTTGACCCAAAATTTCCGACCCTTTTTTCAATGAAACTGAAATGAATGAATGGGCGCAAAAGAGATGAATGTGCATGAATTATACAATATTACATTTCAACACACTTACCCACAATGGGATAGTCACTTAGTAGGAAGCGTATATTCTGTAAACGTATGCGTCCACTGTCGCCATCGTCAAATTCCACGCTTACAGAATCGTTCGGTGTTTCACCGTCATCGGATGATTCAGACTCGATAGCACGACCCGGATAAAGGCAACGGTATTGCTGACTCCAATAGGCACAAAGTCGTGTGCCAACAGGTACACTCTCCACAGATTTAGGCGCCACCTCCAGAATCTAAAATTGAAATGGTTTATGTACTCATTCTCTTTTTACTATATTAAATTATAAATGAAAAGTAAGCCGAATACAAATTATAAGTTATTTTACGTTAGAATTCTAAAAGTATTTTTTTTTTGGTTAGGATTGTTCTGACTAACGTGGCCGGCATAGTCGAGTGAGTTGAGAGTGTGTTCAAAATGTGTAAATGTTTGACTTAAAAGACATTATCATTAAATCCCTTAGCATTTCGGATGTAGCAACACCTAAAACGCTTTTAACTTGAAAACATTTTTAAAAAGGGTACATAAACTATCTATAAATATACAGTGAATTCATATACAATATTAGAATACTCACAGTATCCTTGAAGATCTCCTCGCGCGACATTATATGCGATTTATTACCACGCTCGCCATCCAATGTGATCGCGTACACGTCAGGCGGTTGAAGTGGTTTCATCACGCCGGCATAGAAGAGACCACCCATGTCGGTCAGCACTCGCGTTTCCTTTCTATATAAATGATCACTGGTCAGCATTAGTTGATGATCACGTGGGTCTATTGCTTTTCTGTATGCTTGCTGTTGGGACTGCGGTGACTGAGAAGTTTGAGCCACAGATGACAGATGCTGCTCTTGCCTTTGCTGCGCCGAGTGCTTGGAATTCTGCTGTTTAACGTTCGTTCCCATTTTTTGTATCAGCGATGTAGATACGCTAACCGAACTCTGCTCATCGGCCGAAGAATGCCCCTCTTTCGAACGTCTATTGACGGCAACCGAAGTAGATGTTGACGTAACACCAACAATTAACTTCGGCTCTTTGCATACTATTGTCGTGCTTGGGCATTTATCCGAAGATGTGTGCTTTTGCGCATGACGCTGAGGTGTGCCGCCATTTCGCATGTCGACGCCTAGTGATGCTGCCGCAACCGCACCCGCTAAAGCGCTGGGACCTAGTCGCACTGGTTTGTAAACGGGCAAGGATGGGCCCGTGGAGCTGCTAGCCGAAAGCGTGTTGTTGTCTTCTGAATTGTCGCATTCAGGGGGCGGAAATTGTGCGTGTGGAAGTGTGGGTGTGGCGGATGGTGGCTTCTCGCCGAAGCGCAGAAAACTGGAACGATTTAAGTAGGGCGTTGAAGTGGCACCCACTACACTGCTATTAGTGGAGAATTTCGGAAACTTGTAATCACAGAGTGGTAGAGATGTGCCTGTCGTGCTGCAGGAGAGGCCACCACCGACACTACCAGCACCCAATGATGAGAGTGACAGTGTGGGTTGTTGTTGTTGTGCGGCAAGCAATTTTGCGCATTTTTTCTTCTTCTTATTTTTGGAGATCTCGTCGAGCTTTCGCTTTTTCTTGCGATATTGACGCGTTATGTCCGCTAAACGCATACGCATATCACTCTCCATTAGCTCGAATATCTCTTGTGCATTGGTCCACTGACCGAAACGCAATTGGAAGTTGGGATCGATACGGTTAAAGGCGCCCTTCAGTTCTTGTTGTAATTGCTCGTCCTCGAAGTCGACATCGTCGGAAGCAGAGGCAGACGCAGCCGCTGCGGCAGCTGCAGAAGCCAACAATTGTTGTTGTTGTTGCTTGTGTTTACGCTTCTCCTTGGCGTATTTCTTCTTGCTCTTCTTCGAGCAGCGCTGTGACTTCTTGCCAACACCACCCAACGTCGATGATGAAGATGATTTTGATGATTTGGAATGTTTGTGCTTTTTGCGCTTCACTGGCGGTTCTCCGCCGCCGCCGCCACCACCACCAATACCGAGACCAAGACCACTCGTCGAAGGCAGCTCGATACCTTCCATTGAGGGAAACGAAGATTGTTCCAAACGATAGGGCGACGGATGTGAACGGCTCTGTAATTCGGGCGTCTGTTGACGTCCGAAAGATGAAGTAGAGCGTGACGGTGGCGGCGACTCGCTTTCAGTGAACAAATTGCCACGGCTGCTCTGAACTTCTTCTTGGATGCGTTGTTCAGCTAGAGCGCAGAGCAAATTCAAACCGCCCAGAGGCTCTACTATCGTTGTGGGCACGTTAGATGAAGGTGTGGGTGGGAGCGCGTGAGCCAGCAAGGGCAGCGGAGTTGTTTGTCGCTGCATTTCAGCCTCTCTAGGCACACAAGAGTCGCAGCTGCCCGAAACCGGCTGCGATACATCCGATTGCTGTGTGATAAATTGTGGCATTTGTGACGGTAAGGATGGCGCGACAGTTGATGATGACAATTCATCGCTCATTGAAGAAACGGGTGCGTCCATGTGGTCGAGTGGTTCCTGCTTAACACGCACCATTGTCATGCCAATGCCTACGCCGATACCTTTACTCGCCAGCGTACTAGTGCTGATGTTTGATAGCAGCTCCAGGCCGGTTAGATCTTCTGGGCCGGATTGCTGTAGTTGCTGTTGATGCTCATTGTAATGCACTGGTTCATTACCTGAAAGCATTGGAACGGCTTCGCCCGCTGAAGACGATGGTGGAGGAGGTTGCGTTAAAACTTCGTAACCTTCAGCTTCCCCATTCGCCGCTGCGTTGGCTTCATTATGGCACACAATATGATTTGTTTCTGTCGTGGTTGCTGTTGACGTTGTTGTTATGGGTAATCCACCAGTTTCGGAACAATGTACGTTACCATTATGACAACTCTGCTTTGTTAACTCCAAAGGCTCTTGTACATCATCATCATTGTTGTAATTCGGCGAATTCATCGGATTCACCTGTGATGATTGCAACTGTTGTTGCAACTGTTGCTGTTGCTGTTGTATGGCAAGCGGACACGTTGAGTTCTCGTCATCACTACAGACCGGTGTATCGGTTTGTATATTTACATCTTGCATTTGGGGTGGTGGACCTGACTGAGGCGTTTGGCCACTGTTGTTTATTGCACGAGGCACACCCACCACTATACCACTCACCGACTGCGACGGCCCAGCTTCTACTGGACTTGTTTTAAAATTGATTGCCGTCGTCTCATCCCCCAATGGCGTTGGTGGACCGATAGTGGTCGAAAGTGTAGATGGCGGTCCCGTAGTCCCACCACCATTTATGAAAATACCTGTGGGAGTCACAGTTGTAGTGGCGCCAGTAACGCTGCCAGCCGTACCGCGCTGTAACGATGCAGATAAATTGAGTAAAGCCGGCGATGGTGTCGAAGTGGTCTGAAATAGTAATTGTGGTTGCAACTGTGGCCCACCAGCAGCTGCAGCCGCCGACTCCATAGTCGCCGACGTTGGAGGGGTCGGCAAACGCATTAAATTTAATGCCTGGGCATTAACGGCGGCAGCGTTGTGCAAATCCAACAGATTCGTTGTATTTGTAGTCGTTTTATCCCGACCATCGAAATTCAAAGCAATTGGATGAGACGTTGACGACGGCGTCGTGCCCAAACCCGCATGATGGGTTTTTCCCGTTGCTGCCGCCGCAGCCGCCATAAAATCCGTCGCACACCAGTCTTCGATTTTCAATGCGGCAGGCGGTAGAATGAGCGAAGGTGGGGGCGGTAATGCAGCTGTGGACGGTGGTGGCGGTAGCGTCAATGTTGGCTGTAGGGTTTTTTGTGGTTTCGGAGCTTCGAGTATGTTGGAAGCGGACGCACCTGTAGTTGCCAAACTCAGAAAGCGGCTACTTGAACTATTCATATTGTTGCTGCTGTTCATAGTGCCTACAACGCCGCTGCCGCCGCCACTCGATGGTATACCGCCCGGTGCGGCCAAGCTTAAGTTGATTGAATTTGTGGTCTGCTGTGTGTTAGTTTGTTGTTGATTGTGTTGGCAAAGTGTCGAAGTGGCAGCGGCGGCTGCGGCAGCAGCTGCAGCCGCGGTTAAGTAATTCGAGCCGAAAAGTTGGAGTGACGTGGCGTAAGACTGCGGCTGTAGCGTCGAATGTGGGCTCATTGAAGGGAATATAAAATTGGGCGGCGGCTGTAGGGTGGCGGCCGCAGCGGCAGAAGCCGGCGTTGTACCCTGCGGTATGTATGATGGCCAAACAAAAGCCGCCGCCTGTTGGAACGGATCTGTGGGTGTATAGATTGGAAAATTTGATATGCCTATTTGGGTTTTTGAATTCGAGACGTGATTTTTTTCGGTCAAATCAATTTTCAAATCAATTCAAACGAGGCAATAGCAATTTTGATGCGATTTCGAATAATTTTTATTGATTTTATTTAATTCATATCAATTGTAGCGGTCAAGTGGTGGTTGTGGTGGTGGTTTGGTGGTTGTGGGAGATGGGATGGAAAAAGAGGGTACCAAAGCAAATTAGTGAATGTGAAAATTGCAGGTTTTGTTGATTATTATTTTCTTGTCTTGTTAAGTACTCTTTTCAATGTGAAAATGAGACATAGCAAAGCATTAAAATTATAAGCAGAATTCTAAATAAAGTATACAAGTATATACTCGTACATACATAGGTAAACATATAGTAAGTGTACAGATAAGTATATCTACGTAAGCGTTAATCAGTAGAAATATCGTATGGTGTTTTTGCATTAAACAAATTTAAGAAAATATAAAAACAATATTTGTGTAAAAATTAAAATAAATCAAATATTTGAATTTAGTCAACAAAATTAACTACTAAAATGAGCTCCTCAGTTATTCTTAAAAGCGATTTAATTAGTATAAAAAACTCCCTTTCGTACGATCCTAAAGTTTTGAGCATTAGGCGCATTATTGAAGAGAAGGTGAGAGGGGTAGTCTCAGAATTTTCAAAAAACTGTTTCTTTTCGCATTTGTTTAAAGTATTTACAATAGCTAATAAATATTCTCTGAAAATTTTAAATAAACTAGGCAAAAACTAGTGACCACTATGGCACATTAAATTTAATGCGAACAATGAACACAAAGAATTCAAGAACCGTTCGTCTTCTTTGTTGAAACTGTAGAGCCGATAACAAAGATTTCGTTAAAGAATTACCAAGTGTCATTGAATTAAGGTACTAATTTTTCGTATCCTTAACGCTTCGGTTATTCGTCCGTCTTTCAGAATAGCATTATTTTGGACACAAACAGCAGATATAAAACGGACAATTTTCAATTTCGTATATTAGCAACTAGAAAGCAACCTGCGGCCCGTCAACAAAACAATACCAAAAGCCAACCGGCAAATATATAGTAATTATAAACGAGTGAGCATTAATTAGCGGCTGAAGATAAAAACAAGCGGCATTATAATAATAATTAATAAAAAAAAATATGTAAAACACTTCATAATCAATAGGAAACAATAATGAACGATTAATTTTATAGTTTGAGTATGTTATTGCAAGATCGACGGTCTTGAAGAATGATACTTGAGCGGTTTTGATTCAGATTAACACAAAATTTAAGAGACAAAGTCTAGTCTCAATCAGAATTTGAAATAAGCAGAGAAAAGTAGTTCGAGCAACTTTCGAAACATTTGAAAGAGCACACAACTGCTGTGAAAGTTTATAACATCGACATTAATAGTTAACCTGCTCTAGATTTGGTAAAGTAATAAATGTTATGAAAAATAGTGCAGAAATGTACATATATTGAAAAAGCGTTAGCGATGGCAAAATCCGAAAACATGAGTTTTTGTGTGTTCAAAAGTAAGATCCCTCAGGTTTTAACTTTGGCAACCGTAAATATCGCATAAAAACAAACGAAAAATTTTAGCCAAAAATCCCTTATTCGAATTTATAAAAAATAAAAAATTAAATAACTTTTGTTTTGCCGTGTGACCGCTTGTTGCAACTTTTAACGCTAACAGATTTGTATATGGTATGGTGTTGTATGAAAATGTGATGAAACCGTTGGTGATGAATATGAATTGAAGCTCTTTGCTAATACTTTTAAATCCGTATATAGGAGTATGTATGTACATATGTATTAATATAGGTGTGTTTGTAAGTTATTGAAAACATTTTACGAGTATGTACATATATGAAGTGAACCTACCTAAGGCGGCTGGTGTAGCCGGCAAAAGTACCACTTGACTGCGACTTGCATCGCGCGAATACTGCAAACCCACGGTGGCTGGAGACATGGAAATCACTGACTCAATGGGAAGCGCATCTAAGGAGCAAAATAAATATTATACATTTTGTTTGTTGTAATTGTCGATTGTGTATAATTAATCAAGTAATTTGTAAGATTATACTAAGTAAAAAATCATAACTCACTTTGATATTGCCAAAAGGTTGACGGTGCACGATTTACACTTTGCACACCAGCGGCGCTGAGCGCCAATTCCTCGGCGGTCGCTGACCCAGTCACTAAGTCACCGTTACCCGTAAAATAGATGTTGCTGCAGCCAGTACTAACACCACCTGAAAAATATGAGAAGAAAACATAAATATTTATTACACAAAACCATAAACAGAAGAATATAAAGAATAGAGCAGCAAAAAATTACGCGCCTAAAAGTTAACTAACACAACTGCTTAATGCTGACGCCCAAGCGCACGAAAGTAGTCTACAAAATTGTGAAAATTGCGGGAAATTTACTAAACTTTCACTTTCCACTCGTTAACTGCTGATAATTAATTCTGGGCGTAAGTGTCAAATAAAATAGAATGAAATAATTTCCTGTATAATTTTCTGTGATGGTTTGCAGGCACGGTTTTGAACGCACAACTTCCAACAGTCAACTGAAATTCTGCAAATTCACTACGCAATATTTTGCATACAGATGCATGTATATGTGTGTATGTGTGCAGAAGACATCCTGAGTGAGCGTGTGTGTGGCTGTGAGCAGCGTATTTGCGTTGACCTTGAACTATTTACCGGAGCTGCAGTTGTTGTTCCTGCCCGTAGATAATATGCACAAGTGTGCAATTTACAGATTTTGACTAGGTCCGATTGTTGTTGCTGTTCAATCTTTTTGATGAATTTGTTCTTTTTCTTCGTTTATTATGTGGGTGATTGGTCAACATTAACCATCCTCAGATTGTAGTTGCAGGGCAGGATTAAAAATAAATGCCTATAATAACATACTCGTATAATAGTACAACACAGACCCTTACAGGTGTTTAGGCCGAGCTTCACAGCGAAATTATGTAGGTATATAAATATATGATTATTGCATGTAAATAGCATGTAAATACAGATGTGGCTGAGTTTCATTGCATCTCCTAAGAGTGAACTTCTTCATGAAAGCGAAATATTATTATTTTAATTGATATTTTTGGCAACTGACCTGGCTAGCAATAGTCGAAGGATTACGCACAGACACACTTTAATTCACTTTGTATTTAGTGCAATTTATATGCTTATGAATGCGACTGTACTTTCGGGTGCTCTAAGGTTAGGCAGCTAGTAGGTGTATTGTATATGATAAATGAACATACCGCCGGTCGTAATGCAATTAAATGCCAGCAAATGAAGAGTTTCCATCATACAAAAAAAAATTGTGTGTATCCCTCTGGTCACACATACACATAATTACATGTATGCGGGAAATTGGTTGTTTTATTTTGTTATTTAATGTCTTAATTTTTCGAATCAAAATTAAAAATAATATAATATCGTAATTATCAACATCAAGCTTTTGAAACGAAAAACAATTAAACAAGAAAAAACGTTAACTTTGGCTGCCCCGAAGCTAGAATACCCTTCACAAATAAGTTTCCTTACAATAACTTAATTTTCATTGTTCAATTTCTATGGCAGCTATATGCTATAGTGGTCTGATCTAAAAAAAATGTTCGGTTACCTTGATTTTGATAGTTTAGTTTGTAAAACTAAAAAATTTGTTCGGATATTTTAACGTTACCTTGGACAATAATCCATGACAAATTTCGCGAAGATATCTTGTCAAATAAAAAAATTGTCCACATAAATACATCATTTTGATCGTATAGTTTGTATGGTAGCTACATATATGGTCCGATATCGGCGGCTCCTTGGGGAGAAAAGACTGCCCGCAAAATTTCACATCGAAATCTTAAAAACTGAGGGACTTGACATATATATATATATATATATGTATATTTTATAGGGCTTTCGACGTTTCCTACTAGGTGTCACAAATTTCGTGACAAACTTAACATACCCTGTTCGGATTATAAAAAGTACGGGATATTTTGTCGGCATGTTATTAAATTTTGTGTTTGAACGGATTTTCGAACATATGACCCATGGAATATCTCGCTGGTAAGACCAATCTCATAAAAAATAGTCGAAAGGAATCAAATGAATGACATATATGATTCGAGTCGAAATTCATTCTCCAAGAACAATTTTGCCCTTCAGCAATCGACATTGACGCGGAGAACGTAAAAAAAAGCGAGTCAGCGAATCATTTGTCTGTAGTGCTCTCCATTGACGGTAACTTTGTGAATGCAAGAGAACTTGAAGCATCTCCTAAACATTTTTAACACTCCAAATAGGCGTTAAGCCAGAAATGTGCCGCACAGCATGTAAGTTTTGGTATTAAATTTTCAGCTTTGCGGTCTTGCACGCTAACAAACCAAGGTATCCTGAATAAAAATGTCAATATATATGTCTACTTGAACAGCTATGAATATACATATATACTATGAAACTGTATACGCCTAAAAGCACCCTACATAATTATGGTGTTATTACTTTACGATACGCTTCAGGAAATTGAAGGCTCGATGAAATGGCGATTCATTATTTTACCGTTTGCATCAATTACGGCAATAGCTATTTTCCAAACAGGGAGAAGACTCAGAAAGCTTATCTCACCCAAGCAACTGCGCAATTCGAGTGAAAATATTCAACTGTTGGATCTAAATATTTTGTTGTTGGTGGCTATAACAAATCAGAACCACAATGGCCAACATGCCAAATTCCCCTATCAGATGTTTTTTGTTAATATCCAAGTGAATAAGACCGGCTCCTATGTATGCCTTTTCTGGTTGTCCAAAAACGTGTATACTTTAATACTGCAGATATATGAAATATATGTATATATGTACATATGTATACGTATATACATATGTATAATGTGCGAAATTTCACAAGTTTCTAAAAGATATGTACGTACAACATTTTATAAATGAAAAACAAAAACAACAATTAATGTATGCATTCGCCTTATACATGTCTTTAGAGTACGTAAAATACGACACAGTAGGGGGTATAATAAACATACACAAATATATATAAATAATAGCAAAAAATTAAGCACAGATTGTCCAAAAATGCAAAATTATAAATAAATAAAACAATTATAAGAAAAAGTAAGTGAGTAAGTAAGCTGCAAGCGAATTAAATGCCCTTTGATTCCACTGATTTGTAGTCTTCAATTGCGTTAGAAACCTGCTCATTTTGGCAGTCATGTAGATTTATAATAAGTCTATTTAAATTCAATGATAAATCAATGCAAATTTTTTCAAGGTATTTGCGTATACATACATATGGTACATATGTGCATACATAGGTATATATATATATAATATATTGTTCATTATAGAAATTTTTATAAAGAATAGTCACAGCGAATGAAAAAAAAAATATAATAATTACGATTGTGCTCGATCATCAAACGTCACTAGCAATTAGTTGTATGTATGTATTGTCGTATATCCACGTACCTAAGTGTATTCTTATATTTGCGGTTAAGAGGTTTTGAAGTTGGGGCAACCAATTTATGTACTCTATCTTGGGTCTTGGCAAGGCGCGATATTACTCGCTGTATGTAATTGTTTTTGTAATTAGCCGTTCGAGTTTTCAAACAAAAGTAAGCTGCCCATTTAAATACATACACATGTTTATACACTTATGGGCAAAATAATAGATACACATAAGAAACATTTACTATTAACCGCATTTTAATATTTATTAAATTAATTAGGGTGAAATATTTAGAGATATCGTCACAAAATGTATATGAAATATAGCGAAGTTGTTGCTCGGCGGCACCCTTTCTTGTTGTTTCCTTAAGATATCACACACAATCACCAATATATACGATATAAAATCAATTGAACACACCCAATCACGATTAGGTGAAGTTATGGATCGTTATCCCCCATTTTTCGTACAACTCACTGCTAAGAATAAAATTTTAATCCAATTTAATTGTGAGAAATACCTCATATACCATCTGACAAATGCAAGCACACCAACGCTTAATCCAATTTTCCGCAAACTTGTTACAAGCTCCGGCTGGGATGGCCTTCAATGCCGTCAGCGATTTTTTATTTTTTTTGTTTCGGCACAATTTTAGAGCGCCATTCGCTTAATTGTTGAAAAGAATCGACGTAATATTCATAAGCCCACGTCGCGTCAATAGTAATGCAACAGCGCAACAGTTTGAAGGGACCTCAACTACGTTGTCAAGCATCTCCTTTGCGCCCTTTACTCGACGTCGTTTTTTCAGGTATTTTCGTACGAGTTCAGCTTTAACACTCTTCACACCCAAAACATTAAGCAAAATGTGTTGAGTCGATCTATGATATGTAGAATATCTCTGATATCTCTCTGATGCCAACACGACAATTTTCAAGCACTGTTTCTTTAACTCTTTCACTGCTTATTGTCATTAACAGAGGAGGATGGACGGCTCTTAACGACAACTTTTCGAACACTTCACGACTTCCACTTAAACTCGTTGTTAAATATTCTTTTCAAGAATAAAAATTCGTCAGAAAAACTTTTTGCGTCGTAAACAAACAGCTGTTAAACATACAATTATTGACATATGGAGCACGAACTTCACACGAATACAAAAGGAGATTGTACCAATCTAGGAAAAAAAATGTAATCAAATCGGTTTTCGCGGGCATTTAATTGCACCAGTCCGGGTCAAATTTGATCAGACATGTATATCATTTCTGCGCTTTCTAAAGCCTTCCTTCTTTAATATATTGTCAAATTCAGATTTGTCAGTAGGTCGAGTTTTCGGCGCCGTTATTTCGGTAGTAAGCAATCGGAGCCAAGGTTTTCATTGATTTGTGACACGGATAATCGATCTTATTGGTTTCACTTAAGTGGATAGATTTTTAAAATCCACCGAACAACAAATTTCTCAACACCCCAGAAGTTGCAAGTTTTTACAAGAAAATACCATAATTATACTAAGAAATCGAGGGGCATCTATTTAGTTAAAAATTCTTGGTTTAATAAGTTTTATCTTAAAGGGAGCAGGGGGATCCACCCTCATCACTGAGAATGAAAATGTATTAATAAGTATAAATAAGAAAAACATTGCATGATTTTGTGCAGATACATATATTTATATGTATAAAATTCCAAAATATACTGCCCACCCATAGTTATAACTATAATATGGCTGCATATATGGCTGCATATTGTAGAAACGTTTTAAGACGGAGGAATATACAGTACAATTATTTGTCCTCTGCACTAAAAGATAATTGAGATTCTTTGTTGGTCCCCTTATTTTTGATCATACGAGAAAGCTCTTATATACATTATTTATCTATGCTCTTCAGAATTATTACGGCTCATTGGACATTTATGCAAGGAAAAGACTTTTCGTTATCGAAGAAAAAAGCTTATCAAGATATGATTGACATTTCAATAAAGCAGCGGGAACAATACATTTACTCTCGAATTCACTCTATTAATAGCATTAATCACCAACTTCACACAACAATCAAGCTTCCATCAGTGAAAACATGATTTTTCGTATTTTCAATACACTCGAAAGGAAATATCTAATCAAATATTTTGTATCGCATTACAAGAATTCGCCCACCATTAATTTACGAGCTCATTAGTACGCATTTTAGGAAAATTGGACGTAAGAAAGACATTAATGCAATTTTTAATTTCATTCAAGCACTCCATGTGCCTACCACCAAAGGTATTACAAATAAAATATTATGCACGAAAAGAGTGCTACACGAAGGGGGAGAAGTCGAAAACATGTCTCAGCATCAAGTGGGTATGTTTCCATATGGTCGCACCGCACCTCAGCATCATACTTACGACCATGGCAATGGCAATGTTGCGTGTTAGGAATGTAAGTAGAATATGAAGGAGAAGCAAAAGAAAGTGGAAATATGTACATGGTACACAAAGCGAACGCAGCATTCATCCCTTTTGTGTGCTTCCAAATACGCCCGGCAAATTCACTCACGCTGTGTGTTGCATCAATTGCGAACGATTGCTCGCTATTATTTTGTTGACATACCCACCTTGCGAAACAGTAACGAGAATACTCAATGAGCATGCCAGCGGCAATGATGGCGTTGGTGGCGGGCATATAAAGGAAAAGGCAAAACACAAAACAACTTTGGCGAACAACATTGTAAATACACCCCCTGTGCAAATAGTAACGGCGATACCATATGATTTTTTTTTAATAAGAAATATGTTATGTTAAAATGTGAGGATGATGGGTAAAGTAAGGGAATCCTAGACTTTCACTTACTTGCTTAGGGATGAAGTCAACGAACGACGCTGGCGGGGGTGGTGTGCACATGTTCTGCTTCGGCACATGCAAGTATACTTGGAAAGGAAAGAAATGACGCAAAGCGCACCACAAAAGAAAGAGCATACACCGAAACATACATACATATATTTACGCCGTGGAAGAAAGGAGCTGAGCAACTGAAAATGCAATTTTACTTATGCTCACAAAAACGGTACATATCCATTATATCTTCGACTTCTTGCTTTAACAATCAGATGTCTGGGGAGCGAAACGGCTCTTAGGTGGGCGAGCGGGTAAAATTTGGAAGCGCAATTTCAATGAAAGTCCTTACAATAGAGCAGCAGAATAGCTTGCTATTGATCACACGCTGCTCAGTCAAAGAAATGTATGTACTTAGTCTGGCCACAGGCGCTTTTCCCACCCACAATTTAAATTAATTCTTTATTCATTATTTTAAAGCATCTACTCAAAATCGTTTATCAACTCACTTTGATCGCCTTCGAGCATATATTTACATATTACAAAACCTCTCTAGTGCATTGGGTGAGCGACTATCACTTAATACGTCGTGTGTTCAAATTACAACCGAGGAAAATTCTAACATATTATGTATATATTGTAATATGTTATTATATTCCTCAGAAGATAAAGATCATCATGGAAATTAAAAAGCCGACGGCTTTACGTTGTAAATATCACACAACACAAATCGAACAGTTGGTGAAGACGTCAGTACCAATTAAGAATGCTAGTGCGTGCATAAGTATGTATGTACATATATACATACATACATATGTATGTATATGTATAATCTCTTTACAAGTACGCATAAGTCCACAACTATATTGAGTGCTAACGAAGGAATTCCCATGACAAATTTATATAATCTGATTAGTGCTTTAAATCAACACGGTAATGAGACATATTAAACGACATGCTTATAAACCCGTGTCTCTTCATCTCTTTGATCTACCAAAATGTAACCCCAAACAACTAAATATTTATCCATTCATCAAAACTACCACCAATAAAACCAACTATGCAGCATTGTCCACCTCTTCGCTTTCTGTATCCACCATCCGGCCAAACCCTCACTCCATTTCCGTTCCATTCAACCACCATTATTCATTTATGCGTAGGCCTTATGTCGCAGAGATTGTAGTCGAAATTAATAATAAAAGTTAAAGTATACATTTTTTGACTAAATCAAAAACAAGAAGAGGGTAGTACATACACACGTACATAAATTTGTTGTAGTGAATTTTGTGAATGGGGGGGAGTCAACTGTGAGAAGGCCACTTGAAGTGATAAAATAAAAATAAATGTACGACAGTGCATAGCACAGCAGTGATCACAAAAATAGCATAATCTGATCATGATCTTTTAATATCGACTTTGAAAAATACGAAATAATTAGTTATATTATACTATCACTTTTTTCATATAAACCGATCAGACTAAATTTATATTGTTTAAACTAACTTAATACACCAAAGAAATCGCTATCGCTTTTCCTGGTATTTCTTTTTAAACAATTTTGCACACGTGAGGCACTTTAATTGTGCAAACCCCCATTAATTTTGAGTTGAAGTTCGTAAGGGATGTATGAGTTGAAATTAACCGAGATAACTTCGTTTTCGTTTATGTAAGTTCAATTTGAAGCCCTCCGCAAACTTATTGTAATTTTAGCTAAAATCGCTCTACGAATAAGTATCCAGCTGACGAGAGATTATAACTTAACTAATAGAAATACGACGTGTGTTCGGAAACTAACGGGAAGAAGGAGAATTTCACGTGCTTGGAGTGTCAAATACCCCAAAATACATTTTTTGTTATGTTCAGGTTGTTGTTGTTGTAACGGTGATAAGTTATAATTTAGTTGTCGTCGAGGTCATCTAACGGAGGGAGTTGGGTTCGTTGGGCATGCAAAGAGGTGGTTAGGGTCATGCGGAGACTCATTCCACGCAAGACAGCTGCTAAAGATAGACGTGTTTTATAAGCTTGGCGATTTTCATTTGGATACTAGTAAAAAAAGATTTTCGACTGGAAATTTATAAAAGAAAAGCTCATAAAATACGTTTTATTAAAATATAACATACATAGGTTTTCGAAATTCGTATCGCTGTTTAATTCGATGTATCCCTACTATTCAAAACAAAACTGAGATTATAAATATATCTTTTATTTTGTTTCATGTTTCCTGATTTTTGTACAAAATCATTGATAGTTTCATGAACTGTGGTCACAAATATATTCAAAATCGACAACAAACACAACAAAACCACTGCAGATGTAGTATTACATAAATATTGTTTAGTAAATAGAAATATTACAGTAACTATTTGACACATTTGGACTTAATACAGTTTATTACTTATTATTATTAATATAAGCATACCTTATATTTTTTTGATTAGAGTAATTCGTTTGGAAAGTTTTGTTTGTAATTTCCAGTTATTCTATTTATGGCATCACCACTGTAGTATATCAAAATGCAAGTATTGTAAGGAACCCTCATTTAAGAGACGACGACTACAAATTGTTGACATTTTTATGCGTTTCTATGCAAAAGTCAGCCCGCATAACTAAAACCCCTTAACCCTTTCATGTCGTTTAAAATTTTTTAAGTATATTGAATAAACCAACAAAATTAAAAAGAGAAGTGTATACGCTTTATTAGCGCTTCACTAAGATTAATAATTGATATACATATATATGTATTTTAAAATAAATATTTAACAACCTATCGGGTTTTTAATAACCAAAATACATTTTTACAATATCTTGAAGTTCTTTGAAATATTTTTGTTTGTTTTATAGACCATAAGCATAAATCTAATGAAATGTCCAAAAATACTAAAATTCATATTTTATAGCAGCAAGAGTTATAACTTAACAAATCAGAAACTCATTCTTGCAAGTGTTTGTAAAAACTCACCTAAATCCGCTACGCGTATACCAAAGCAATTCATGTCCTTATTAAGCGTTTGTTGCATTGGAATCGGTGCAGCATTAGAGAGTGTTCCCGCCGTTTCTTGTGGTCGTTTACGCGCCACGGCAATACCAATAGGCACCGTGTTATCTATAAACAAAGAACCAAAAATAGCAAGTTAAGTGGTTAACTTATCAAACAATATCGTTAAAAAAGTGAAACAAAAAACAAAAAACTTCGAAAAAGAAATTAAAATTTATGTTTCATTCATACATACACACTGTTAGCATAGATAACTGAATCAATTTGAATAATGTAATGCAGGTTTTAATTTTTTTTCACTATAAATTAACATACTTGTGTTAGACATTGTTGGCGCTGCGGCAAGTGTATTCACAGTTGGTGTTTTATCCATTTCATTCACCTTCGGTGAGGAAGCCTCAATCTTCACTAGCGTTGTTAGCGTAGACGACGATGACATCGTTTTGGAAGCTGCTGATATGGAAGCCGAGCAACTGGATGTTGATGAGGCTACACCAACCCCCATGCCAACTCCAATACCAATGCCACTGCCACCTGTCGATGATGTAGACACGTGATGCTGCTGGTGATGCTGTTGCTGTTGTGTTTGATGGCAATTAGCAGAGGTAACCTCCGATACTTGGCAAGGTTCGCGTTTAATTTGTACGAATGTATAACTGGTTGAAGTGGAATTAGTTTGTTGATGGTGGTGATGCTGCTGTTGTTGATGTGGATGATGATGATGGCCAGCATTTGCACCACTTAATGGTGATGTAGTGGTTGTGACAAAATGTGGACCACCAGCAAGACTAAAAGGTTCTAAATGCAACGGCGCTCCATTTGCCGTCGCCGTGGAGGGTAGCAAAAACGTTGTAGTAGCCGCAGCAGTGCTACGTTCAAAATGCTCTGTGGCAGCCGCGACGGCAACCGAGGATCCCAACAAATCCGTAGCGGCGGTAGTGCTATGACCATTGAATGTTGCCATTTAATTGCGAGCACAAACAATATTTCTATAATTACGTATTATTTTGTTGATTTCAAACTTCTAACTTTTACGGTTGCTTGTAAAATCAACAAACTGACAACAACGTGCTTGCTTTCTTGACTTGCCGTCGCAAAATTTCGTTTTGTTAAATTTCTTACTGCTTTTTCTAATGTGGGAATTTTTACCGAGGACTGCATCGCCAGCGACTGAATTGCGACGCCATTTCACTGAAAACATTTTCTAAATGCAGATTTTTTTTGCACTAAACTTAATATGTTTTAAAAGTTTGATTACTATTCTCGTTTTTGCTACATTTTCGCATAACTTTTCACACTCATGTCTTCAGTTAAGCACTTTCATAAAAAATATATATATTTAATTCACAGATCTGATTCGTTGTGGCGCTTTATAGCATTTCGATTTATTAATTAGTTGGAATTTCACACATACATACATACAAACACATACAAAATGACATAATCCCGCCTCTGTGGTTTAGCGATGCGGTGGCAAATGTGACGGTCGGTCGAAAGGCCCCCCCTCGGTGCAAATATATCTTTGGACCGTTTCCAATTCACTGGCCAGCAGCACTTTAAAATCTTTTCAAACACTTGTATTGTATGTATTTTCAAGTTGGTTTTAAATGATCACATATATCCTCTTAAAGTTTTTTATGTTTAAGTATGCGAAAAACACGCGCGCGCCTTTCAATTTCGCAAATTCGAGTTCCAGGAATTTAACTTTATTTTTTTTATTGCCGAATACAAAGCCGCGGCCAAAACTGGCTGGCTGACTATTTGGTTGGTTGGCTGGTTATTTAGCGAAATACACTCGTAGTTTTGCCGTCGCGAAATATGCGAAAATACAACGACGACAACGACCAACGATGATGGCAACAACGACGACAAAAAAGCAAGTTTTCACTTTTGCCTTTGCCGTATTCTCGGGTGCACAAACACTTAAACACGCCCAATCACACACAGATACGGGACACGATACTGCACTGCACTAATGCCCAGCCACTTTACTGGCTCCTTTATCCGTTGAATTGACTTTGCGTGTTTTTATAATAATATAACTCTTTATTCATTTGTATTTTGCACTTATGCATTTTCTCTTATTTTCCCGCACAAACATTTTTCATTCGTTCATACGTTTATATGCCTTCAATTGAATAGTGGATTGTGCGATTATTTCGCATCTGTACGTCAAGCATTTCATTCACTCGCTATCGCTCACTTCTTCATCGTATTGCGTCAATTTCAATTGCTTCTTCGTTGCTACCTTTCTCAGGCAGATCCTCCACCTCCTCTACTAACAGGTATATATCTATTTATTTTTATTGCTATTTACTATCGCTTTGCTTTCTATTTCTCCTACTTTGTACGAGTTTCTAGCCACTTCTTTTGCTCGCTCTTCTTTTATCTTCACTAGTAATTTTTAACCATTTCCGTTTCTTCTACGTACATACTCCTTCACTATGAATAGTGGACTTCTCGACGTTTTATAACTTACTCTTATCTTTATCTTTACATTTATTTCAATTCACCTATCATTTACACTTTGCATATGCAATTAATAAAATATTTCGAAAAAAATTCCACAAAAATGTAACCAAAAAAAATATATTTGTTATTTCTATTTGTTTTCATTCCCGATTCCGAATCTATACTGAATTCCGCGTTGTCGAAAGTTCAAACTATGTAGCCGACTGTACACTAACTCGGACGGCGTAAAGAGAATTGACGGCGGCTCGATAAACAGCTGAGCGAAATGTCAAAAGAGAATGACGTCAATTTCTTAAAATTCGACGGTGGAGTATTTACAAATTCAACTAGCATGATTATTTTTCTTTATTACTATTCAACTAACAATTGAATTTTGTATTAAATGTTGTTTTCTTTAAAATAAGATTTTCGACATCCAAAATATATTCTATCAAGCTAGCATACCTCTGGCGAAATATTGTAAGATGTACGAAATATTTGATAACATCATTGAAACGTATATATTACATTAGCTAGATTAAGCAATAAGGTTGCTTATATTGTAAATAAATTTAATAATAAATCAAATCAATCAAATACTATACTTATATGATGCCTTACAAGGTCTGCTTAAATAAATACGCACCTGTGTGCGAATACCACCATAGCGTAAATATTTACGAACGGAAGAAAAAGTCAAAAGCGACAAACGCAAAACAGAATAATAAAAATATTACATTATATTTGAGTATTGTCTATATTTTGTTTTTACCTTATTCGCAAAATGCCGGTTTACAACATAAAATGAGATTTACCTTCCAAAATAACGAGTATCCGCATTGAACCGTTGTAATCAAGGATGAGGAAAGATTCAGAGCTCGGGTAATTTAGAATGAGCTGGTGCACCTTCTATGTACATATAAGTATGTATGTTTTCCTTTTAAGAAGCTACTTATATTGAAAAAAAATGTAAAAAAATGATGTGTGTGACGACAGGAATAATCCCATATGTTTGTATATTTTTTTACTTCTGGTAGCTAAATAATGTCTTGTATTTTTATTGTAACTGTGACACAGCTTTAGTTCTGATAATTCTTAAAAGCTAATTGCAATGTTTCATCATTATTTCTCCTTACTACAACTCAATACTTCAGCAAGTATACAAAATTGCAGAATAATAATATGTATATGTGTATTAATACATTTAAACTAAATAATTTGAAAAAAAAATATATATATGGTCGAAAAGTTTATAATGCCTTAAAAATGTATAGTGTTGCTACTTTTCTTCATTCACATATAAATTCGGCGTAAATCTTTTGGCGTTGTAATCAAATTGCATTGTGGGCAAAGTTTTCGTGCACCCAACGAACGCAGCCAGCACTCTTCACAATGTACATGCCAGCATGCAACCGAAATAGCTGGATTTTTATAATCATCTAGACAAATCAGACATTTGAATTTATTCTGCGCTTGATTTTCAAATAGTCGTAATTTCATTTTTAACGATTCAATTATCTGCGGGTAGTTTTGTTGCTCATTGTCATTCAATTTATTTTTGGTGCGGTCTTGATGTTCTGTGTGTTCAACACCCTGGGAAATGTATGTCTCGGTATTTGTAGCTACCAATATATCAACGCTCGTGCGAGGCAGTTCTTCCGCGCTATTGTGTAAAACCGTTCCTTCAGAACAAGTTATTAGCCGTCGCATGTAGCTAGTTACGTCACCATCCGCACAGTTGCCATTTTGCTCAGCTATTGGTGGTATAACATCAGCCTCTACATACTGAGCCGGTCCATAAATGTGTGTGTCATCTTCATCTACATTTAAATCTTCCTCTTCTTCGTCACCACCCTGAGTGGAATTATGACTGCCACTACTTGCAGTATTTGTAACAGTTTGACCTATACCAATGGCGGCGTAACCACCTTGCAGCATGCTTGATACACGTATTCGCTTTTGCCCAGCCCATTCATATTCTTCGTACTCTTCTCCATCGTCGTCTTCGTTGCTTGAACTGCCTCCATCACGACCATTGCTTGTCCCATTACTTCGCCGTAAACATTGCTCAGCATGTTGTTGGATTTCCTCTATTGGGAAACTTGCATTACAAACAGGACATTGCTGATCAGTTACAGGTGCTGCTCGTTTACCAGTTCTTCGCTAAAGATGGATTTTTATTGCAATTATAATTTAAATTTATAATATTAAATAAACAAACCCTTATACGTGAATGACGATTTCGTTGAACTCGTTGAAATATTGTCCAAGGTTTTCGTCGGTCTTCACTATGTGCCAACGTATTACTGGCACCTTGCTGTAACAATTCGGCGCTTGCTTCTCTAACCGCTTTCATTTGCAAATGTCTTAAACGCTCCATTTCCTGTTCGAAATGTGTCTTCACTTCCCAATGCTGCAGTTTGCATTCACACGTAGGACATTGCATGTACTCCTCAGCAACTCCACCAGACCGCAATCGACTAGCTGTTTCGGAAGTGGTCTCCATTTTTGTCTTTGCTGGTCAAAAAACTTTATGAAATTTATTTTCGATTTTTCATAAATATTTCGATTTTAAACACCATTAAATCTTTGATTTCAGAAACGTTTTTGATGCAAACAAAACGAAAAACAACTACACACATATGCACACAATAGAAATCATATAGAAATGTTTGATTTGTTGACGTCTGCGATTGGAACAACTGACAGCTGCTAGCAATTGACGGCATAAATTTCCAACAGCGGCGAAATTAAATTGCCACACTTAATTTAAAAAGATCATGTTATATATCGTTATTGAATTATAATTACTTCAACTCAACATCTCATACAAAAAACTAAATAATATTTGTTGTGTAATAAATAACTTAAACTTATCTCTTTATTTCTAATGTTAAACTAAAGTACATAAAATATCTCATTACCAGCATTTGCAATTATTTTAAAACCACTTTTTGCAAATGCAGCCCTTCACTTGATTTTTGAGGCGAATTCGAAGAAGAAACAGACAAAAAAGCAAAGTGAAAAATTTTCTCGAAGAAAACGAAGGCTATTGTTTATGTGCGATCGCGAGAGTAAAAAAGCGTAGATTTTTTATAATTTAATTTTTATTTACATTTGCATTTCACTTGACAAATTATTGGTCAACGTATGGATATATTTAAAATGTAAGGAAACAATAATTTCAATGAAATGTGAAAACGACATTTAGCAGCAACGATTTGGAAGAGCTTTGTCGCCATTTTGGTGTGTAAGTGTGTGTGAACTAATGTGTGTATCAAGGTAGGCAACGACGAAGTGGAAATCGAGCCTCAAATGCAAAACCAATTATAACAGAATTGGGCGCTTTCTGTGGGTGTTAAATATAAATAATTTTAAATCGCGAAATATATCTGGTGCCAAGTGAACTGATGAAACTATTTTGAGTAGCTAAATATTAATTGAATACTGATTTGTGTATACAATCGAGGATGTATAGCAGAGACGAAAGTGGGGATAAGTTGGCTCAGCAACAGTCGCAGCTGAAACAACAACAGCAATTAGTTTTCAGCAATAATGCAATTGCAAATATAAATATAAGTGGATTCAGTTCTTTCGACAGTGATTCTATAGCCGACTGCTCAGAATTTGATACAGAATCGGTTACTATGGATTACTTTAAAGAAAGGTATTTTTAAGAAAATAAATCTTCGAATAAATTTTCCATACTTTCAATACTTTGGCTACTTGATATTACTGTAAAACCGAACTATTAATATATATATACATGAATGCCTAAAATTACAAGCCAATATATATGTGCTGAGTTTATATTTTCGTTATTTATATACATTATGCGGCTCTCATCGCAATCTAAATTAACCTTTTCATTGTTTTGCTTCTTACTTGCGAGAAGTTTGCATTTTTAATTTGTGACACTTGCGTTGCAAAATTTTTGTTATTTTTATTGCTCCTTTATCTTAAGTTTTCCTTGTTGTTATTGTCAAAAGCAAGCATGAGCTTTCCTTTTGATTAACTTTGATAAATTAAGTTATTTGGTAAAACAAATAAAAAATATCTCACTCTAAATATAGCAAAAATATTCATGCCATATACATACCTATGTATGTACAAATACATTAATATGATTTTCTGAATAGTTATGCATTGTTTAGTAAGGTATATTTCTTGTAAGATATATTTTATATAGTTTAATTTGTAAGTTGTTGGGTCGTACAAATGTTCTATTTAGGGATTTAAGCACGTTTCACTTCCTTGTTTATATCATAACGTTTTATAAAGAAAATTTTCGAAAATATATGTTGGAAAGCTTCTAAATTCGTTGAAAAAAAATCATGCAATTTTAATTATGGATTGTATGAAATAAAATGAATTCCTATTTAAAGTACAATAACTATAGTTATAAAAAGGGAATAGTTTTAACGCGATTGTTAACAGATGTTGTATGAATATTCGAATAATTTTAATGAATTTTGACTGTTACATATGTACGTACATATAATTAGAAAGGTTTTTAAAAATATTGCTTCGTGTATAGATTTTTAATTGTTATGCTAAATCTGTCGAATTTTATGTGTGGGTGCTGAGACCATTTTCATTGCTGCATGATATGTCATACATATATGTATATATATATGTGTCGTCTATTTTAAATTGTATTTCCAATTTGAATCCTTACCCATACTAATCGAATGAATATGTTTTTCTAATTCTCTCTTCCCACATAATAAATAGATTTAATGCAGCTTAAAAGCAATTTATATGCATTTAAAATAAATACAAACATAATTCACAATACATTCTGACCAAAACCATTCGAGTGTACAAGGCGTTTTATAAAAATAAGGTGCAGTAATCTGTATTATCATCAGATAAATTAATACAAGTTTTATTATCCAGAAGTGGGTAAGCCAAAGTATCTCATGCGAACTTCCGTTGTGTTATTGAGCTTGCGTTGTTATTGTTGTTACAAGGGCGTACTAACTCCCTGCTACTAATAAAAGCAAAAATATATATATTCAAAGGTACGTATTATTTTTGCATATTTCCAGTGTTAAACATCTTGCCTATTTGCCTTCAAAAAATACCGTCACATTTATTTATATCTACATATGTATATATTTTAAAGGATAACGCTTAATATTTTTTTATGTTCAGTTCACAACGCCCTTCACCAACAAAAATGGCACCAACAACAACTATAGAAACCATCACAATCACAAGACCTCTTAAGGTTCGTATTAAATTATTCATATGTAATTATTATTATTTTTCGAAAAGTGCCAATTTTTTTCTTTTTATTATTAGGTTATTGCATTTATATGTGGTGTTATCGTTGTCATACTCATGATTATGGCATTGGCTTCCACGGATTGGTTAATGGCTGCCGGTTGGCGCCAAGGTCTTTTTGTGCATTGTATTGAGGAAGACGTTGAATCACCGCTGCCCTTTAATTTACATGATCCGCCTGGTTGTTATGCCAGTCGAGACGTCGGTAAGTTGCTGATTTGTTGATTGCATTTTGGATGGCACGATTTTAAAAAAATCACTTAATTTGTTTTTTTTTAGCATACATTAAGGCCACAGCTGCTCTTTGCATAATAACATTGATCACAGATGTAATTGCCACCATACTTACTGGATTGGGTTTGAGAACGCAAAACCATAATGTGAAATATAAATTTTACAGAATTGCTGTGCTGGTGATGTTATTATCATGTAAGTTTTGAATGCACAACTAAGAACTGAAAAAAAAAAATGTTAACTCGGTAATTTTGCAAATAGTGACTTCTCGAAATAAGGTGGGGGCATATAATGTATTGCTTACAAAAATCTTTCACTAAAAGATTTTAAACTATTAAATCGAAACTCGTTTAAATTATAAGACTAACAAAAAAAAAAAAAATTAAAAAAAACAAGTAAGGAAGGGCTAAGTTCGGATGTAACCGACCATTTTATACTCTCGCAAAGTCAAATGGTATACTCGTTTGAGATTTCTTTGTGGATTGACTGATATTTTCGGTGGAAGGTCAACTATAGGCACTGGGGTCCACATATTTAGTACTTAGGGGTTTGAACAGTTTTGGTTCGATTTAGACAATTTTTGGCCGCAAGGTGGCATACTTTAATTGCATTATTCACGCAAAGTTTTACCCCGATATAATCATTGTTACCTGATTTGCATAGTGGAAAGTGAAAGAATCAGATGGAATTGAAAATGGTGTTACATGGGAAGTAAGCGTGGTTGTAGTCCGATTTCGCCCATTTTCGCACTATGACATAGAAACATGAAAAGAACGTTATGCTCCGAATTTGGTTGAAATCGGTTGAGCAGATCTCAAGATATGGGTTTTCACCTAAAAGTGGGCTGTGCCACGCCCACTGACTAATTTTGAACGCGGTTCCTATAAAGTCATCTTATACCATCTCAGAGATAAAATTTAATGTCTCTGGCGTGTTTAGTGCTTGATTTATCGCGCTTTTAGTAGTTTTTAACAGTACCGTTATATGGGGAGTGGGCGGAGTTGCCACCCGATTTCAACTATTTTCACACCGTCAATAGAAGTGCTAAAAACATTTGCTTCCAGTGAATTTTGTTATTATAGCATTAGCGGTTTAGGAGATATGCACATTAAACCTATTAGAGGCGGGACCACGCCCACTTTTTAAAAAAAAATTTTAACTGCAGATGCCCCTCCCTAATGTGATCCTGTGTACCAAATAACAGTCTTGTATCTTATTGCGGAGCTTAGTTATGGCAAGTTATTTGTTTTTGATTAATGGCGTTTTGTGGGCGTGGCAGTGGTCCGATTACGCCCATCTGCAATACCAACCGTCTCACGGTACCATGAAACATGTCTACCAAGTTTCATAAAGATATCTCAATTTTTACTCAAGTTAGAGCTTGCACGGACGGACGGACAGACGGACGGACGGACAGACAGTCACCCGGATTTCAACTCGTCTCTTCATCCTGATCATTTATATATATATAACCCTATATCTAACTCGATTAATTTTAGGTGATACAAACAACCGTTAGGTGAACAAAACTATTATACTCTGTAGCAACAGGTTGCGAGAGTATAAAAAAATATATATATACAATAAATTGGAAATATAGTAATTTTAAAATAATAATATTATAAAATAATTTATTATTTTTAGTACTGGCTGTCTTGTCTGCACTTATAATATATCCAGTATGTTTTGCTGGAGAACTCAATTTGGGTAAATAATAATAATTATTATTACATACATATATGATTTACATATATTCACTTTTTTGCAGCGAATCGGCCAATTTGGGAATTTGGTTGGGCCTACGGTGTTGGATGGGGTGCAGCTATCTTCCTATTCGGTGCCGTTGTGCTACTGCTTTGCGATAAAGAGTCGGAGGAGATCTATTATAAGGAGAGAAAAATTGTACATGAAAACCAAATGCGCGCCTAGGCCAGGCCGCACGACCTGCCTGACGTCGTTCTTTAGATATTTAAGTAAATATGCGATTTCTACTGATATAATACTACTAACTACTACTATTACAACAACAACAAAAACTATTAATTCAACACAGCATACAATAAGAGATGAACAAAAGCAAAAAACGAAAGCCAAACAATTATATAACACATCAAGAAATCGAAGAACTTAAAAAAGACTTGTATAAAACTGTCTGTCATCATTGCCGATAACCAAAATACTATATTTATAATGTAAACAAAGTGAAAAGTAGAAGAACAACTTGAAACGAAGTCAACACTAAACATTCAAATTAATTACCAACACGTACACATACACACAAATATAAACCATAAAATTTCATTCATCAACGGAAATTATGGGCCACTTTTGTGCAACACGTGGATTTTTCAAATCTCAAGACTTTCGCGAAATAAGCAAACATAGAAATCCATGAAACAACAGGCAAGCAATATGTCTGTGCAATGTAAAAATACATAACTTCTAAAATCAAATATACACTACTTCTTCACAAAGCAGCAAAGGTGAAAACCCATAATCTAAAATATACAAACATACTCAAATACACACAAATACACTTACACATTCATACAATTGTCATGTATTTGGGTGAAAGCATTTTATAAAACCATTTTAACATACCTATTACAAACAACCAAATATTCATGTATTCATGGTGATCGTATTTAACCATTTAGTATTGTATACGTACATATATACCTACAAACATATATCTACATATATTTACATGTATATTCGACGTGCATAATCATTATACAAATACACATATATCCACACAAATTCCATTATTTTCATATACATAAGCACATACACATATATCTACATATCCTATATATGTAGATGTCCTTACCTATGAAACTTTGCTGACAAAAACCATTAACCTAAAAGCCTAAACATTTCCTCAACAATATTTTATTTATTGTTTCCACAACAACATCGATGTAAACTCCGTAAAAAAATATTTAAAAAAAAAATTATGTAAATTAATATGAATCGTACGATGTATGTAAGAAATTCAAACTAAATATAAGCGTAATAAAATTGTAGAAAACAAGCTAACCACGTTAAAGAGACAAACTAAAACGCATTATAAAAAAGAAACAAACTCAAACAATTAAATGCATATAAGCATAATGATGTTGGAAATTAATATAAAATCACGCTCATGAACCTACCAATTTAAAAACGACTCCACAGATAAATACGTGCACCGAACCATAAAGTTACAAGCAAAGCAATACATGCATACATACATACACTTTAACACCAAAAACACCAACACTCATATATACATACATACCATCATACATAAATTCATACCAAAGCATTACTAGACAGCCATAGAAATTATGACAAACAAGGAAACTTTTTGTTTTTGGTTTTACAAACAAAAATAAATGAAAAAAAATACACATAACAAGACTTTGCCATAAAATAAGAGCAATATCATGCAGCTTCGTTCGTAGATATACATACATACATCAATTGATTGGCGACTGCTTAAGTGTTAGTCTGCCAATCAATCCGTGTTCAAAATGTACCTTAACGTTTCTTTATACACACATTTACATACTGATATATTTTATTATCGCTTTATTAAAACCGGCAATTTGTAGGTAGTTGCGTATATTTCGCCGCACTTTTACAAAAACTTGAAAAGTTCATTTTCGAATTGATAGTCGTATTTAATATTTGTGTTATTTGTTGTTTGAATATCTGTGGAAATTATATCGATATACCCGAACCCGATTTAACATTTTTTTCCTCTCAAGCTGTAAATGGAAACATTCTATGACTATGAAAATATATTGTTTAAGGAACAAAAAAAAAGAACGCAAAAACGATTTAAAATATTAAATTTGTCAATGTATTCAAAAACAAAACACACAGTCCGCAGATATGTACATGTGAACGTTTAGAAATTTATAATTTAAGCAGTTGAAATGCAAAAGAGAAATATAAGCAAGCAGCGTATGTAAAATTCTATTGGCAATGTAAAATAGCGTTAAAAATCAAATTAACGTGTACACCCATTGTATTACACAAAACACATATACTCAAGTACATAAATTTATATTTAATTACTATTGTTTATTATGCTGTTCAGATTATTTTGTTTCATAACTCGAATTTGTATAGTTTTTTTTCTGTAATTATTAAGCAAATAATTATGTAATTATACTAATTATGTCTGATTTAATTAAACCTGTTGAATTGTTTTTGCCTACACATGGCCGCTACTATTGATATTTATACATATATTATCTAAAAAATTTGTCTGTTTACACAAATGTATGTTAAAAATAAATTTTTATGAAGCGAGAAAATATTTAAAGCAAGGAAAATGTTAATAACCGTAAATTTGAAGAACAAAACCTCTTTTGCCTTTTGTATATTTCTCGCAATGCAACAAGACATATTTGTACGACAGACATTTTACAAATATTTATTACTGTTATAACGTTAAATGCAAAGAAAACATATCAGCAAAAACAAAAAACACAAAAAAAATATTTAAACTATACTTACTTTTAATTTATTCGTATAATTTGTACAATTTACCTGATTAGTTATTCTATATTTTTTAAGTATTTTCATCTTTACAAATGAAATGTCCTAACGCACTGACTAAAGACTTATTACGAATGATTTTTTTGTTTGTAATATTTAAGCTTTATTTGCAATGTTGATATTCGTTAATACAATTTCGTCAATGAATTAGCTCCAAAATGTGTCCTTGCGGTACTCAAGATCTGCGCCATAGGCACGAATAATTTTTCTACTGTTAATTTAGCAGTATTTCTTCAAATAGCTTTGTGACATGAAAAACCAAAATTTAGTTTTTTCATCAACAATTGTTGTTAATAAATTGGCAGTAGTTTATTTAATATTGCAATTTTCGCGAACAACTGCTATTGGAACGTGGCGTAAATTATTTTTTGTTTCAATAATAATTTTTTTTTTTTTTGCTATAGTAACAGTATTTATTTGTATTGCCAATAATTGCATTCTTTAAAGCTATTTTGTGCCACAACAACGAATATTAACATTGCGAATTCGAAATATATAACCGTAATACTTCTATACACTGGCCTATGACCCTAATTACTCTATACTATTTAAATATACTGTTTTTTTGTTTATTTAAAAAAAATTTTGCTTTCCTGTAACATAAAGAAAGTTTAATAAAAATAAATATTTGTGTGATTTTTGTTTCGAATATGATTTTTAGTTTGATTTGAAAGTTAGGGAAAAAAGGAAAAGATTCATGATAATTTGATTTTTTCTCTTATATTTGCAAGTATTTATATTTTTTTATTTTTATACATACGCATCGAGTTATATGTATATGCTATACACTTCTTATATTTTATTTTAATTTTAAAAATAAATATATTTACTAACGCAATAATACACAATACATGCACACATATGCATACATACATATCTATAAAAGTAAAATTGTTTGAAACCATCACTAAATGTCTGCCAATAAAATTTATAACTGTCTATTAACTTGTACGCTCGCAAGCTGCTACTCCCACTTTAGAGTAAGTTTTGCTTTAAAAAATAAATATTTAATAATTGTTGGTAAATAAGCTAAACGTACATAATTATATTCCATTTGTTCAATTAAAGACTTTCTCATAAATCTCTTTTGCGAAAATTCGTTATTCTCCAGTCGAACTCAAACGCATAGGCAAAACTCTAAGTGAACATTTAATGAGAACATCGTCAACAAAACAAAAAAAAACAAAAACACCAAGAACAACCACAATAATAGCGATCTAAAAGCAAACAAGTCAAAAACTTCATTAATTATGTAACTGAAATTAGCAAAGAACAAAAGAAAAGGACAACACAATGCGAACCGATAACCAAAAACAACAACAGCAAACTAAAAAACCAAAACCAAACAAAATTGAACAAATCGTAGGCAGGAACGTGCGGTGGTAACTTAATTATAACTCAAACTAGTATTATGTAGGAATTCAAAAACTTAAAATAAAGCAAAGCAAAAACAAAATCGAATTAACTCAAATAATTTCAAACTGAACTAAATATATAAAACTAATATAAATAAAAAATAAAAACGAAAACTAATTTTAAGCTCAAGTAATCTTTTAATTGCTAATATTAAACAATTAACTAATTAAAATTAATAATTAAGCAGCAAAAATTAAAAATAATAATTTAAATACAATACATGCGGTACAAGATTAACGCAATTATGTATGCGCCGGTAATGGTAAAGAAAACAACAACGCTAAATCTTTAACAAACTACAACATACCGATTGGCTTGTGCGCCGTAAAGTGTGTTCTGCATATTTAGCGTCAGGGTGTGTCAGCCAAGTATTGCAGTACTTAAATATCAAAAATATTTACAATTATATACGGTTTGTTAAAACACAGGTAACATAAATTAAATTGCTAAAAACATACATACAGCTGCAAGCAATGAAATAGTAGTGAGCATTTGTTAAATTAATTTTGATATATATATATCACTACGTGAGATTGTTGCTGTGAAGTTGTGACTTAAAATAAAGCTCATACTACCAAATACTAAGATTAGGTATAGACAGTACTTGAAAAATATTTTTCAACGTTCATTTAAGATAACTTTTTTCCTTGCACTATTATTTTATTGCTCCACTTAATTTCCATGTAAAATAACGTTTAAGGCAATAAAGGCCTATGTGAACTAAATTCGTTTTATTTATAAACATAGTGCGGAAAGAAAGTTTTACATTTGCAATTCAACCAGCGACAAAACTATTTAAAATTGTTAACAATTGAAAAAGATTTAGAGTGTTGGCACCCACTACTGTTTCATTGCTCGAAGCTCGCAACACATTCGTATCTACATTTATATGAATAATGCTTAAATATATTTATGAGCATAGATTCTGATAATAAATATGTTTATACATAAATATGTATATATATTACAAACAACTGCATACATACATACATACAAATTTATATAGTACTATACCAAAATGCCTATATAAGGCAAATATGTGAAGGGTTGGTTCAACTTATATTTTACATATATTTAAATTTAGCAATACCAATTTTATTTTTTTTATTTATTTTGAGTATTGCTCACTACTTGTGGTTTCCAACTTTTCATATTATTGATAATATGAAAAACTTCCCATATAAATTCCATACAAATTCCTCGAAAATTGAATGAGAAGCTTGGTAACAGTGTAAACGCCATATTTTTCGTATTAATTATGACTAAGTTGTGTACATAATCGTGTAAAGCGGTTTATCGACGTTTCATTCCAAAAAGTGTGTGTCCACTGTTGGACCTATTTCTAGGATTTCTCTTAATGCGTAAACTTGATTTGATTGTCCAAAGTAGATTCAAAATCCGGAGAAAAAAATGCATACCCAGAACATGAAATTAAAGTCAAATACTATATAGCGATATTATATGTTGCAAATTGTTTTCTTTGAAAATAATCATTATTTATTTAAAATTAATATTTATTTAAATTACGACCACACAAAGGAGCAACGGCATAATATGATATTATAACTACTGCTCTAATAAACATATACACATACATATGTATATACATATATGATATCAGCAACAACAACAATTAACACTGCTAGTGATTTTTTAAATTAATAAATGGAAAATGTAAGAAAAAAGATGAGTAAAATGTAAGATTTTAAAGAAGTTGTAACTAATAAGAAGCAAAAAGTTACAAAAAATTAAGAGAGTAAAATCAAATTGAATTAATTGTACCCTTAAAATTTTTAGAAATCCTAAGAAGTTGCTATGAATGTAAATACTCATAGTTCGCTTATAAACTTATGACCGCAGATAAAAATTAGTTATTTGTTTAATTCTAAAATATTATGTATTTAAATGATTATATTAAACTAAACAAAAAATAATGATTTGATACCTTTGATATATGTATATTATAACTATATATATGTATAATATTTTAATTTCCAAACTAGACGCAGCGATAAAGCGTTAGTATCAAGTAAAATATTTTTTTTTAAAATAATAAATCATTTATATATATATTATATAATTTATATATTTTATATATATATATATATAATTTATCTAAATATTTTCCAATATAAATAAAAAATTTTAAATTTTTCTGCGGTTAAAATTGAATGATTTTTTTTTTAATAGAATATTAAGATTTTTTAATTGCACTTTTAAATAATTTCTAAAACCGCTGCATTTACAATTTATTCAATTAAATGTTTGTAAATAATTTTAATAATCATAGATGTATTTGAATGTATCTTTTATATATGTACATACAATACATACGTATCAATAATCACGAATAACTCCCATAATTTGTAGTTTTTTGTATTACCTGTAAACTCTCCACAAAAATACATACATACAAACATTTGTATTTGTATACTAAATACTAACTTAAATATAGTATACATATTCCTTACATTTTTTTTAACAATTTAAAGAAGAAACTCAAACAAATATAAAAATGTGTAATATTGTTTAAAAATAAACCGAATGTGTTTTCCAAGCATAAGCTATATTTTCCATCAATTTTACATAAGTTTATGTAATATACAGATATAATGTACCGACTGTAAAAAACTAGTTTCAACAACCAACTCCACACAAATCTCCACTTTTTTAAAGTAACCATAAATAATATTATAATAATATTGTGTAAATTTATTGTTAAATGCAAACATACGTATACGTACATATGTATATCTAACCATAAATTTGTAAACTTGCATACATAGGCACATACAAATTCATGTTGGTATTTGTGTTTGTATGTGTATATATATTTAGATAAAAATTTTAGCAAAAAAACAAAACATTTTAAATTGTTACATACCGAAAAGCTAACCATTTAAAGTCACGTACTTGCCACATATATATGTATGTACACGTAAACATTCTTACCACACATTAAGGCAAAATGGGGGCCGAAAAATTTCTGCTTTACCCTGTGAATTTTACCATACAAGTATTGTACGTCTATATGTAGTGAATACTTATACTCATGCACAAATGTAAACTGTGTGAAGGCGTATTACATACCATGCATTCATACATACATATACTACAGAAAATATACTTTCATCCAATGCAGAACAAATGGAAACTACAAATATACATACATATATGTATTAATATGTAATAATAACTACAAGTGAATAAAGTACAGCAATTATATACACACATATTATAACAAACGAAGAGCTGTTTCATTTAATAGCTATAATAAAATTAAAATATAAAGAATCACAAATTAAAATTCCATACGTTGTCTTAGCCGTGCGCAGCAGCAGATGCTAGGTTGCTGGAAAGACAGAGAGAGAGAGAGAGATGGCCTTGATTTGTAATGTTGACTGAAGTGCTGGTATATATTTATATATATTTACCGGGTTGATCAAATTGTTCCTTTAACAATTTTATAACATTTAGTCGAATGAATGAGCCTGTACTATATTTGATTTCAAATAAGTGCGATAAATTCCAACTAAGACCATAGCTGGTGATTGCAAATCGAAGAACAAATCTAAAAATCGTTATTATAAGTTATGAAATGCTATCAAATACTAACTTTACGCAATTATAATTTATTTATTTTATTATACCATAAACGGAGTGTATTAAGTATGCCACGATGTTTGTTACATCCAAAATGAGACTCGAAAACGGATCACTACAGCATATACATATGCACATACAGCTGTGTTCATAAAAATAGCAGTGCTCATGAGCCGCAACTTTAAACTTAATTTTATATATCAAAAAATAAATGAATGTTCACAAATTTAATTTTGTTTTAACTTTGTGCCTATTTTAAGCAAAAACAAATCAATTTATTATTCAAAATGTTGTTAATTTTTTTTACATTATTAATTTAAACAGAAAAGTGCTGTTTACAGCTGTTCATAAAAATAGCAGTGAGTAATGAAAACAGTGCAATTAGTTGAAAAAAACATTGTTGAACTCCAAAAAACTATTTTAATTTGTTTGCTTGGGTTAGTACTTAGTCGTGTACCCATTATTTTTTATTACGGCCTGGCATCTGCGAGGCATAGAATCCACCAAGTCCTGGCAGCGCTTGACAGGGATCCGCTCCCATGATTTTTGAATAACCTCCCAAAGCTGTGATCGAGATGTTGGATTTGCATTTGGAACATATCGTTTAACATCTCCCCATAGGTTTTCAATTGGATTTAAATCCTGAGACTGCGCAGGCCATGACATAAGATCGATCCGCTTTGATGCCATCCAGCTTTTGACTACTTTGCTTGTATGTTTGGGGTCGTTATCTTGTTGAAACGTCCATTTTAGTGGCATTTCCCATCAATCATGAATATAGGGCCCACTCCATTGTAAGAAAAACATGCCCATACCATAATACTCAATCCGCCGTGTTTAACTGTCTTCAAAGAGTACCTATGATCGTACTCTGTGTTAGGTGGACGTCTGACATATTGTCTGGAGCCCTTTCTACCAAATAACACAATTTTACTTTCGTCACTCCATAAAATATTTCGCCACTTTGTAATGGGCCAATTAAGGTGACTTTTGGCGAACTCCAAACGTGCTTTGACATGTCTGGTGGCTAACAGTGGAACTTTTCGTAGATGGCTTTAAGACGTCGCCGAATAGTAACGCCACTAAAATTCAAGCTTAAGTCATTTTTTATCTTGCTGGACGATGCAAAAGACTGCGCCCTGCTATTTCGCACAATAGATCGGTCCTCATGAGGCGTGTTTTTACGGTGGATACCACGATTTCGGGCATTTCTTTAAAGTTTAAAGCATTATGAATCATTTTAGCAGAACATCCACATATTTCTTGGATGTCTTTATATGTTTTTCCCAGGTTTCTTAGTTGCACTATAATATTTCTTTTTTCAGGAGTACAACGTTTGCCTCTGCCCACTAAGTTAAAAAATATAAATTTATTTTTGTGTTTTCTAATGTTAATAATAGTCACTAACACAAAACCACTTACTTTTTATCAATTAAACGTCTTAACAAAATTTTTTTGGCTGCTATTTTAATGCACAGCCAAAGACTGGTGCTTCTAGCAAAAAGAGTTGTTCATTTGCTTAAATCTTGCAAATCTAACGGGATTTTTTCGTTTCTTCCATATACACATTTCATTCTACAACAACAATGCGTAGACGATGGAATAATCGTAACGGAACTTGAAAAAAAATAACATTTCTTGACTGCGATTTTTGTGAACATAGCTGTATGTATATAGCTGCCATCAAGGCTGGCCGATCAAAATCAAGTTCATGTATGGAAAACTTTTTCATTTGACGCGAAGTTTTGCATATATTATTGTTCAAAGCAATGCTACAATATTCGAATAAAGTGTTTAGATCGGACCACTATAGCATATAGCTGCCATACAAATTGGCCGTTCAAAATATACATAAATATATGCCCGCATATGCTATAAGAAATGCACCTGTGAAAGGACGGAAGCTAAAGCTTTTTCCGTGTTTTTTATTTTTAAATGCTTACCCATAAATCAAATTGAATTAAAGAAAATTATTTTATTTTTTATTTTAATATTTAAAAAGCATTTACTGAATGCTTGTATAATGAATATTTTATTTATTTACAATTTTAACCATTTGTGTATGTGTATGCATATGTGTACAGACCATATACATACTATGTATGCGTGCTGAGCTCATGAATTTCATAGAAGTTTTTAATATGTATGTATGTTTAAATTTCTATAATTGCACGATTAGTAGAAATGACTTCGAGAGTTCTTGGTTTCTGCTTACTTACGTATTAGAAAGTTTTCATTATACAGGTTTTAAATAACGTAATACTAACGGTTTGCTTACTTTCAGCAATTTGTATTTATAAATTGATATATATGTTTCAACATGTTAAAACAGCTTAACTCGACCTAAAATAAATAGTGACTCGTTTTCTAGTATGAATCTGCAATTCGCAAAGTAGTAAAAAAGTAAAGCTTCCGGTGCTAAGTAATAGTTTAGGTTAAAATACAATGCCGTGTTGCGATAAGTGGGCTTCAAAACTCAAATTGCGCGATTAAGTCGACTTAAACTATTTTAACATATTGCAATAGATATATGTATAATATGTCTTTTCCACATACATAATATGAATCATAATAGTTTTTTTAAGCAAAATGTTAAATAGTTGAAAGTTGCAAAATAATTAGAATTTTAAAAATTTTTCTATAGTTAATAGTTAATTATCAGTATACAATGTAAATTTGTATTCATTTATGAAGTATTTGTGTGTCGAGCACTGCATGAAATAATTAAATAAAGTATATTATAATAAATTTTTTTCATCAATTATCACAATCAAATATACCACAATGCGAATGCGTTCGATAAATTCAATAGAAATATGCGGTGTAAAGTTTTATACTAACATGTTATCAGCGAGAAATCTTTTCTTTAAGCCATCGTTGCACAGCATTTAAAGAACAAAAGTTGTAAGCTTCATATACATATGTACATATATGTATGTATGTATGCTTTCAACGAGTTGCAGCTTTAGTAGTAGACATCATCATTTTTCACTTTTGCATACGCTTCTAATTACCTATTTATAACATTTATTTCGCTTTTATGTTTAGAATGTTACAGTCTTACACCAAAAGAATTTCCATAAAAAAAACCTAATAATTGCCAAATTTTTTGTACGAATATTTCGGTATTAAATTTTCTCTTTACAAATTTTACATTTATTGAACCTTTTACGATTTGGCAAATATGGAAATTGATTTTTTTCTCGTTTCTAATTTTCTTAACAATTTTTATTATGTATACTTTTTGATGAGTGTGTAGCGTTATATACTTAGTGCTTGCAGTTTCGTAATATAATAATAAAGTGTATGCACAATTATAATATAGTTAGTTGCATGCGTTCAATAAACAGTTCATGAATTATATATAATATATATACAAAATTAAATATACGGGTGAATACAAAAAATATATACGCTAAGCACAAAAATAAAAAACAATACATGTTGTAACTAAACCAATTCAAACAAAAAAAAAAAAAAAAAAAAGAATACTACGAAATACACAAATATCATTGTGTATTTACAGCTTGTTATAAATACGTAATCACAAATTACAAATCAAGATTGAAACGACTTTGAACTGACTTTCTGTGCAAATTCATAAAGTAAAAAGTAAACAAAAAAAAACCAAAAACGCTTTGCAAAATTTGTATAAATTCTAAAATCTAATTACTAGGATCTTCAAAACTTAAGTCAATGCATTATATCTGAGATTGCTATCTATAGTAGTATTGCCACTTCCAGCGCTAGTTGTGGCATTGTTTTCATTTTCCTCGTCAGTAACATTGGGCCTTTGCTCACTATTATCAAAGGCGCCACCAATGCGTCCATTGTGATCAAACTCCGGCTCCATGTCTGAGCTAAATTCCGAGTAGCGTCGTTGCCTCGGCCACACTTCACGTATGCTGTCGATAAGACGCTGCTGAAATGTTTTGTACTCCATATCAACAGATTGTGTCTCGCCAAAATTGAAATCGGCCACTTCCACTGTGAAACTGTTATTAAAAATGTGTAGAAATTAATAATGATAAAAAGAAAGGAATATTGCAGTGTGCTAACAAATGTGTTTAAATTTCTTAACATTGATCGTCCTTTGCTTTAATTTCGCAATAAAAACAAACTGAATGTATACTCACCGATTTCGCGATTGCAAATAATAAGAGACACCGAATACGATTAGAATAACAGCGATTAAAGTGAATGACACGGGCACCACCACAACAGACAATTGCGATTGCACTTTTGCTAAAAAATATATATAGAAATATTTCATATTTAAATAAACATTTGTTTTTATATTAATATTATCACATTATCAGCTTAGATTACAAGCGAGCGCTAATCACGTACCTTCGTATATATTAATGGTGACCTGATTCAGCTTCTCAGACACATCATTGCGTATGAAAAACAAAACTGTTTTGCTCTCGTAGAAAAAGCGCGTGTAATTGTACTCGCATTTCTCGAGTGGAAAGTAGTAACGGCAAGTCTCGTTGCCGGTGGCATTATATGGAGCTAATGCATGTAAAAAAGAAAGCAAATCAGCTTTATTACATTGTTAAATGTAAGGAATATTCACTTTCACTAACCGTTGACGACCTGAATGCACATCTCCAGCGACTGAGAGCCTTTGAAATTCACTTGTAGACGCATCATATCACCTCGTTGTAACCAATTTTGACCGGTAGCCTTGAAGTCCGAAATGGGAGCTATAATAAATAAATAATAAAAATATTTATTGAAAAAAAATGAGATGATCACACCTTTTGATTCCACGTAATGTTTAAACAGGCCGGTTAGATTTTTGGGACCATGCCCAATTAATTGCCCACTGACACAATTGTAGGGTGGTTCGCCATCCATCAGCATTGGCGACATAAGAATGGGCAAAGCGAGTTTTTTAGATGTTGCTTTTGTGGTAGTGTTCAAAGTAGCGGCATCGTGCATTTGATCAGTCACAGTTGTGTTGACAGTCAATGTTTGCTGCGCAAGTAGTGACGTTAATGGTATCGGTGCAGCTGCACCGCGACGTCGCCGTTGCCTTGGCGCCACAGTAGTGGCATTTACAGTTGGAATTTTCGTTGTTGTATCATTGTTCGGTTTATGGGTGGTGGTGGTAGTTGCAGGCGTGGTTGTAGGTTTTGGTGTTGTTGTTGTTGTCGTCGTTGTTGTAGTTATAGGTTCAGGTGGTTTCTCGAAACTCGCCACGACCTGTAAAATTTAAAGTGATGCAAACAAAAACAACACTTAATACAATTCAAGCAATATCTACGAAAATACACTTACCAAGGCTTCAATTTTATAATATTGATCGGGTTCAGAGTACTGCGCTACATAACTAAGTCCATTGATAACACCAATGTAAGTACAATTTCTGAACCAATAAGTGTGTACTTCGTAGGCCTTGTCCGCGATTAATTTGGCATCGTTTGGCCGCAACTGTATTGTATGATTGACCGGCTTTGAGCTGGAAACAAAATTTTTTCTTGGTTTGGTATCGTTTTGCAGTAGCAGCATATCGCCGCCGAGGGAGTCATCCAATTTGAAATCAATATGATTAGTTGCTATATTTATCCACAATATATAATTTTTATCGACTTTTAATGTGACCCTATAATCACCAGGTTTGCTTGTATTCATCGGATATGTTACGGACCAATTGCTGTAGGGATATTTTGTGTTGATTTTCTATAAATTGGAAAACGCAAGAACATAAGTGATATTTAAAATCAAAAATATCTGTTGGTAGAAAAAATACAAAAATATCCCTTTTTAGATATTAAAAAAAAAAACGTATTTACTTAGAACACAATTTTATGTACATATGTATGCATGTACATTTACAAAATATTTATAAACTACTAGTTTTGCTTGTAATAAAGTAAAATTGATGATAATGTCAACAATTCAAAAATTGCTGTCTCCCCAGGTCTACAAAGCTCCATCAAGCTACTTAAAAAATGAATTACTATTTAAATAAAAAATTATTGACTTATGAATGAGTTGTGTGCATGCACATATGTAATGCTTATAAAAGGTTTTACATATCAACCGACACGGAATTCATGAAAAAGAATTATATATATGTATGTATTAACATACATACCTTATAAATATATACACTGCATTATTGTTAAATTAATAGACATTTAATTTGCATAAAAATAGAAAAAATTAATGCAAATGTGGTTGAGAAGCAAATAAATTAAATTAATAAAACCAGAAAAATGTCAGTAAGAAAGTCAATTGAATTGCAAAATTTATATAGTATATTATATTTATATAGACAACCCATTTTTCGCCTTAATTCCTTGTAAAAACATTTATGCAAAAAATATTTTTATCTTTTATTTCGAAATTACTTGCAAATTATATACATATGTATATATTTGGAATGGAATTGCAACAATTATTCATTTAAAACAGCTGAATTAACTGAAGTTTGCAAAAATACGTCATTTCATATTAAAATGCATTTTATTGTTTCTTTAAAGCAAATATTAGCTTATAAAATGTTCATCAAAAGAGTGAAATCTTAAAAATGGTCGGAATGTTTTTAATGGATAAATGCATATATATACAGTATTAAAACAACGTTATAAATTAGTATAAATAAATAAAGATGAGTTTTTTTATACTTAAATATGAAATTCTTCTTATTTGACTAATTGCATTATATGGAAGTCATTGTCTCACTATTTTATATAAATAGCAAATACTTAAGTGCTAAACCATAAAACTCGAGTTAAAAATGTTCCTTCAAAGAGAAGATAAGAACCCTGCACTTTCCTCAATATTATTAAAAAATAAACATATATGTAAGTACAGACCTACCCTAGTACATAAAAATATAAAGAATTAAGCAAAAAATCAAAACAAAGCAGTTCTTGGCAGCATTAGTCATACCAAAACAGTTGAGAGACGACTTTTTTATATCTATATTTTATATTATTGGTAGTTAGTATTCAATAAAAATAACTTTGTGCTTGTTCTCGCCGTCTTTGTATGCATGCATATAGTTACTAAAGTTTTTTTCCATATATACACATATATATCCTGAACTGCTGATGAGTTTATGCTTACCACATTATTAGCGGCTAGCGTATTATCCTCCCAATTGAACATGTAATCTCCGGTACTCGCGACTTGACCATCATCGTATAGCACAGCACTGAAATTTATAGTGCCACCAATAACTGACGATCCGGTGCTTTTTATTTCGACGTAATCAGCTTTTTAGAGAAGAAGAAAGTAATTATAACACTTGTTTCTTTTTTTTATATGATATATTGCAAATGTAATATTTAGTGGGCGGAAATCGATTCGTCTACAATAATTTTTATTGTGGTAAGCAAATCCCTATCATGTAAGGGTAGGTCATATTGAAATGTAATATTTTTTTAATGACTAAAAGAAATTTGTCATCTAGGATGCTGGGAAACTCCAAGTTTATTACCTGTCACCAATGTGCTCAATACGAATGATAATATCAGTACAAGATTAATGCACTGTTTTTGGCTCGGCATTTCCGTTCTCATTTTTAAACTTGCTTTATTATTGAATAAAAAATATACTATATAACTTTGCTATGTGTATAGGATATTATTATTATTTATTTTCACATTTATTACGTATGTTCCACAGTCTCTAACGCCAGCGCTAGTGACAATCACTTTTTGTTAATCACACAAGATTTCCTTAGTACACTTGTCACTCTCCTTTAGAGTATTTCACAAATAGTTTTGCTGATAATACAGCTACTCCACTGAAGTTTTACGCAGCTTTTCACTTAATGAATTTAATGAAGTCGTTAATATAAATTTGGTAAAGGTAATTTTTCCAAAAATGATTTTCACTCAAACTGCGTATAAATTGTACACTTTTGATCGTAGAACGAAAACACAATGTAAAATATGCGTCAATGATACCAGACCATGGACAAATTAGGAGTTGCCACATAATAATGTAGAAATATTGTAGATAAGAATTCAATTTCATAAAGTTTTTATAGCAATTTAGTTAATATTGTAATTTTAGTTTTTTGCATGTTTTTTAATTGTAGCCTCGCTTTAAATATATTTAAAATATCATATCTAAATTTTAATCAGACAAATTTTGAATGTTGTACTTTTATTATTAACGTGTCACGCTGTATTTGGTTATGACACTTTTCGATTAGATTTGCTGAGGTGTCAAATAAATGTCAAATAACTAAAAAGTTGGAAAGATTTTCGCCTTCGTGTGTTTTTATATTGATGTAGGGAAAAAGAGTCGAAAATATATTAGAATTGTTAAAAATGTCTAAAGATCCAAATCAAAAAGAAGCCATTATAAAAGCTGCATATGCGGATATAAATAAATTTGGGCAAAATGGGGAATACGATAAAGCAGTCAAGGCAGTAAATAGAAGTAAGAATTTGTTGTTGGTTTGTGTTTAAAAGCAGCACACACATTTCTTGAAACTAACCCAATATTTTTGTATGGTATATTCATTAGTTTTGGGCGTTGCACCAGACGACCAAACAGCTTTGCATTGCAAGGTCGTTTGCCTCATTCAATTATCCAAATTCGAAGAGGCATATAAATTCATAGAAAAAAATAAATTGTCCTCCAGTTTAGTATTGGAAAAAGCTTACAGTGAGTATCGATTGAACAAACCCGAGCAAGCATTAAAAACAATCGACAACGCTGGTATTAATCCATTGCCTGATAGTTTAAAAGAGCTGCGCACACAAGTACTTTATCGTCTGGAACGATATGAGGAGTGCTTTGATGCATATAAGGAAATCATCAAGAACACTAATGATGAATACGAAAATGAACGTCGTACTAATCTATGTGCTGTAGCTGCTAATTTGGCTATAGATAAGGTAACATATAAGTTTTTATTTCTAATCTCCGTTTTAACTTTTTAAAATCTACCAAAAATCTAGAATAGGGAAATACCAGAGCTACCCGAAGAGACGTACGAGCAGTATTACAATGCTGCTTGTATTGCGGCTAATCGTCAAAAGTACGCTGAAGCTGAGAAAAAATTGCGTGCCAGTGAAAAGCTTTGTCGTGAAACCCTAGAGGAGGACGGTGTTACTGAAGAAGAGATGCGTGAAGAACTGGAACCAATACGTGTGCAATTAGGATATTGCTTGCAAATGCAAGGCAAGTTCAAAGAAGCGGCAGTTATATACACTGAATGTTTACGCAATAAACCGAAAGACCCAGTTTTGGTAGCCGTAGCCAGCAATAATTCGGTGGTAATTAATAAAGATCAGAATGTATTTGATTCTAAAAAGAAAATACGTTCGGCCATGTCTGACGCATGCGAATCGAAATTAACTAGCCGTCAAAAGAAAGCAATTGCATTGAATAACTGTCTGCTTGCATTCCTTACCAACTCTAGTGATCAAGTGCAGCAACTATGTCAGAAGTTGGTGCAAAGCTATCCGGATTTAGAATTCCAAACGTTACTTATACAATGCTCTCAACTCACTAAGGATAAACGACAAAAGGAGGCCTTAGAGTTGCTTAATAAGTATGCAAAAGCGCATAAAGAAAATGCTTTCGCTTCCAAATTCGCTGTGGTCCAGTTATTACTTTCACAAGGTAGTCGTAAGGAGGCAATCGATGTGTTGCTTTCCCTTGGTGAGCAAATGTACAAGCCCGGTATCATATCTGCACTGGTAACACTCTATTTGGGCACAGACAATAAACCCGCCGCATCTGAATTGCTGAAATCTGCTGTTGAATGGTATCAAATGAACAATGTAAGTCAGTTATAAACTAAAAGTAATCTCTGACGATTTAATTACTAATCATGTTATTATTAACGTACAGGTTAGCAGTGGAGATTTGAGTGATATGTGGCGACAAGCCGCAGAGTTTCATTTGCGTGGGGGTGCTTCTGAAACTGCTGCCAGCTCACTCGAAGAATTACTCAAGCTTAATGCGAACGATATGAAAGTATTGGCCCAACTTGTTATTGCATATGCACAATTCAATCCAAAACGTGCCTTAGAGTTGAGTAAACGCTTACCGAAACTTGAAACTCTGACCACTGCCTCCGAAATCGATGCATTCGAGTCGGCTAATTGGGTTATGTCTACAAAAGCAGTTAAAAAATCCGCTAATGCCAAAATCGAACCATCGCCAAGTACACCGGTTGTAGAGAAAAAGAAGAATCGCAATAGGAAACGTAAAGGAAAACTGCCGAAGAACTACAATGCAGAAGTAGCACCAGACCCAGAGCGCTGGTTGCCTAAGTACGAACGCACTGGATTTCGTAAGAAGCGTGACCGTCGTGCAAAGGACATTATTAAGGGTTCACAGGGTATGGCTAGTGGTGCAGCTGAGCAATAGTAAGTCAAATGCATATTTTTTTTTAATTTTTGGTGAAAAAAATGTTATTGTTTCAGTGATATGTCGAATCGTGCAAATCTGGGGAAAAATTCGCCTGCCACACCAGTGTACCAAGAACCAACACCAGGGCCACGTCAACAACATCGCAAGGGTGGTCACAAAAAGAAGAAGGGCGGTCGCTTCTAAATACATTTATGCATTTGCTACGTTGGCAAGAAATATGCTTTTAACAATTTTGTAATGTGCACCTTATTTAATTATGTATTGATGAGTAAGCACTAGTTTAAATTAAATAAAATGCATTTGGGTTTAAAGTAGATTGTTTAATAATTTCTTTCAACTTTCTCTTCCCATTTATCAAGCAAAAAATTAATTGAATAAATTATTGCATTATTCATCGTCATCATCATTTCGTTTATTCGCACCTTCTTCATTGTTCGGTGTTGTTTGCACATCATCCCGTCGCGCATCATACGAATGTAAGGGTAGAGTCTCCAACCATTCCAACATGGAACGATCCTTATGCTCCGTTTCGTAAATATTAGCGTAGATATACCGTTCAATGAATCCTTTTATTTCAGCCTCTTGCTTAGCCCACGTTAACGGTTCATGTATACCATCACTGCCGTAACGTTCATTGTAGCGTTCATAGTGAACGGTATCTAACACTAAGCCCAAACCAGGCGCCATTGGTAAGTCTAAGCGCTCTTCGGCAAGTGCACGTTCCAGTGTAGCTGTAGTAGTATTGCCTCGTGCAATTGCTATCGCTAAACCGACCATTTTCCGAATTTGATGAAGCATAAAGCTTTGACCCTTAACTTTTAATGTGAGAAATTCTAAGCCTTGTATCGTAATAAATGGATCAGAGCAAGTAAACGACATGATGAATCGCTTCGCTGAAGGATCCAAAAAGTTTCTAGAAGAGAATCAAATATTTGTAATAAAATAAATAGTAAAGCTAGTAAAAACACTCACTTTCTGCTTGTAAAATTGTGAAAGTTTTTTGTGCCCTCATATAACTGCAGTATATCCCTTATCTTTTGCAAGTGCGCAGCGTCAGTGCGATAGCTCTCGAAATCATGCTTCTCTGTGCTATCTGCAAATGCAATGGTTGGCAATGTGTATGTGTACGTGCGCGCATTACATTGATCCTTGGCATTAAACCCTTTTGTAACACGCTCGACGCCAAAAATGCGTATTTCTTCTGGTAAATCTTCGTTTATAGATTTGACATCGATTGAATCGGCTGAAAAAAATTTGAAATATGCCTTTACACGATAATCACTGCTATTTCAAACAATTCTAGCTTATCACTTACGCAATTTTATCGAGCACACTTGTCGCGCTGCAGACACACCTTTATCAGTGCGTGCAGCTCGTTGAAAGCAAGCCGCTTGTGCCGCCTCAAAGCTTTCCTCCGTTATCCATTTGTGCTTTAGCATTGCCTTGAAAAGTTCCTCTTCAATCGTTTGCATACCGGGATTACGTTGCATTCCAAAATATTTAGCACCACAGTAACTCAATAGTATTACGCATTTTTTTCGTTTAACACGATCGGCCGGATCGAAGGCCGGTCGCTTTGTGTCTCCGGCCAGTTCGTCTTGCGTTTTCCAGTCAACCCATTTCCTGCGTTTTAATTCACGTTTCTGTCGTTTCGTATCCTTCAATTGTTCAGCTATTGCGGCACTTTCAACTTTATTTTGAGCCTGCTGCTGATCCAATTTGTCTAGCGCTTCTGACATAGCAGCGGCGAATCCTTTCGGTTGTTGTTGTAATGAAGTTGCTAATGAACGGCACACCACTGGCAGTGACAGCGTTGCGTTAGTGGTAGCTATCAGCTATTTAAGGTAAACAAAATTATTAGGTTAGTATTTTTTTATAAATTCACAGTCAATCCACCTGCCTTTGTGAAATTGACCGTCCGATTAACTATCAACATTACTTTTATATTAACTTCCTTAATCTCAGCAGTCGTTCTAATGTTCGGCACCCTTTAAATTATAGTGGTGGAACGTTAATCCATGTGTAGCAAATGTAAAAACATGTGTGATTGTGCTTTTTAGCTTAATCAGAGAATGTTGATGAGTAGAGAAGGAGCAAATGTTAAATGAAAACTTTTTGAGTACTAATTTGTAATTCCACAAGAGGGAACATCGAAAAGTTAACTTCGAAAAAGAAAACCCCACGCGATGCTATAATAGACACAACGAATATTCCTATATGAAAATCGTTGCGCATACCTATTTAGATTTATGTTTTCAATTTCTATGATATGACAAATTTATATTATAAAGCCTTCTGAATTAAAAATCTGTATTACCGGTAAAAACCCAGAATTCATAATAAAATAAACATTTAATAGGCTATTTTCCAACTTATGTATGTGCGTTATGTGAGCAATTGCTTATTAAACAAAGGATACAATAAAACGGTGGCTAAGCGGCCACATTTCCACTTTTGTGGTGGCTGAGTTCGTAAGCGGGAAGGGTTAAGCACAATCCGAATACGAGCCTATACGTTCGAATCCTAAAACGAATTTTATTTAATTTTTTTATTTTATTAATTGGAGTCTAAGCATATCATAATTCAATTTCTTTAATAGCATATTTACTTCCTGAGATAATTAAAATATATCAGGAAATATAATATGTTCATATGTTTAGGTTTATTGAATATTTCCTTATTATACGTTTTTACACAAATGTGATAATCACACATACATTCTTAAATACACGTACGCTGATGCTTGCTTTTCTTGCCCCGCACAAGCATGACTTTTGTCTACGCTTTTTGCTTTTGCGAGTTGAACGATCGCAGGCAAGGAGGGATTGGGCGCACCGCCACATAATTATTTCAGATATATATTTTATTTATCGAATTCAGTTTAAAACGATTATAGGTATGAATATATGTGTATTTATATATATATATAATATATATTATATTACGAAAATAATTCATAAATGCATCAGTATTTTCAATACAAATTAAGCAACATATCAATATATTATGAGCCCTCACTTGACACGCCTCTGTGCATGGTGGCAAGCCAAGAAAATAACGGCGAGTTCGCGCGGACATTATGTTGAAAAAACGAAAAGACGACTTTGTCGACAAACATACATATATAATATGAGCTCGCATACATATTGACGCCGAATTTTGCGCATCGTGGCGGAGTTGACAAAATTTGTTTCAATCAACAATTTACGACAATGTCGATCGGCTATGTTGTCTCGTTTGTCCTTTTGCAGGGCTTTGCTGTTGAAAATTGACTTATGCTCTTTTGAAATAGCGATTACCGATTAGGCTGCATTTTCATAGCGTCGTATTTAGATAAAATGGGCTAAATCGACAAATTATGAAATAATGATAATAAGTAAACATATAAAAGTACTATATGGACTGTGCTTAGAATATATAGAAGTAGTTAATGATTTCATATGAATGTCAATTTGATATAAATTTATAATTTAATGCCATAAATAGTGCATAATATGCAAAATATAAATATTATTTAAACTCGAATAGGTCATGTTGCCAATTCTCCTTTCTGAAGTGAACATCAGACAAATTCTTCAATTTCTGATTTTTAGCAAATGTTGTGAGGAAGCAGCTTGTGGACATACAAATGCGAGGGATGGTAGGATTTTCAGTGATACAAATTGTAAAATTGAAATTTTGCTGATTCTTCAATTTACTGAAGCATTCAAATTCAATTCATTCATTTTTATTTTCGCGCATTTGCGGTAGGAATTCTATATGAAAACCAAATGTGGTTTACCAGGCGCACAGAAAAAATAGCGCGGCGCAGAGTTATGAACGAACGCACTTTGCTTTGAAGCAGCGCACGTTCCTTATGAATGAATTTGTTGTCGTTGTAATATAAAATACTTAGAAAATATGCCGCGAGTTCGCTTGAATATTATTGGCCGATGATGGTGCGTCTACGTTTTTGTCACTTGCGCGAATGTTTGATTTTTTGCGAAAGACATATGGACATACATATGTACATATGTGTACATATATGCAAATATATTTGGACATGCGAATGAAGGAAGGCAATTTCAAGAATATTCACATATAGACATATGAACATTGAAGCAAGTAAACAACAATAGCCGTTTGAGTTCACAGATTAGACATAAGAGTTTGATATTGTCTGTGGTGCTGCTTGTATAGCAGACTTCTTTATTGCAACGTGAAATATTTTGCCTAAGTTCAAATCCAATCATATATTATATAGTCCTTTTTTATTTTTATAACCCTTTTTATAATTGATATTTGAATTCTATTTAATTATTTCCCTGATTATTAAATTTCCTTGTCAGAAGTTTATTCTTTCGTTTTATTATTTCAATTTTTGTTTATGCGCATATCAAAGAACATCTGTGCATATGTATGTATATACATTTTGCTTATAGAGTGGTGTAGTTCGTTGCGTAAATTGACAGCTGTGGTGACATTTTATTTTCGAACTTGCGCGTTTTCGATGTTCCTTCTTAGCAATTAACATTTTAGTACTGCTAACATTTGCTCCTTCTCTACTCATCAACATTCTCTGGTACCGGCGTTCAAACTCTTATTATCACTAAGCGATAACAACCCTAATACGGCATTGTAATAAACAACCGCAGTCCATCCCACAAATAGATGGCGCTGAATGCCTTTGGTGACAATATCGATGGGCGAAAATCCACTCACGCATGCATATGTAGGTATTATGCATAAGTGTGTGCATGTGTGTAAATATGCATATGTATGCGCGCTAAGAAAGTGGATTTGAATATATAACGCATTTCCGTTTTACATAATTTGCAATGGAGCATTTATTATTTTGACTACATATGAATGTTTTGAAAATATTAATAATTCATTTTATTTAAAAGCAAGTTCATATTTGTCTAGATATGCGTATATAGAGCGAAAATGGTGCAACATAAAAATTTACGTTAAATGCCACGTGTTTCTTTTTGTTTATAATACCTTCCGATGCATTCGCTAATTTTGTTTACATTTGTAAAGGTTCAAAGAATACCAAAGCAGATTGCGAAATAATCAGTAAATAAAAATAAAATGACATGCATAGAGAGCAACATGTAACCATTTGTTGTTGCTTAGTTCCCGCTTTAGCGCCATCAGACCTCAACTGTCAATTCTAAATACAAGAATGCAAATCCAAAGCCGAAATGCACTCAAAGAAGCCATACAAAAATATTTATCACACCTGCCCATAAAATCACTTGTTAAGTGCCAAATCAAACTATAATTTAGCTAGAAATAAATAATCCGCAAATATAAAAAAGCACTTCAGTAAAGAGCTGCTACAATGTGAACTTTTTGAACTCATATTCACATATTGGGTGTATTGAAGGAGACGAACTGCAGTGTATGTAAAATTAAGCAGTGATGATGTGTCAGCAACGATTTTCAAAAAAATTCAAAGTGCGTTCAATAATATCTACAATTTTAAAATACAAGTCAAAAACAACCATTTGGACAATATAGCAAACAAAAAAGTTTTAAATGCATGGCATTTGAAATACGATGTACATTTAGGAAATATTTATAACTATTATAATGTCGTCAAAAAGTGCTTAAGTCATATTATCGAATTTTTGTGTATAAATGTGTGTATGTATGTAATTGCATACTATAGCTTCAAATCGAGTACAAAAATATTATAACCTCTTAATTTAATATATTTACATAAATTACTAAACAACAAATATAAAATTTATGCTGCACATTTCTATATATAAAAATCGTACCGCATAGCGCTGTAATACATATTTATTATATAAATTAATGTGACAAATTAAATTTAATTGAGAACGTATGACGGTAGTTCTACAAAATGCGTACTGTATTCAAACAGTTGAATCAACGAAGATTTTTAGTAATTTTCGCAATTCATTTGTGTTTGTTGGAAAAATCAATATTGCTGTGCAATTGTATTCATGGTTTAAGGTGAGTAATAAGTTTTAAAATATTAATTTTTTTATATTTTTATCATAAGCACCAAGTGGGGCACACACACGCGACGACATGTGATATTTGTACATATACACATACAGAAGTATGTATGTGCGTCTGAGTTTAAAATTTGTGTGGTATTACGTGGCTAACCTTAAACGTTGCTGCAAATGGTATTCAACGTAATTGATCACAAGTATCCTTAGCGTTGGAAAAAAAACTTATATGTGCATATGTATGTGGTTGATCTATTTATGTACATATACATATGTACTCGTACACTTACTTGATTGGTTATTCCTGCGGTCTCGAGTATTTTATTGTAACTCTTTCACAATAGTTCGTAGAAAATTATGAAGAACATATGTTTCTACAAGAACTCGTAAAGAGTTGATACTGAATGTAAACAAGCCCAAATGAGAGAATGCTGATATGCTGCATGCTTCCGAATTTAACAATCTTAAATCATACTACATTTTTAATGATTGATATTAAAGCCCTTAACAATAAATGTAAACAAAATATTCACTTTAGTTCATCGATCATGTCACGGTAGAAGCTCTAAGCATTCTAATAACGTAACGAAGCGAAACTGTTATTCTTCTACAAATGTAATGAATATTTATATTTTACAGAAATGTCACAGAGAGCGCAGAATTAGTCACCGGTATTGAGTCGAGTTTATCATTGCCTGATATATTGCCAATACCATCGAAAAATTATGATAAAAATCGTGCACCAAAACTACTGGGACAGCCGACCGTTGTTTACTTTCATGTGACAGTATTATCGCTGGATTCCATCAACGAGGAATCGATGGTAATATATTGGCATTCATTTATAGAAGATGCGAAAAATTAATATAGCATTGTTCAACTTCTTGTAGACATATGTCACAGATGTATTCCTAGCACAAAGTTGGCGTGATCCTCGCCTGCGACTGCCAGAGAACATGAGCGAACAGTATCGTATATTGGATGTTGATTGGTTGCACAACATTTGGCGGCCAGACTGTTTCTTTAAGAATGCTAAAAAAGTCACATTTCACGAAATGAGCATACCGAATCATTATTTGTGGCTATACCACGATAAAACTCTGCTCTACATGTCTAAGTGGGTATTTAGCGTATATCATAACTATAAAACATCTAAAAAATAATACTTTCAAATTTTTAATAATTTCTTATACATTTTTTAGGTTAACTTTGGTGTTATCATGTGCTATGAAATTCGAGTCTTATCCGCATGACACCCAAATCTGTTTCATGATGATTGAGAGCTGTGAGTTCCGGTGGAACATTGTTATAAAATATTATATTATATGTATAACAAATTTGTCTTCCATCGCAGTATCACACACGGTTGAGGACTTGGTGTTTATTTGGAATATGACCGATCCGCTGGTGGTGAATAGCGAAATCGAGTTACCACAATTGGATATATCGAACAATTATACAACCGATTGCACTATTGAATACTCAACAGGTATATACATGTGTGATTTGCGCATGCGAAAAAAAGAGAAAACAAAGGACAAATCCTAAAAACGAAAACGAAAGACTTAAGAGACAAACTTGTTCTAGTTACATAACTCTACAAGTGGTTCCGCGTTAGGTTAAATGCATATAAGGTTGAATATCAAATGTTGTCGGTCTGCTAAGCATAGTTGACCGCCGATTTTATATTTGCATTTTTTTTTAAATATTAATAGAGTATTATAGATCAGATACAGCTAAAAAAAAACACCGACTGGATCGGCTGGCTGATGTAACATTTCGAATTATTCCAAAAATGTCGTCCATAACCTCAAAATGTATTTGTAGCAATATTCAGTCCTAGAAACCGTCAAACATGTCTCTACATACATATATACATTTGTCTTTAGCTTTATCCCACTTTATTCTTTTGTGATAGTTAACAATTAAAGTAAAAACAAAATAGACACAATAGACACAGTAGACCTAAGACACGTATGGCGCATTCTCTGTGGTAAAAATAATATTATAAATTTATCATAATTAAAATTCTAAAATTTTGTAGGCAATTTCACTTGCCTGGCCATTGTTTTCAATCTGCGTCGACGTCTCGGTTATCATCTCTTCCATACGTGAGTGCCGCTACATTTAATGAGATTTGATTTTGCTTTGTTTACAAACTGCTCTGCCTTTTTGACAGCTACATTCCGTCGGCGCTAATCGTGGTCATGTCGTGGATTTCCTTCTGGATCAAACCCGAAGCGATACCGGCTCGTGTCACGCTTGGCGTCACATCGCTACTCACACTCGCCACACAAAATACCCAATCACAACAATCGCTGCCGCCGGTGTCGTATGTTAAGGCTATCGATGTGTGGATGTCATCGTGTTCGGTATTTGTATTCCTATCGTTGATGGAATTTGCTGTGGTGAATAATTATATGGGGCCGGTCGCGACGAAAGCCATGAAGGGCTATTCGGATGAGAATTTACACGATATCGGTGACATGAAGGTGAGAAAGGTGAAATGAAACTAATTTAAATGTGTTTATATATTTTTGAGATTATCTAATGTCTGTTTCGTTTTTCTTATTAGAATCATCATCGTGAGTCGATAATTGAACCACAATACGACACATTCTGCCATGGACATGCCACAGCGATTTATATTGATAAATTCTCACGTTTCTTCTTTCCATTTTCATTTTTTATACTGAACATTGTTTACTGGACAACTTTTCTCTAGTTGTTCGTGTTTAAAATAAACGGAAAAATTTGTTTTTGTTGAAAATATGTGCATGTGTGCAGTGTTTTAGTATATATGTATCATTATTACAGTATGACTGCGGCTACACCAAAACCATTCGTTCAAGAAAAATACTTAAATCCGAAAGTCTGTTAATGAGTTTCTTAAAAGATGACGTTTTGGTGTGTGAAGGCATCTATAAACATCGTGTAGATTTATAAGTATAAGAAATGGAATAATATCCCGAGCGCAAAAATACTCTTAGATTGGCATACAATAGCAGTAAAATATATGAAGCATCGTGATGTAATCGGACTAAATACCGACATTTTAGTACAAGCTTTTTAAACGGTGATTCAGTTCAACTCAAAGTGTCCGTTCACAATCCAATCAAATTTGTTCCCACTTTTTTCATTTTTTTCATAAAATTTGTGTCGGTTTTGTTTCCGTATCGGCAGAAAATATTCCCCAATTTATTATGAGGCATGCTGCCGAGTTGACAGTGCTTGTCGGATAAAAATCCGTTCTGTTTGCGTTATCCAACTCGACTCTCGATTTAGCCATGGCTGTCAGTCTCTGTATACTCAAACTATGCCCTCAGTTTTTGAGTTATCGATCTGAAATTTTGCACATGCGGAAGCGCAGTGCACAAAGTGTAGTTGCCATACAAACTGAATAATCAAGATCAAATTCTTGTATGTAATCTTTTGTTTGTGAAGAGTAGCTTTGGTGCAACCGAAGTTAACGATTTTTCTTGTTTTTTATATGATTTAGTAGCGCTACCATAACTTTCATAAAGTTTTCCATACAATAAAAATTAAATAAAATAAAACAAAAAACACATATTATTACACGATACATTTATGCACTTTTATTTTTTTCGTATTTTGTTTTTTTGTTTTGTATGCATGGATTAGTTAGTATTTCATCAATTGATCACATTGAAAAAGTCTATTTACTAAGTTACACATTTAATTATATAATATTAATATATATTGTATTACATATTCAAATATCTTTTGGTAAACTACGTTTGATGTATATTTTATGTATGTATGTATGTATATAATATATTAGTGAATTCATTGTATATTTAGTTATATTTTCTTTTTTTGCGTATAGAAAAACAGTGATTCTCGAAATTAATATGCATACACACTAAATATATGGTAACTCTGGTTATTGCAATATATTTTTTTCTAGTAAAAACATCAATAACTATAATAATTATGATTACATTAAAGAATAGCACATTATTTGTATATACATATGTTAATATAATATTACAAATACAAATGCAGTACGGTGCTGGTGCATAGAAATAGCGTTTGCATAAAGTCATGCCAAATAAGCCAGCAGTTGAAACACATAAATACAAAATACGCCGCACACAAAGACGACAGAGCGTCGTTTTGCGTGTTTGTATGTATGTAGCTTATTTAATTACTTTATTTGCACTAATGCTTATTTAATATGTTTGTCGTTGGTTGCGTGACATATATGTATATGCATAAACTTAATGTTTTATGCAAAAGAATAAAGAAAAAATAATAATAAATAATACACAAAAGTAATAAATACACACACATATATTAAATATACATATTTAAACGCTAGTATTTATATATATATATGTATACATATATAGTAATACAAATTATATATATATATATATAATATATGTATATATATTTCTACAATTACTTATATAACTAAAATAATACGCGCAAGAAACGGAATATCGTTGGTGAGTACACTGCTAATAGGCGGGTCTATGCAACAATTCATCTACTGTAAGCAGGCTTGAATTTTCTCAATCCATTCTTGTGCCAAATTCGCATTTACGGCATAGAAGTTGTAGGTGCGACGATTGGTCTTCAACTGCAAATGGTGGGAAGAGCGTATGCATTTCGTTGAATTGTTATGATTTATGCAATTATAATACGATATTTCGTATACTTACATCGAAGAAGCCCTTCTCGTCGATTCGTTTTGTGCCGATTTGTGCTGGCTGCGCCGGTGTCACCGATTGCACTTCAGCTAATTCTGTTTGATTGTATGGCGAATATTGAAGAAAAGACAGAGAAAAAATAAATATTAAATATGTGTACATACATATTATATGTATATATGTATTATTGCAGGGATTGTACTGTTCGAAAAACGCTAATTTGAATATGTTACGCATTGTAATTTTGAAGAAATTTTATTTTGCGGTATTAATTAAGATTTCGATAAAGATATTAATCGAGATGTGCTCAAAAGGTAAAAACTTCAATTTAGTTTATCACTGATATAATTATATATGTATATAATTAAAAGAATATGTTTCAATTTGATTCAAAGAAATTTCGAAAAAATATGTAATTATATATAAATAAATGTATAATTTATATAAGAATAAAAATATTGAACAAAAAAAAACTTCGAGAAACATTTTTGTTTAGAAATATTAAAAGGATAAATTCAAAAAAACATAACTACATCACGTTATTCTGATATAATATATAAGAACAATGGTGTTCCAAATATTAAAAGCAACACCACAATTATATAACAACTAAAAATAAATTTTAAAATATTGCAAATTTATAATTAAAAAACTATATATTTATTTATTACAAAAAGTAAGTAAGTAATATTAAAATATATGGAAATTATAATTAATTTTTTTTTTTTTATAAATTGGCACTGCTAAAATAGCGCATATGCGATGTTCAGTATTTTAAAAAGTAATTCAAAGTATAACAATTTACCTATAACTCCTTTGCATTGCGAATCCTCACCGGAGTCATAATAGCGCAGTTGATGCTTTATGGAGTCCAAGACAAACCAACGCTGCTTCCAGCCTTTCAGGAGGGCGCCACGTTTATAAAGATGACTGTAAAGATAAGGAAATTAAATATAATATTGCAATTATAGAATAAAAAAAACTTAAAAGATGACTAATACCATATTATAATGATTTTATAGAAAGTTATTATTATTAGGTTACTGAGGCGGATATACCAAAAATAAACGCCGAAGCTGTTATTTTGTATGTAAAACTCAAAAAACACGCAAATAACACAAATAAAAAACTGCAACTAACCCCTCATGCGTGCGATTCTCCGCCACATTGCTGCTAAACTGATTGTAGAAATGATGACTGGAGGTGCGCGCTGTTGTGGCAGCACTCGATGCTATGCTTGCGGTGTCACCCTGCGAGATATTCACATTCGGCGGCACCACACCGTCGACGGCTTTATATTTCGTGCAATTCTTCAGTGATATCTCGGTGCATTTTTCGTGATACGAATTGCCACAGTCCATGCAGCGGTAGCCTACTGGACCCCATAACAGCTTCGTGCAGTGATTACAATTCGTTGGTGTGGTGTATGGATGTTTCTCGAAACGATGCGGATGAAAGAATTTATCCTGATAGCCACTTAGGCGACCTTTCATTAGAATCTCCAAAGTAGAGCGTTTGTGTGCCAATTTGCCGTGCGACTGCAAGAGAATGCTGCTAAGCGACGATTTGCGTGTTAGTTCCTCCATTGGCGGTACTTCCAATTGGTCCCATACTTGCAACCATTTCTGTGGCAAATAACCACGTTCCGTCTCCGCTTGACGCACATCGCTCAGCAGACAAACGAATGCATTCGCATTGCTCTTCTCAATGTTATCATAACCAGCACTAATCACGATGCGTTTGCCACGTAATTCGGATAAATCGATTTCATCATCGGCATTGGTGAGCTCCAGATCGTAGGGTGGACCCTGTGCAAGTTCTTCGTTCGTATAATATGCCCACAGATCGAGCGCGGGTACTGAACTCTGTGGTCGTAATACATCATCACGCACACAGTACATAAAATTGTAGAAGATCTGTGTTTTCGCATGTTGCCGTTCGACATAGTCGAATATAGAGTGACCGATGCGATTGAAATTCACCGAAGTTTGTGCTTTGCTACGTACGTCCATGGGATAGACACTCTCGTCATCGGACCCCGTATTACCTGTGGGTATAATAAAGTAAAGAAAATAAATATGGCTGTCAAATCGAACATACAATCGAAAGCTTAAATGCATTATATATTACCCAATAGATGGTGTTTGGTGCCCAGCGAACCACGTTTATCCTCTACCGATGCGATACCTAAATCGAAACGCTCCACCTCGCAGTCAAAGAGAAAAGTGCGAAAACGACACGAAACCATGTGATAGGCCAAGAAGCGCACATAGAACTCGTTGAATTCAAATGCCATTGGAAACTGTCTTTGTATTTGGTAGACAGCATCTAGGAATTGCAAAAAGGTCGGAGCAAAGGCAATACTCGAGTTGCCATTAGTTGGCTTAAGATTGCTGCGATGCGCAAAACGATGTCCAAATGCGATCCAATCCTTTTCGATAAGTACGCGAAAGCCCTCCATTGTGCGATAGTAGGGGTCGAGGCAGAGTTGTGCAATTGATGATATTTGCGCGGTTATATCCCAGCCATCCTCTAGTGAGAGCATCACACTGGACTCCTGCAGATCCATTAGATCGACTACAGCACCAGAGAGTTGTAGCAAGGAAGAAATTTGCTGCAGCCATTCCGATTGTTCAACGCTTTTGGCGAATGTTTGGTCGGCATCGTTGGTTGTATTCGAAGGTAGACAGGCGCGCATTAGCTTCTTGAAAGCGATGCGCGATTGCCGGTAATCGGCGTAGTCGACGGCAATGAATTCGGCGCAGAGGTCTGCGTTGATGCCGGATTTCGTTTGAGATTTCTCACCTAAATAAGTGAAAGGCAAACGCATATAGTGTTAAATTTCGAAACAATATAAGAAAGCATATACCTAAGACATAAAGTCGTAATTTCCGATATGCTGCTGCGGCCGCTGTCACTGATGAATTGTTCTTTATAGTATTCGATTTTGGTTTGAGTGAATCTGTCCAATTATTCGATTTGGATTCGCTACCACTACCTGAAAGCGCCGACTTGTGTTTACGACTAACCTCCGGAGTCAACGAAGTATCTGCGCGATTGAGGTAGGCCGACTCATCAGTAGCGTTCAATAAGA